AGTGAGTTTTGCTCCATTTTACATTTTGCCACAGTTATTAAGCAAATCACCAAGTTGCTAAGTGAATTGTGCAGTTGTTAAAGGAATCTGGCTTCCCCCATTGACTTTGCTTGTCGGAGACCACTGGGAAGGTTACAGATGGAGATCACATGACCCCGGAACATTGCAACCGTCATAAGTACATGCCAGTTGCCAAGTGTCCGAATTTTGATCACGTGACCGTGGGGATGCTGCAATGATCGTTAAGTGTGAAAAACGGTCATAAAATGACATGTTTTGAATACTGTTGTAACTTCAAGTAGTCACTAAACAAATGGTTGTAAGTTGAAGGCGATCTGTCACTGGGTCATGACATAACCACATCTGATTTTACAATCTTTTTTACAAAAGTGGATGTGGTGATTGTAAAGTTAACACAGCGGTCGTTAAATGAACAAGGCAATCATTAAGCAGATCCTCTATTTGCAATGGGTTTGGGTTTTTTTGCTGGAAACCAGAAGTAAAAGCAGCCCTTGACTTATAAACACTCATTTAGTGACGGTTCGAAGTTACAACAGTGTCGGGAAAAGTGCTTTACAAATGTCCTCGAACTTACAACTGTGACAGGATTCTCACAGTCCGACGGTCAAAATTCAGGCACTTAGCAAAGCTAACAAATGCAGGGAATGAAATTCTGGGAGTTGAAGTCCAAATGTCTTAACGGTTGTCAAGATTGAGAAACAAATGCTGTAATGTAAGTATCACTGGAAGTTTTCAAAAAATAGTCTGGACAACCCTTTGATTGGAATGGTACAAGACTTTTGCCTGGAGCAGGGGGTTGGACTAGAAGACCTCTGAGGTCCCTTCCAAGTCTAGGATTCTATGTCTGTTGTCTATCTCTGGTTTAAGTGCAACATCCACATTCGTTTATAACCCTAGCATTGCTACCAGCGTAGCAGACTAGTAGTAATACTACGGTAGTAAATCAGTAAAGGTAATCCTCATTTAGCAACCACAGTTAGGACCAGACACTTGATTATTAAGCAAAACAGCCAGTAAGTGAAACATAACAAATTGATTTCAGCTTTCTTTTGCCTGACAGACTTACAAAGCTACTTTTTCATCACCGTCATAACTGCAAAAGGTCGCTAAATGAGGATTTCCTGGGCGAATATAAATTACTTGACCAGATGATTTTATTATTTATTCAGATTAGATTCACTTCTGTGAAATGGGATAGGTTCTCCTGCTTGAGCAGGGGGCTGGACTAGAACACCTCCAAGATCCCTTCCAGCTCTCTTCTATTCTAGATTGATAATAATAATAAAATTGGAAGGGACCTTGGAGGTCATCTAGTCTAACCCCCTACTCAGGCAGGAAGCCCTATACCATTTCAGACAAATGGCTGTCCAGCCTCTTCTTAAAAACTTCCAGTGTTGGCGCATTCACCGCTTCTGGAGGCAAGTAGTTCCACTGGTTAATTGTTCTAACTGTCAGGAAGTTTCTCCTTAGTTCTAGGTTGCTTCTCGATTAGTTTCCACCTTGGTTGAGGTCAGCAACCCATGCCAGTCTGGGCATCCCCAGCCTAGTGTCCTTGCAGCAGGCTTCAGGTTCTATAAATCTTGTTTACTTAACCAACCACAATCGGTTGAGTTGCCCAACATGGAACGGTGATGGTTGCTGCACCCCAATTCATGGCTACATTCCACAGCATGCCCTGCTTGGCATCATCATGGGTCCAGCTGATTGCATAAACCAGAGAAATGAATTATTAGAAGTACAAGCATGCAAGGGATGTGATTGTTAGAAGGCGGAGCCCTTTCAGTCTGATATTTTGCTTAAAAATCCTGAAGTCAAAGAGAAGGGTTTCTTTTGGGAAACCTGCACAAGATAGCCAAGATTCCCCCTCTCTCTCCTATCTCAGTTGCATCCTCCTCTGAAGAACTTGAATTAAATTTAGGATTAGAATTAGGGAAATGTATGCTTCTGGGGGAAAAAAATCTGAATTTATTTTGAAAAGCCTGGCACTAAACCTGGAAGTGAAAGAGGCGAAATGCAGAAAATAAATTTCTTCCAGCCAGCCTTTGGAATCGGATTCCAAAGCGATTCTATTCCTGTAAACTACAAGTCCCAGAGTTCCTAGCGTGACTTTAAAAAAAAAAAAGAAGTGTACTAGTTCCCAAGATTCAGTGGGATTTCCTGACTATGGCCTCTGATGAGAACCTAGAGATAAAAATGGGAGAGGAGCTCTAATGCCTGGAGATGACACTTCCGGGCTCATTTTTTAAAAAAATCCCCTGGGAATCAAAACAGATGCATTCGAATTTTTGCCTTTTAATAAAAATTTATAAAAGAATTTTTGCCTTTTTACTACAATTTTACTTTATTGGCCGCTGCAGTAAAGTTAGGATTAGCATATGATTAGCCCAGTGGAGATGTTTGCTTGGATTTTTGCAGGCAGACCGGTGCAAAAGCCTGATCAAAATATATTAACAAAATTACATGTTGCATTCCCAGGCTACTACGGGCTGCAAAGCCCTTAAAGCAAGGGTGTCTAAGCTTTTAAGACTAGTGGACTTCAACTCCCAGAATTCCCCAGCCAGGCAGCACAACACAGCTGGCTTGGGAATTCTGGGAGTTGAAGTCCACTAGTCTTGACTCCACCCACCCTACCCCCACTGGAGACTCTCCCCCCCCCCCCCAANAGTGAGTTTTGCTCCATTTTACATTTTGCCACAGTTATTAAGCAAATCACCAAGTTGCTAAGTGAATTGTGCAGTTGTTAAAGGAATCTGGCTTCCCCCATTGACTTTGCTTGTCGGAGACCACTGGGAAGGTTACAGATGGAGATCACATGACCCCGGAACATTGCAACCGTCATAAGTACATGCCAGTTGCCAAGTGCCCGAATTTTAATCACGTGACCGTGGGGATGCTGCAATGATTGTAAGTGTGAAAAACGGTCATAAAATGACATGTTTTGAATACTGTTGTAACTTCAAGTAGTCACTAAACAAATGGTTGTAAGTTGAAGGCGATCTGTCACTGGGTCATGACATAACCACATCTGATTTTACAATCTTTTTTACAAAAGTGGATGGGGTGATTGTAAAGTTAACACAGCAGTCGTTAAATGAACAAGGCAATCATTAAGCAGATCCTCTATTTGCAATGGTTTTTTGGTTTTTTTTGCTGGAAACCAGAAGTAAAAGCAGCCCTTGACTTATAAACACTGATTTAGTGACGGTTCGAAGTTACAACAGTGTCGGGGAAAAGTTCTTTACAAATGTCCTCGAACTTACAACTGTGACAGGATCCTCACAGTCCGACAGTCAAAATTCAGGCACTTAGCAAAGCTAACAAATGCAGGAATGAAATTCTGGGAGTTGAAGTCCAAATGTCTTACGGTTGTCAAGATTGAGAAACAAATGCTGTAATGTAAGTATCACTGGAAGTTTTCAAAAAATAGTCTGGACAACCCTTTGACTGGAATGGTACAAGACTTTTGCCTGGAGCAGGGGGTTGGACTAGAAGACCTCTGAGGTCCCTTCCAAGTCTAGGATTCTATGTCTGTTGTCTATCTCTGGTTTAAGTGCAACATCCACATTCGTTGATAACCCTAGCAGACGAGTAGTAATATTACGGTAGTAAATCCGTAAAGGTAATCCTCATTTAGCAACCACAGTTAGGACCAGACACTTGATTATTAAGCAAAACAGCCAGTAAGTGAAACATAACAAATTGATTTCTTTTGCCTGACAGACTTACAAAGCTACTTTTTCATCACCGTCATAACTGCAAAAGGTCGCTAAATGAGGATTTCCTGGGTGAATGTAAATTACTTGACCAGATGATTTTATTATTCAGATTAGATTCACTTCTGTGAAATGGGATAGGTTCTCCTGCTTGAACAGGGGGCTGGACTAGAACACCTCCAAGGTCCCTTCCAGCTCTCTTCTATTCTAGATTGATAATAATAATAAAGTTGGAAGGGACCTTGGAGGTCATCTAGTCCAACCCCCTGCTCAGGCAGGAAACCCTATACCATTTCAGACAAATGGCTGTCCAGCCTCTTCTTAAAAACTTCCAGTGTTGGCGCATTCACCGCTTCTGGAGGCAAGTAGTTCCACTGGTTAATTGTTCTAACTGTCAGGAAGTTTCTCCTTAGTTCTAGGTTGCTTCTCTCCTTGATTAGTTTCTACTTTGGTTGAGGTCAGCAACCCATCCCCAGTCTAGTGTCCTTGCAGCTGAGTTGGCTTCAGGTTCTATAAATCTTGTTTACTTAACCAACCACAATCGGTTGAGTTGCCCAACATGGAACGGTGATGGTTGCTGCACCCCAATTCATGGCTACATTCCACAGCATGCCCTGCTTGGCATCATCATGGGTCCAGCTGATTGCATAAACCAGAGAAATGAATTATTAGAAGTACAATAATCATGCAAGGGATGTGATTGTTAGAAGGCGGAGCCCTTTCAGTCTGATATTTTGCTTAAAAATCCTGAAGTCAAAGAGAAGGGTTTCTTTTGGGAAACCTGCACAAGATAGCCAAGATTCCCCCTCTCTCTCCTATCTCAGTTGCATCCTCCTCTGAAGAACTTGAATTAAATTTAGGATTAGAATTAGGGAAATGTATGCTTCTGGGGAAAAAAAATCTGAATTTACTTTGAAAAGCCTGGCACTAAACCTGGAAGTGAAAGAGGCGAAATGCAGAAAAAAAAAATTCTTCCAGCCAGCCTTTGGAATGGATTCCAAAGCGATTCTATTCCTGTAAACTACAAGTCCCAGAGTTCCTAGCGTGACTTTAAAAAAAAAAAAGAAGTGTACTAGTTCCCAAGATTCAGTGGGATTTCCTGACTATGGCCTCTGATGAGAACCTAGAGATAAAAAGAGGAGAGGAGCTCTAATGCCTGGAGATGACACTTCCGGGCTCATTTAAAAAAAAATCCCCTGGGAATCAAAACAAATGCATTCGAATTTTTGCCTTTTAATAAAAATTTATAAAAGAATTTTTGCCTTTTTACTACAAAATGCTGGCCGCTGCAGTAAAGTTAGGATTAGCATATGATTAGCCCAGTGGAGATGTTGGCTTGGATTTTTGCAGACAGACCGGTGCAAAAGCCTGATCAAAATACATTAACAAAATTACATGTTGCATTTCCAGGCTACTACGGGCTGCAAAGCCCTTAAAGCAAGGGTGTCTAAGCTTTTAAGACTAGTGGACTTCAACTCCCAGAATTCCCCAGCCAGCTGTGTTGGGCTGGCGGGCTGGCTGGCTGGGGAATTCTGGGAGTTGAAGTCCACTAGTCTTGACTCCACCCACCCCACCCCCACTGGAGACTCTCCCCCCCCCGCAAGCCCCTCCAAAGGTTCCAAGCCATTCCTCCCAGCCTGCTTTGCAAAAGCGGGACTTCAGCCCCCATGCTCCTTTGCGCGGCGGGGCGGGGCGGGGCGGGGCGGGAGGCGCAGGCAGGATGGCTTTGCAGCCGCGCGTTTGAATTGCCGAGCAGGAGAGGTGAGAGGCGCGCGAGGGGGGCGTTGCGAGGGGGCGCGGACCCCCCCCCCGTCCCCGTTTGCAGCAAGGGGGGAGACCCTCGGCGAAGCGGCCGGGCTGGGGACGGGGCTGCAAGGAGCGTTGCCTTCCCAGCGCCCTCCAGCCGCTTGCAAAGCCGGTGGGGAGGGTCCTTTTGTCCCTAACGGGATTTGGGGGGGGGGGGGTCCTCCGGATCCCCTGCAGCGCTGGAGAGGAGTCGCAGTTCCCGGGAGAGGATTTTGCCTCGCATGGGGCCAGCTCCGGGGACAAGCTGGGCTGGCTGGTCCTAAAGCAGGATGTTCCGACGTTGCAATTGGACTCCCATGTCCCAGAATTCCCCAGCCAGCCGTGCTTTAAGAGGGGTGGACTTCAACTCCCAGAATTCCCCAGCCAGCCGTGCTTTAAGATGGGTGGACTTCATATCTTACCTAGAATTTCTTGGTCAGCATGTTTTTGAAGATTCATGAGCTTCGGCTCCCAGAATCCCCCAGCCAGGATGCTTGAAGAGGGGTGGACTTCAACTCCCAGAATTCCCCAGCCAGCATGCTTTAAGAGAGGTGGACTTCATATCCCAGAATTCCCCAGTCAGCATCCTTTACGATTGATGAACTTCATATCCCAGAATTCCATGGCCAGCAGTCCCTCCAGCTCCCAGAATTCCCTAGCCAGCATGCTTTGAGATGGGTGGACTTGGACTCCAGCATTCCTCAGCAATCTGGGGAGAGTTGAAGTCCACCCCTCTGAAAGCATGCGAGCTGGGGAATTCTGGGGGTTGAAGTCCTCCCCTCTTAAAGTTGCCTAGAGAGCAACACTGAGCTTTCCAAGGGAGCCCATGTGTCCCTGCTGTGGACGATGGGGCCTTCTCTTGCCCTCCCTGCCTTCAGAGCCTATCTTCTCTTCTCGCCTTGCAGCCCTGCGCTGGCCATGGGTCTGAAAAGTGCCCAGAAGGCCTTGTTCCCCTTGCGCTCCGTCTCCGACGTGGTGCGCCTCTTTGCGCTGGAGCTTCACCGGGAGCATCCGGACCTGGTGCTCCTCTCGTTGGTGCTGGGCTTCGTGGAGCACTTCCTGGCCGTCAACCGGGTCCTCCCCACCAACGTGCCGGGCATCAGCTTCGAGCCGGCCCAGGGTCCCGAAAGCCTGACCTACTTCCCCGTGGCGGACTTGAGCATCGTGGGCGCCCTGCACGCCCGCTTCACCGCCCAGATCCGAGGCGCCGTAGATCTCTCGCTGTACCCCCGGCCGGAGGGTTACTCCTCCCGGGAACTGGTCAAGAAAGTCTCGGACGTCATCTGGAACAGCCTGAGCCGTTCTTACTTCAAGGACCGAGCCCACATCCAGTCGCTCTTCAGCTTCATCACAGGTGGGGGCTCCGTACTGGCACGGCGGGGGGGGGTACGGGGCAGGGGGAGACCTAAGGAGAAGGAGAAGACCTTCCACAGGTCGTCCCCGCTTTATGACTGGGAGTTGAAGTTGCCACGTTTGAAGACCCCTGGTTTATGCAGAGAGCAGTGGGGTATAAATCGAAGAAAAGGTTTGCTCGAATGTCTGTCTAATGTTGGTTTAATTTTCCTCCGGCTCAGGGACCAAGTTAGACAGCTCTGGGGTGGCCTTTGCGGTGGTCGGAGCGTGCCAGGCGCTGGGGCTCTATGACGTGCACCTGGCCCTCTCGGAGGACCACGCGTGGGTCGTGTTCGGCAAGGACGGGGAGCAGACGGCCGAGGTCACGTGGCACGGGAAAGGCAACGAGGACCGGCGTGGGCAGACGGTCAACTCGGGCGTAGCGGAACGGGTAACGAAAAAAGGGCTGCTCTTTTGGGTTGGAGCATTGCTTGCATTGCTCACTGAAAAGTCCATGCCAGGATTTCTTTCTGTCCTTATTATATTGTATATATTGGAGGTGGTTACCCTTTGAGAGCTGTATGCAGCGGAATCTCATTTTAGTGTATTAATGTACATTTAAAGTGACAGTTATTCTATTCTATTATCTGTTATTCTATTCTGTTCTCTTTCTGTTTTCTATTCTATTCTATTCCCATTATCTCCTATTCTATTCTATTCTTATTCATTTTATTCTATTCTATTATTCTATTTTATTCTATTCCCATTATCTCCTATTCTATTCCATTCCATATTTTCTATTCTATTCTTATTCATTCTATTCTATTCTAATTCTAATTCTAATTCTATTCTCCAGAATTGTATTGAAGGCATTTTAGAGACTAAGATTACTTGGCTACCTTAGTTTATTAGTTTTTTTAATCCCACCTTCATTATTTTATAAACCATTCAAGGCAGCAAGCATACCTACTAGTCCGGCCTCCTCCTAATTTCTCCACTACAACCCTGTGAGATGGGTTGGGCTGAGAGTAAGTGACTGGCTCAGAGTAACCCAGCTAGTGCTAAGGTGGGACTAGAACTCACCGTCTCCTGGTGATTGGCCCAAAGTCATCTAGCCAGCTTTCATGTCTAGGGTAGGACTAGAACTCACCATCTCCTGGTGATTGTCCCAAAGTCGCCCAGCCGGCTTTCATGCCTAAGGCAGGACTAGAACTCACCGTCTCCTGGTGATGGGCCCAAAGTCACCCAGCTGTCTTTCAGGTCTCTGGTGGAACTAGAATTCACCGTCTCCTGGTGATTGTCCCAATGTCACCCAGCAGGCTTTCATGCCTAAGGCAGGACTAGAACTCACGGTCTCCTGGTTTCTAGTCTGATGCCTTCACCACCAGACTTTGATTTGGGGAGAAAATCGGCATAGGAGACTTGGATGTGTCAATCATTCTTCTGCAAGTCAACCAAGCGCTGATTCCTGCTTCAAATCTTCCTCTTCTCTTTGCAGAGTTGGCTCTACCTGAAGGGTTCCTACCTGCGTTGCACCCGGCCGATGGAGGTTGCTTTCATGGTTTGTGCCATCAACCCCTCCATCGACCTGCACTCCGACAGCCTGGAGCTGTTGCAGCTCCAGCAGGTGAGCAAAGCACAGGTCTAGCTTGTAAAAAAAGGTGACCGACGAGTGCGCTGTCCTGTTTGCAGGAGTCTGCTGAGGTAAAAATAGAACTACTTTTTTTTTTTTAAATAAGTACTTCTACTTCTTAAAAATAGAATTAATTCGGAGTTTCCCAACGTTTCTAGGTTGGTGGCCCGGAGAGAGGAAGGGGGGGGGGAAAGAGGGGATGGTTTTGTGGGAGGGGCAAAATCCCAAGCGCCCCCCCCCGACCCTCACCTCTCATCTCTCTGTCCTTTGCAGAAACTATTATGGGTCCTCTACGACATGCAGCATTTGGAGAGGTAAGTAGTTCTCCCTTCGTGTAGGGGCCTGCCCTGATTTTGCCTGGGTGAGCGACCAAAACGGGGTTGGACTAGAAGACCTCCAGGGTCCCTTCCAACATCGTTATTCTGTTAACTAGCGTGAGACTTGATGGAAGAGAAACATTTATAGCTGGGCTCCTTGATGCTCTCTGAGCTTGGTGGTTTTCTGGCAGACGTTTTATGACCCAACTAGGTAACGTCATCAGTGCTAGAAGGGAGGGGAGTTTGAGGAGGAGGAGGAGGAGGAGGAGAAATAACTATGCGGTCCTTGGGGCTCTCTGAGCTTGGTGGTTTTCCTGCAGACGTTTCGTGACCCAGCTAGGTAACATCATCAGTGCTGGAAGGGAGGGGAGTTTGCTCTCTGTTTATATACAATAGTTTGCCTGGAGTGGTGGTTGAGGGGTTCTGCTTGATTGGGGTAAAGTTTTCTGCTTGATTGTTTGCCTGATACTAAGAGAAGAGAATTTCTGCAGCTAAGGGTGAAACTGTGGGATCCTTTGTGCTACTGTATGCCAATTAGCGTACATTTAAAGTGACAAAAAGTTATTCTATTCTATTCTATTCTTATTGTACTTCTATTCTATTCCTACTCTTACTAATTCTTATTCTATTCTAATTCTTATTCTATTCTATTCTAATTGTATTCTTATTGTAATTCTATTCTATTCTATTCTATTCCTTTGTAATTCTATTCCGTTCCATTCCTATTCTATTTCTATTCTTATTCTTATTCTATTCTATTCTATTCTATTCTATTCTATTCTATTCTATTCTTATTGTACTTCTATTCTATTCTTATTGTACTTCTATTCTATTCCTACTCTTACTAATTCTTATTCTATTCTTATTCTATTCTATTCGTATTCTTATTGTAATTCTATTCTATTCTATTCCTTTGTAATTCTATTCCGTTCCATTCCTATTCTATTTCTATTCTTATTCTTATTCTATTCTATTCTATTCCTCTCTGAACTTGGTTGTTTTCTTGCAGACATTTCATGATCCAACTAGGGTACATCATCAGTGCTAGAAGGGAAACAAACTCCACTCCATTCTGGCACTGATGATCTTATCTACTTCAGTAATTAAAGCCTGCAGGAAAACCACCAAGCTCCATGAGCACCAAGGTCCCCATAGCTTGATTCTGATAGAACACGTCACATCCCTGCAGTTGGGGTGCCTTCATCTCTGCTGGTTGGACAGGTGAACTTGATCCCCCCTCTTGTATCTCCTGGCGGTTGATTTGAGATCTGCTTGCGATGAGGGTGCCATCTTTAAAAACCAGACGGTCAGGGACGAGGCTGGCCAGGGATGGCTGAAATTGCTTTGAGGTTCGCATCTGCTCTAGGGATTCTCCTTCTCCTTGTAGGTATCCCATGGCTTTGGGGAACCTGGCTGACCTGGAGGAGCTGGAACCCACTCTGGGCCGTCCTGACCCCCTTTTCATTTACCACCAGGTAAATAACAAAAAAGCAACAAAGATGATTAGGGGACTGGAGGCTAAAACATATACGGAACGGTTGCTGGAATTGGGTAGGTCTAGTTTAACAAAGAGAAGGACGAGGGGGGACATGATAGCAGTCTTCCAGTATCTCAGGGGCTGCCCCAAAGAAGAGGGAGTCAAGCTATTCTCCAAAGCCCCTTAAGGCAGGACAAGAAGCAACGGATGGAAACTAATCAAGGAGAGAAGCAACCTAGAACTAAGGAGAAACTTCCTGACAGTGAGGACAATTAACCAGTGGAACAACCTGCCTCCAGAAGCTGTAAATGCTCCAACACTGGAAGTTTTTAAGAAGTGACTGGACAGCCACTTGTCTGAAATGGCATTGGGTTTCCTACCTGAACAGGGTTGGACTAGATGACTTCCAAGGTCCCCTCCAATTATTATTATTATTATTATTATTATTGATGATTATCGCACAGTCAGCCAGATGTTCAGACTGGATTTGGCATTTTTGTCTACCTGTCGAGTCCTTACCCAGGACCTGGGATAGGCAGATGTGGATGTTTGATGGTATTACAGATCTCGTCGCAGGATGGAAGTGGTTCCTAGTAAGGCTGCCTTTTGAAACTGACTAATGGCGAATTTTTTTTTTAATTATTATTATTATTGTTATTGTTATTGTTATTGTTATCATCATCATCATCTTTTATCAAAACAGTCGATTTAGCCACCTCTGATTTTGCCCCCCTTTTAATCCCCCCCCTTGTCTCCTGCTAGGGGATCAGCTCAGCCAAGCAGTATTATCACAACGAGCACATTTATCCCTACATCTACTTGGCCAGCTATCACTGCCGCAACAAAAATGTCAAGGACGCGCTAGAGGCGTGGGCTGACTCGGCCACTGTGATCCAGGAGTAAGTTCCTTTTAAAGTCCTTTTTTCCCACCGAGAGAAGGGAATGAAGGAAATTAATTGAGAAAATTAAGAGAAAAAAAAAAACAGCTTTACTTTTTCCAATAAAGGCAAACTCAGAACAGGCATAGCCAGAAAGAGTTCTGTTGTGGGAGGTCTATCCAAATGGGAATCATCGCAGGTCGTCCTTGACTTAACGACCACAATTGAGCCCAAAATTTATGTCGCTAAGTGAGACATTTGTTAAGTGGGCTTGGCCCCGTTTTACCATCTTTCTTGCCGCATTTGTTAAGCGAATGGTTGGCAGTTGTTAAATTAGTTAAGACGGTCGTTAAGTGAAACGGGCATTCCCCCGTTGACTTTGCTTGTCAGAAGGTCGTAAAAGGGAATCACGTGATCCAGGGGCATTGCAACCGTCATATTATTTCAAAAGATACATTCTTACTCTAGTTCACATATATATTCTACTAATCATGCTGGCTGGGGAATTCTGGGAGTTGAAGTCCACAAGTCTTAAAAGTGGCCCAAGTTTTGATCTTCTTCCAAGACATCTTCCCTGTCTTGGAAGATCAACCAGCCTCTCCTATAGTTTGGGCTAGTCCTCCTTTGTTTTTAAGGAAGACTTAACAGGACTTTTAATAGTGTTTTCTCTGTGTGTTTTTTTCCCCCCCTCTTCCTCTCTGCAGTTACAACTACTGCCGAGAAGACGAAGAGATTTATAAGGAATTCTTTGACGTGGCCAACGACATTATTCCCAATTTGCTCAAAGAGGTGGCCAGCCTGGCGGATTCCGCCGAAGAGAAGGGAGCCGGGGAGAAAGGAGAGGTCAGTGACGCAATCACAATAACGCTACATAATCAACAATTGCCATAAAGGCAGGTAGTCCTCGACCCCTGCGGAGCCCAACCTTTCCGTTGCTAAGCGAGACAGTTGACACGGGAGTTTGGCCCCTTCTTAGGACCTTCTGGCCACGGTTGTTAAGGGAATCAGTGCGGTGGTTAAGTTGGTGACATGGTTTCTTAAGTTAATCCGGCTTCCCGAGGACTTTGTCAGAGACCCCGCTGGGAAGATTGCAAATTGTGATCACGCCAGGACACTGCAACTGTCATCAATGCAGACCGGTGGCCAAGTGTCCAGATTGCAATCCTTGACCCTGGGACTGGGGCAGGGACGTACGTCGCTGTTTTCAGTGCTGTCATAACTTTGAACCATCGTTTAAACGAGGTGTCAACGCTGCTAACCTCGGATATTTTTGCTTTGACAGCAGTCTTTGCCAGTATAATCCCACCACCGAAGAGTCTGACTTCCTTTCCTGCCTTTTCTTTAGGCTTCGCCGTCTCAAACGGGCGGATCGGCGTTGCAGGACCCCGAGTGCTTTGCCCACCTTCTGCGCTTCTACGACGGCATCTGCAAATGGGAAGAGGGCAGCCCCACGCCGGTCCTCCACGTGGGGTGGGCCACCTTCCTGGTCCAGTCCTTGAGCCGCTTTGATGGGACGGTGAGATGTCGGCCTTGGCACAGAGAGGGCTGGGGATACAGAGTTGGCAGAGGTGGAAGTTTTTGGGGCGGAGGGAAATGTGGTCTAGAAAAAAGTCGTTTTAAGAAACGAGTTGTAGGTGCAAGAGGGCTTTGTGGTGGTCTCGGGGGGGGGGCACTGGGATTGGAACTGTTGTATTCTCCCAGGGTAGGATGGTTGTCCTGCATTTAGCTGAGGAAAACTGTAGAGTAGTGTTTCCACCCTTGGGAACTTTTAAGATGGGTGGACTTCAACTCCCAGAATTCCCCAGCCTCCATGCTTTAAGATGTCTGAACTACAATTCCCAGAATTCCCCAGCCAGCATGCTTTAAGGTGACTGGACTTCAACTCCCAGAATTCCCCCGCCAGCATGCTTTAAGATGTCTGAACTACAATTCCCAGAATTCCCCAGCCAGCATGCTTTAAGGTGACTGGACTTCAACTCCCAGAATTCCCCCGCCAGCATGCTTTAAGATGTCTGAACTACAATTCCCAGAATTCCCCAGCCAGCATGCTTTAAGGTGACTGGACTTCAACTCCCAGAATTCCCCAGCCAGCATGCTTTAAGACAGTGGTTCTCAACCTTTTTAATGCCGCGACCCCAACCGGTCGTAAGTCGAGGACTAAACCGGTCGTAAGTCAAGGACTAAACCGGTCGTAAGTCGAGGACTACCCAACCGGTCTTAAGTCGAGGACTTTCCCTGCCCGGGAGCGCTGCGCATGCGTGGTTCCGCCCCCTGCGCCGGCCGAGGCGTATCTGGCAAGCGGCAGAGACGAAGCAGGCCGACCACCAGCTGGCCCAGCCCAAGGGAGGTAAGGCACCCGACGGAAAAGGGGGGAAAATGGCGGACAAAAAAAATGGCGGACAAAAAAATGGCGGACAGCCTTGCTTGGCGACCCCCATGAAATGGTCGATCGACCCCAAACGGGGTCCCGACCCACAGGTTGAGAACCACTGCTTTAAGATGTCTGAACTACAACTCCCAGAATTCCCCAGCCAGCAGTGCCGTTGTAACTTTGAATGGTCACTATAAGAATGCTTGTAAGTTGAAGACTACCTGTAGTAGTTTCTCTCCGTTTCTCCGCCTCTTTCTCTCTCTATTCCCACAACTGCAGTCAGCATCCCTGGAGATTTTGAACCCCGGGGAGATGGGGTAATACTAACTATCCCAACGTCTTCCAAGCAATTGCACAACGTAAAATACAACTTGCAGAGGGTTACGCACGAGCTGAAATAACAAGGCTGATTTTGCATTTGAAAAACAGGATGCACTTACCAATGAATAAATTAATCTAGGAATTTGAAGAATGCATGGCGTGGGAGATGTTTTTGCATGGGCTGGATCAGCGTTTTGCAACCCTGGCAGCTTTAAGAGAGGTGGACTTCAGTTCCCAGAATTCCACAAGCAGCATGCTGACTGAGGAATTCTGGGAGTCCAACTCCCGGCCTCTTAAAGCAGCGGTCCCCAACCTTTCCAGCTTGGCGGCCCGGCCTGGCACAGGGAGGGAGTGAGTGGCAGGCACGCACGCACGCACGCACCGTTCCATTTGTGTAAGCGGTGGGCACGCGTGCCATCCACTCTCACGAATGGAGCCTTGCACGTGAGCAGAGGGTGCTTGCACTTTTGCGCAAAGATCCACTCGTGCAAGTGGCAGGCGCAAAGCTCGCACAAGCCGAGGCGCTCACGTGCGACACTTCCCACGCAAATGTGAGCTTCACTCGCACAAGTGGAGCTTCACGTGTGCGCGCTTGCCTATCTCCCACGGGCCAGATTCAAACAGGCTGTGGCACCATAGAGATCCACGCCCTGAGGGTCTTAAAGCATGCTGGTTGGGGAATTCTGGGAGTTGAAGTCCACACCTCTTAAAAGTGCCAACGTTGACACACACAGCTCCCCAGACCGTTGCCAGGACCTCTCTTGTTCTTCCAGGTGCGGCAGAAGGTGACCCTGGTCAGCCGGGACCTGGATGCGAACGACGACGACGACCAAGGCAGCGAGGATCCCCGGGAAGGCCGGCGTCGGGGTCCCCGGCGAGAATCCAAGCCGGAAGAGCCACCCCTGGCCAAGAAGGCCACAGAACGTCGACGCCCGAGCGCCACCCAGCGATCCGACCGGCCGCTTCCGGAGAAGGAGGAGGGTCTCAGCAGCGGCTCCAGCCCCCGCCCCGAAGGCCCCGTCCTCACCTTTCAAAGCGAGAAAATGAAAGGGATGAAGGAACTCCTGGTGGCCGCCAAGATCAACTCGAGCGCCATCAAGCTGCAGCTCACGGCCCAGTCACAGGTCCAGCTGAAAAAGCAGAAGATTTCTGCGCCCCGAACATACGCCCTGTCCTTTCTCAAACGGCCCCGGAAGTCTCTTTGATTCCGGACGAGAAACTTTCCGATTTCTTGGCAAATGTTTGCTCCGTTTCTTCTCTTCTTCCAATTTTCCCCTCGGCCAACGTTTTGAGAAGGCCCGAGGGCTGAGTCTCAAACCTTGCTTGGAAATTGAGCTTTTCAAGGTGGATTTAGCTCCTGCTAGGGAGAGCTTAATTTTAAGGGAGCCAGAGATAAAACATAACACTCTGAAGGTGGTGGAGAAGGGACAAAAAAAACCCCGAAGACTTTAAATGACATCACACGGTGTGCAAAGAGACTTCTTGGGCATTTTTTACCCGTCTTTCTCTTTTCGTCTCATATTTGCAAGCGGGAGGTGGGATAATTTCGTGTTTGCAATGACCTTTTTTTTTAACGGAACGATTGAAGATCCTAACACAGCTGAATATCAGAAAATAGCATTTTTTTAAATTTAAAAACAAACGTGTGGCATTAATGTCGTAACAGGCTAGGCTATTGGTGTAAGATCAGCTGCAGAAAAGGGATAAACAAAACGGAACTAACGGCAAGCACACAACAGCGAAAAAAATCTTTCCGAGTGATGGCTAACTATTTTAAAAAAAAAAACCCCAATCCTGGGGTGATCACCCCACAAAGGTTATCTTTTATAAATGATAAAAGAAAGATCATGTCCAAAAGATCTGAGCCGGTCTGCACTAGTATAGGGGATAAGAAATTTTTGTAGAAGTTTGCGGAGACAGAATTAATAAATTTTTAAGGTTCTCTTTTGTTATACAGAGGAAAATGTCTCTTGTGGTCCTTGATCTTCTGAATCTCTGCTGGCTTTTCTTTTTACAGTGGATCAAAGCCAGCAGAAAAACAGACCTGGATTCTGGGTCAGAAATAGGGATCCAAAGTACAGGCAGTCCTCGATTTACAACAGTTCATTTAGTGGACCGTTCAAAGTTACAACAGCACTGAAAAATGTGGCTTGTGATCGTTTTTTCACATTTATGATCCCATGACGAAAATTCAGACTGACTCATATTTACGACAGTTGCAATGTCCTGGGGTCACGTGGTCCCCTTTTATGACCTTCTGATCAGCAGTCACTGGGGAAGCCGGATTCACTTAACAGCTGTGGCAAGAAAGGCTGTAAAATGGAGCAAAACCCACTTAACAACTGTCTTGCTCAGCAAAGGAAAAAAATTGGCTCAGCTGTGGTCGTAACTCAAGGACTGCTATAACCTTGGTTCCTTTGAAGGGAGATTCAAGTTCCTACTTGTGGCTTGTCAGCAATGAAACATGTCAAAAATCCCAGGATTTCTCTTCCTGCCCCAGGCAGCCCTTGGCCCCCATTTCTTGAGTAAAGGAGTTTCTTTTTATTTCTGTCTCGGAAAATTAAATCTCTTAGCTTTGCCGTGTCCTTTTATGAAGACAAGATGTGGCAGTCTGGAGCCCCCCCAGTTACTGTGCCACCAAATTATATCCCCCCCCTCTTCCATTTCAAAAGGGGGAGCTGAACCTGAAAAACCATTTAAACATTCAAAGCTTCCCTTCTCCCACTTAAAAAGATAAACCTAATTAAAATAAGACATACAGTACGCGAGTTATACAACCTTATTCCCGTGGCTTTGTCGATGCAAAGGCCATTAAATGCATCTCTGGACGATTGAAAGATCGCTGACGCTGTCACAAACCTTTATGAAACCTCTGAAAATAGCCGAGTCCAGCACCATTTAAAATATTCATCCGTTAACTCTACGGCATTACTCCTTTTAAGAAGCAAACTAACTAGGTTTGGTTTTGAAAACGATTCCCCGTTTGACATCCAGCCTCGCGGCCTCTCCCTGTTCAGATTTTTGGGGCTGATGTCAGCAGACAGTTCTGGGGGAGGGAACAGGGGTGAGTGGACAACGTTTTTATTCCCCGTTGCACAAATCAACATCATAGTCTGGGTAGGATGAAAATAGAAATCGGGTCATTTTCCAGCCTTCGTAGCAATATTTGCAAAACCGGCTTCATTTCTGCAAAAAAATTTAAAGGAAGAATTCAGTACAGACAAGACAGAGAAAAAAAAAACATTTTAAGGTGCAAATCAATGAACAAGGGGCCTAAATTTATCATGGAGGTTACAGCCACCCGACGGGTCAATTATGAAATTATAATATGTAAATTTTCCTCACTGTTTTACTTTTCTACATGGGGGAGATTTGGGTATGCAGTACTAAATTAACCTTCAGTTTCTTTGTATTCTGTTAAGCACCGGGATAACAACAACAACAACAACAATAATAAAGTTGGAAGGGACCTTGGAGGTCATTTAGTCCAACCCTCTGCTCAGGCAGGAAATCCTGTACCATTTCGGACAAATGGCTGTCCAGTCTCTTCTTAAAACCTTCCAGGGTTGGAGCATTCACTGCTTCTGGAGGCAGGTTGTTCCACTGGTTAATTGTTCTAACGGTCAGGAAGTTTCTCCTTAGTTCTAGGTTGCTTCTCTCTTGGTTAGTTTTACATCCGTTGCTTCTTGTCCTGCCTTCAGGCGCTTTGGAGAATAGCTTGACTCCCTCTGCTTTGGGGCAGCCCCTGAGATACTGGAACACGGCTATCCTGTCCCCCCTCGTCCTTCTCTTCATTAAACTAGACATACCCAATTCCAGCAACCGTTCCTTATATGCTTTAGCCTCCAGTCCCCTGATCATCTTTGTTGCTCTTCTCTGTACTCTTTCTAGAGTCTCAGCATCTTTTTTACATCGTGACCAAAACTGGATGCAGTATTCCGAGTGTGGCCTTACCAAGGCCTTGTAAAGTGCTATTTAACACTTCAGGTGATCTTGATTCAATCCCTCTGTTAATGCAGCGTTTGAATTAGTTTACAACCATTCGTTTAGTGTCCGTCCAAAGTTACGACACTGAAAAAAAGTGACTTATGACTCTTTTCACACTTACCATGGTTTCAGCATCCCAGGATCACGTGATCAAAATTGAGACGCTTGGCAACTGATTCATATTTATGACGGTTGCAGTGTCCTACGATCGCACGATCCCCTTTTGGAAACGTCTGACAAGCAAAGTCACTGGGGAAGGCAGATTGACTTAGCAACCGTGTTCCTAACTTAACAACTGCAATGATTCCCTTAACAACTGTGGCAAGAAACTGGGACAAAATTCGCTTAGCGCCTGTCTTGCTTAGCGATTAGGAATTTTGAGTTGTAAATTGAGGATTACCTGTATTGCTATTTTTTCCCCCCACAGCCCTGTTTGTTTGAAATTATTTGTTAAACATATTTCTGTGCTAGTGCAATTAAAACAAATAGAGAAACATATGACAGGAAAGTATAATGTAAAACACGCAAGGTACCAAGAGAAAAATACTTAAGGTGAGGCAATGCAGTCATTCATTTCAACCATCATTTGAAGTTACGATGGGGCTGAAAAAGTGGTCCTCGCATTATGGCCATCCCAGCATCCATCCCTGCTGAGATCACGTGATCAAAATTCAGGCGCTTGGCAACTGACGTGTATTTATAATGATATGGTTGTTAAATTGAAGAATAGCTGTCTGCTTAATCTCAAGCTAGATTAAAGTGATAAAATAGTCTTATGATAGCCAAGGAAAGAACCAGACTGAGCATGATGTGCGGCTTCATGTAGCATGGTTAGATTAGGGATCCATTAATAGGCCAAACCCCACCCAATTATACTCTAAAGCAGGGGTCTTCAAACTTGGCCCTTTTATGACTTGTGGACTTCAACTCCCAGAATTCTTCAGCCAGCATGGGGGAACTATGGCCCCTTGACTTGTGGACCAACTCCCAGAATTCCTCAGCCAGCGTGCCTGGCTGAGGAATTGTGGGAGTTGCAATCCACAAGTCATAAAAGGGCCAAGTTTGAAGACCCCTGCTCTAAAGCAATGGTTCTCAGTCTTTTCTTAACCACGGACCCCCTTTAAATACCTCTTGTGGCCACAGACCCCCAAGACTTATTTCAAGATTTAAATCAACATTTCTTCGATCCTTCGCAGCCCTCCCCCCTCGTGACAACATCATGGCCCCTGGACCACAGATTTGAGAATCATTGCTCTAAAAATTTGCATGCGGTCAGGATCTGTGAACCCAGCAGGGGCTTAGGCCTGAATCATTTTGAGAGTGGATTTTGAGGTGTTCTGAATCCCAAACGGCTTCTGAGAGTTCAAATCCTGCTGGACCAAAAACCAGGAGTCCGCCGCATCTGGTGAAAATCACTGCAGCTCACAAAAGCCTTAAGTAAATATATATTTGTCCAAAAAACAACAACACAAAAAAAGGCTCTGGATTTTTGGCTGACATAAACTTAGCACCATTCTCCTCCTCCAGGGCTTGCTGGGAGTTGATGCTAATTTAATGGTAATAAAATAAATGGCTAGAGCCACTGCTTCTGTAATGGGGGGGGCTGCTCCTAACTAGGATCCTTGTTTTTGTTTTGGTTTTTTTTGTATTAGTCATCCTCTTTATTTCATCCTATCTGGATGGCAGGCTGAGATGCAGCAGAAAATGCTTGCAAAACAAACAGCAGCGGTGATAAATTAGCCAGCCATGCAATTCATGCATAGGCGAAAGTGAAATATTTCTGTTCCGGTTAATGCTGTTCTAAAATCTGCTCTGCAGAACAAGTTCTATTTTGATTTGCAAAACTGGGAAGTCCTTAACATGAAGCCGGCCAGATTTTTTTTTAAAAAAAATCCAGATTGACAACTAGCTTAGCAGCCTCTGCACGTGTCCAAATACAGGGTTGACGCGAAGAACAAACAGGATGTGCACGCAACAGAAACAGTTTCGGTATGAAATACGATTTTGTCACCTCAGCAGTGAACTGAATGGATTGGGGTGGTGATATTAGAGAGAAAATTCAACAAAGTCTCTCCGTTTAAGAGATGTCTCAGATCTTATCAATGCCCCCATATCCCAGTACAGGTAGCCCTTGAGTTACGACCACAATTTTCCCTATTAAGCAAAGCAGTTGTTAACGGAGTTGTGTATGGTTTTACGACCGTTAGTGCTACGGTTGTTAACCAAATCACTGCGGTTAAGTGAATTACAGCATCGTTAAGCAAATCCAGGTTTCCCCATTGATTTTGGAAGGTTGTGTTGAAAGAAACATCTTCATCAGGGTCCAGTCCAAGCTGGGAATAAACAAAATGGAGACGGCTTTAGAAAGACGGTTCTTGTTTATTGAAGAGCAGAACCACAACATGTGGCTCTCGGGCAGCCGACCACACGGAGCTGGGAGTGGTGGGTTTTTAAACCTCCTTGGGCTTTTGTGGTTGGAGTTGTTCCTGTTCCTGTGGCATGAACTTTGACCTGAGCTTTTGAGCATGTCCTTTTGGTATTCTGATGGTGGTGGGTTAATCCTATTATGTCCTAAAGGTCATATCCTGTTTCTCTGGGGCTGGGGCTGATGGCTATGTCCTGTGTTGGATTTTGCTGGTTCTAATCCTATCATTCTGCTGTTGTTAGCTAACAAATCTTGCTTCAAGGGATTTTGGAAGATCCTGTCTTGAACCAGCTTCTGCAGGGAGTATTTGCTCATGAATGGGGCCTCAGTCTTCCTGAATGGGGTTATCAAATCTGCATTTCTACAGGTAATCCTGCTGAGTTTCTGGCTGGGGAAAAAGAGAGAAGTTTTTTCCTTTTAAGCTTTTCTCCATTATTCCTTTGGGGAAATATAATATTCTGCCTTTTTAATATTCCCCAAAATATTTCTTTCTCGTGTGTGTGTGTGTGTGTGTGTGTGTGTGTGTGTGTGCTGCGTTCCTACAGTCGCAAATGGTGATCATCACGTGACCGGGACATTGTAAGTTGTGAGTATTGGTTGTAAATCACTTTTTTCACTGCCATTGCAACTTTGAAGTCGCTAAACGAATGATTGTCAATCGAGGAACGCCTGTAATTTTTATTCTCGATTGTTTTGCTGTTCCTCGGAGTCAACAACGCAGGAAACCGGAGGGGGCAGGGAAGTTCCAAATAGTCCTCAATTTATAAGAGGTTTTTTTTTTTTAGTGATTATTCAAAGCTAGACTGAAAAATGCGACTTTTGTCCGTTATAACTGTTGCAGCGTCCCTGCGGTCACATGATCAAAATTCAGACGCTTGCCAACTGGCATGTACTTATGGCGGTTGCAGTGTCCCAGGATCACACGATTCCCCTTCTGATAAGCAAAGTCAAGCCGGATTCCCTAAACAACCGGGTTACTCATTTAACAATTGCAGTGATTCTCTTAACAACTGTGGCAAGGCCATTAAAAGGTCATTAAGTGAAGCCAGATTCCCTTAACCGAGTTACTAATTTAACCATAGCGATTTGCTTAACAACTGGGGCAAGAAAGGCCGTTCAAAGGTCATGAAGCGAAGCCAGATTCACTTAACGACCAGGTGACTAACTGCAGCGATTTCACTTAACCACTGCGGCACGTCAGGTCGCAAAACGAGGCAGAATTCACTTAAACTCCTCGTTTAGCGACGGAAATGTTGGGCCCCGTTGAGGTCGTAAGTCGGGGGCTACCCTGTGTAAAGGCGTTGTGTAGCGGAGCGCTCTGCACGCGCCCAGAGGGACTCTCCGTCGCGCTGCTCGCTGTCCTTTGCCGAGGCGGAGGAAGAGCCCCGGGCGGGCTGCAGGCGGGGCTTGCGCGGCTCGGCTCCTCCCGGCTTCCTTCCTGCCGCTGCGGCTCCTCTCCGCCCCGGAGGCGGCGCCTTCCCCGCCTCGGCCGCCGCTGCTGGCCCCGGCTGCGCCGTCCGGCCCTGGCTCGGTGGCTGGGCGAGGACCATGAGCGCCTTGCGGGACGTCTCGCTGCAGGACCCGCGGCTGCGCTACGAGCTCATCCAGCGCATCGGCTCCGGCACCTACGGCGACGTTTACAAGGTGCGCAACGGCGCGCCCCGGGCGCACGGCCGGCTTGGAGAGGGTCCCCGGGCGCGCTTGGGGAGGCCATCCTGGGTGGGGTGGGGGGGGCAGGAGGGAGGGGGGTGAGCGAGAGCGGGGAGGGGGGTCTCCTAAATGGGGGTCCCGCTGACTCGCGACTCTCCTTCTCTTTCCCCTTGTTGGGCAACTTCTCCAAACCGCGATTTTGGAGACGCGCAACGGGGAGCGAGGAGCCCAAGAGGGGATCGCTGCGCTATGGTGGTGGGGATCTCCCGCGTGGGGTGTGTGGATCGGACTGGGGAAGGGGTGCGCGGGTGGGGGGGGGGCGGAGAAGCAGGAAATTGTGGCCGGGCTCCAGGGCTGCTCTCCCCGGGGCGTGTCCTGGTCGCTTGTGGCCAGTTTTTCCACGGGGAGCTTTCCAAAGGGCTGCCCGAGGCGGAGGGCGCCTTTTGGAGAAGGCGAGGCGAGTGTTGGCTGGGCTGGGCTGGCTGGCTGGCTGGTTCCCCGGCCAAGGTCGGCTCTGTGGGGCAGGCTGGCTTTGCTACAAGTGTAGGCAGGGCGGGCAGGATCCCTCCCTCTCTCTCGCTCGGCTTTTCTGGAGTGACCGAATGACCACAATGCGCTTTTTTGTCCCTGTTGCCAGAGAGTTTGGCATGCGCGGATCTTGCGGTGCTGAGGGCTGCAGAAAGAAAGAAAGAAAGAAAGAAAGAAAGAAAGAAAGAAAGAAAGAAAGAAAGAAAGAAAGAAAGAAAGAAAGAAAAGGAGGGGAGGGAGGGAGGGAGGAGAGAAAAAGTGAGAGGGAGAAAGAAAGATGGGAGAGAGGGAGGAAGGAAGGAAGGAGAGAAAGGAAAGAAAGAAAGAAAGAAAGAAAGAAAGAAAGAAAGAAAGAAAGAAAGAAAGAGAAGAGGAGAAGGAAGGATAGGAGGGAAGGAAAGACGGAAGGAAGAGATAGATAGATAGATAGATAGATAGATAGATAGATAGATAGATAGATAGATAGATAGATAGATAGATAGATAGATAGATAGATAGAGAAAGAAAGAGAAGGAGGGGAGGGAGGGAGGAAAGAAGGAAGGAGAGAAAGGAAAGAAAGAAAGGAAAAGGAAGGGTGGGAGGGAAGGAAAGAAGAAAGGAAGAGAGAGAGAGAGGGCGGCTGTTCAAGAAAGAGCCTTACAAATTAATTTTTTTGTCCTTGCCAGGGGCTTTGGAAAGGGTAGGTGAGCAGGATCCCGCAGGGAGGAAGGAATATGGGGGCTGTTTTAAGAAGAAAGAGCTTAAGAGAGGAGATTGGCTTTTGGGGATCCTAGCAATGTTTTTGGACCAATCCATCAGTTTCTTGCCCCTGTTTGGGATCCTCCTGAAGCTTTGGAGTCCTGAGAGGATCCTACCATATAAAACAGCGTTTTCCAGTCTTGCAAGCACCTATGAGACACGTGGACTTCAACTCCCAGAATTCTCCACTTATCATGGCTGGCTGAGGACTTCTGGGAGTTGAAGTCCACACATCTTAAAGGTTGAGAAAACTGCTATAAAGCAATCCTGTCCAACTGGCATCTTGCAGTTATGCCCAAAATTTGCAACCAGCATGCTCTTTATGCCGGTAGAAGAGCCTCAACTGGGAGACTGGAAAAAGGAGGCAATTTTGCCCCACGGAGCAACTCAAAATGCGTCTTTGACTGACTCATTCAAGTTTCTAGTCCTCAGTACTTTTTTTTTTCATGTTCTTGCCTCTCTGAGTGAATCTAAGTTAGGTTCAGCCTGTTGGAGCCAGAGGGAAGGAGGACAAAATATTATAAAATATTATAAAGCATGGGTGTTTTGGAACAGATTCTGTACCACTGAAGGCAGTTGAATGAACAGCTGTTGTGAAGCTGCCGTATGTTGTTTTCTTTTAATTAACTGTGCATGTGGTTGTGTTCATCCTTAGAAGCCTGTGTGGTGCCCTTAGTTAGCATCATTACTGCCAGCAGTTATAATAATATTAGATAATCCTATTTTATGATGCTTCTGCATTTCTTTTTAGTTCAGCCCTGTTGTTTTGCTGGTAAAACTGTGGGTTTTTTATTTTTCAGGCTGTGTTTTATTGTACACTGTTGACTTACAACAGAGCATTTAGTGACTGTCTGAAGTTACGACGGCGCAGAAAAAAATGACTGATGACCATTTTTCGTACAATGGTTGCAGAACTGTACCCAAAATCAAAATTCAGACGTTTGGCAACTGACTCGTATTTATGACGGTTGCAGTGTCCCGGGGCTGTGTGATTCCCATTTGCGACCTTATGACACACAACGTCAAAGGGGGAAGCCGTATTCCTTTAATCAACCTTGCTACTAATTTAACAAGTGTTTGGTGATTCACTTTACAACTGTGGCAAGAAAGGTGGGGCAAAACTCACTTAAGAAATGTCTTGTTTAGCAAGAGAAATTTTGGGCTGAGTTGTGGTCGTAAGCCGAGGATTCCCTGGGTTTTCTGTGGCTTTGATTTTGCACCTGCAGCCTTTGACCTGTGTTTGTAAAACATATTGCCAGTGGCCTTCCGGGTGCGCTTTAAGGTGTTAGTTACCACCTTTAAAGCGCTCCATGGCATAGGACCTGGCTACCTCCGAGACCGCCTTCTGCCACAGATTCCCTCCCATAGACCGGTACGCTCCCACAGAGTGGGTCTCCTCAGGGTGCCGTCGGCCAAGCAATGTCGGCTGGCGACCCCCAGGGGGAGGGCCTNGCGGGCCTGGCCTAGGGAGGATTTTTAAACTGGGTTTTTTAGAAATTTTAATTATCACAACACAAAAATTTTGGTTTTAATTTGGTTTTATTCGGTGGGGTGTGTGGGTCTTTCTTTGTTTTAATAATGTTGTGAGCCGCCCTGAGTCCTTCGGGAGAAGGGCGGGATATAAATTGAAATAATAAAATAAATAAATAAAATAAATATGTCAGTCCTCATGCTCAGCGGGATTTGCACCCTTCCAGCTTAATGAAAATCTGCCCCAGTTAGGCTTCGGTCTTACAGTATAATCTGGTGCTGATTTAATTGGAATTAAGACTATTGAGTTCAATGGGACCAGCTGCTAGGTTGGGGGGGGATGCTTGTCAGTCTCTTCAGATTGTTGATTGGCATCTCCTATTTATTGCTGGAAGAGGATGATGGGCTCTAAAATCCAGTAGGGCAGAGGTCTCCCGATCTTTTGGGCACCAGGGACCGGTTCTGTGGAGAGAGGGTTTTTTCCCGTGGACTGGAGGGTGCGTGGTTTTGTGTGCTGTCTGCATCCTGAGGATGGGGCTTTGCTTGTTTGTGTGGACCGGTTGCTGGCATGCCGTGGCCCGGTAACGGTCCACAGACCGGGGGTTGGGGACCCCTGCAGTAGGGTCTACATTTCCCTTATAGCACTGATGATAAATAAATAAATAAATAAAAATAAATAAATGATGTTGCCTGGTTGGGTCATGAAACATCTGCACGAAAACAATCTAGCTCAGAGGAATCAAGAACACCACAGTTCTCCTCCTTCTCCTCCTCCTCCTCCTCCTCTCCACAAACCCCACTCCCTTGTAGCACTGATGATGTTACCTAGTTGGGTCATGATACGTCTGCACGAAAAAAACCCAACTCAGAGAGCACCCAAAAACCCCTCATTTCAACCCTGAGCTACAGATATTTTCCTTTATTCGCACTTTAACAACTGCAGTGATTTGCTTAACAACCATGCCAAAAAAAGATGTCTGAGATGGTATAGATTCTCCTGCTAGAGCGGGGGGGCTGGACTAGAAGACCTCCAATGTCCCTTCCAGCTCTATTCTATTCTATTCTATTCTATTCTATTCTATTCTATTCTATTCTATTCTATTCTATTCTATTCTATTCTATTCTATTCTATTCTTATTTTTCTATTCTATTCTAAACATTGCCACAATTCACTTAACCACCTCCTAGCTTAGCAACAGGAATTCTGGAGGAATACCTGTATTTGGGACTCTAACCAGGATAAAACAGGATGCCAAGGGTTTCCCCATGCCCCCAAGCCATCATGCAGTTGACTTGGCTGTGTCATCAAAAGGTGTTTGAATCCAGCTGAGATGCTGTGAGAAGCAGTGTTGTGGTGGGATGGGCTGAGGTCGCAACTGAGGTCGCTCTTCTGCCTAGCTAACCTGGGAAGCCTCTTCTGGATCCAGGATAGCAATTGTTGAGCCTGGATGTGAAAGAGCCACGTTTTTTCTTTCACACCTCGTGGTCTCTGATCATGGCTTCTTTTTGATACTAATAGGGAGGGACAGATCCGGCCTTTTTTATATAAAAAGAGAATAAAACAGCCGTTTCCTGGACATTTTCCCTCTCTTTCCCCCCCCCTCTCCCCCTGGACAACAAACTGGATTAGGAGTGGCCTTGCCTCTGTTTGGATCCTGGCTAATGCCCGCTGCGCAAACATTGTTCAGAAACCAGCGTGGCATTTCCTGAAATTCTTAATTCAGGAATAGCTTAGGGCTGGTCAGCTGGCAGCCAGGACGGCTATTTTCAGCTCAGAAATGGATCGACTGGGTTGGGTCCGAGAGACAGGTCTTTCTCCCGTGGCAGGAGGAATAACACTGGATAAGAGGGAAGGGCAGGTAGTTCTCGACTTTCAACCGTTCATATAGCGACCGTTTGAAGTTGCAACAGCGCTGAAAAAGTGACATGACTCTATTTTTCACCTTTGTAACCGGTCACATGATCACTGGACGTTTTTAAGAAGAGACAGGACAGTCACCTGTCTGGAATGGTACTATAGGATCTCCTGCTTGAGCAGGGGGCTGGACTAGAAGACCCCCAAGGTCCCTTTCAGCTCTGTCCTGATTCAGACATTCAGACGGATTTCTCCTTAGTTCCAGCTTGGTTCTCTCTTTGATTGGTTTCCACCCATTGCTTCTTGTCCTGCCTTCAGGTGCTTTGGAGAATAGGTGGACCCCCCCTCTTCTACGTGGCAACCCCTCAAATATTGGAACATTGCTATTATGTCACCCCTGTTCCTTTTCTTTGTTAGTCTAGGGCAACGGGTAGGCAACCTTGGCTCTTTTATGACTTGTGGACTTCAACTCCCAGAATTCCTGAGCCAGCCATGCTGAGGGGAAAGGGAGAGGTTTCCAAGCTGAGCCATGCTGGCTCAGGAATTCTGGGAGTTGAAGTCCACGAGTCATAAAAGAGCCAAGGTTGCCTACCCCTGGTCTAGGGCAACGGGTAGGCAACCTTGGCTCTTTTATGACTCGTGGACTTCAACTCCCAGAATTCCTGAGCCAGCTTGGCTGAGGGGAAAGGGAGGTTTCCAAGCTGAGCCATGCTGACTCAGGAATTCTGGGAGTTGAAGTCCACGAGTCATAAAAGGGCCCAGTTTGAAAACCCCTGCCCTAGACCATTCCGGACAAATGGCTGTCCGGTCTTGTCTTAAAAGCCTCTGGCGATGGAGCACCCACACCTTCTGAAGGGAAGCCATTCCACTGGCTTTGGTCTCCTTCCTCTTCGGTTGCATCACACAGATGCTTTGTGGCCTTGCGCCTCACACCCTTTGTGGTGGTTGAGCTGGCTCAGCCAGGAAGTTGCCTGATTGCTAAACAGAATGGGATCCATACGAACAGGAGTGTGTTTGTGTGTTGTGGTGGCTGGCTGGATGTGAGCAAAGGAAGCCTCTGTGCTTCCCTATTTTAGTGCGGTCTTAAATTAACCGGGCCTGGAAACCTAGAGTGTCTGCAACCGTTCAAAGGTACAAACGGTGCTGAAAAAAAGTGACTTGTGACCATTTTTCACGCTTACGACCGTTGCAGATTCCCCATGCTTGGCGTTTGACTCATATTATGACGGTCACAGTGTCCCGGGATAAAGAAGGGAGGAAAGGAGGAAGGAAGGAAGGAAGGAGAGAAATAAGGGAGGGAGGGATGGAGGAAGGAAGGAGAGAAATAAAGAAGGGAGGAAAGGAGGAAGGAAGGAAGGAGAGAAAGAGGGAAGGAAGGAAGGAAGGAGAGAAAGAGGGAGGGAAGGAAGGAAGGAGAGAAATAAGGGAGGGAGGGATGGAGGAAGGAAGGAGAGAAATAAAGAAGGGAGGAAAGGAGGAAGGAAGGAAGGAGAGAAAGAGGGAAGGAAGGAAAGGAAGGAAGGAAGGAAGGAAGGAAGGAAGGAAGGAAGGAAGGAAGGAAGGAAGGAAGGAAGGAAGGACCGATCTGCCAAGAGGTTCACAGTCTGGCCTCATCCTTCACAGGAAGCAAATTCTTTGGGAATGAGTCTCCTTGTTACCCAGGGTGGAACCGTGACAGCAGAGCATATGGTAAGGTAAAGTAAAGCTGTCCATGCTGGTTTTAACCCCACTACTTGTGACCGACATTAGGGTGCACCTCCGTTTCTGAAGCCTCAGAGCGTATGGCAGGAGCGTGAAAAAGTTGGAGCAGGAAAGGTGAGGGGCAAGCGAGGAACCCCCGCCAAGAATCCCACTAAATCTCTTTTCCCAAAGGACAGCAATGCGGAAACCTTTTCCTGGAGGACCCATTTCTCTCATTATCATCTGGTTCTCTCCGCAGGGCCGAGATACAGAAACTGGAGAGCTGGCAGCCATTAAAATTGTGAAAATCGACCCAGGTAAGGGGCGATCCTGATTTCGTTGTTCCCCAAAGTCGGTGACTTCTTAGTACCACTCCCATTTTAGCCGTTCAAGATAGGCCAGATCAGGAAATAAACTCCCATGAGGATCTCAGGGTTTCTACTCTATGGTAGAATCAGAATAAAGCTGGAAGGGACCTTGGAGGTCATCTAGTCCAACCCCCTGCTCAAGCAGGAAACCCTATGCCATTTCAGACAAATTGCTGTCCAGTCTTTTCTTAAAAACCTTCAGTAATGGAGCGCCCACAACTTCTAGAGCAGTGGTCTTCAAACTTGGCCCTTTTATGACTTGTGGACTTCAACTCCCAGAATTCCTCAGCCAGGCACAGAGCAATCTATCAGTGAGATGAGTTGTCTCCAGAAGTTGTGGGTGCTCCATCCCTGGAGGTTTTTAAGAAGAGATTGTGCAGGCATTTGTCTGAAATAGTATAAGGTCTCCTGCTTGAGCAGGGGGTTGGACTAGAAGACCTCCAAGGTCCCTACTATACTATGTTCTAACTGGGGTATGTCTGGCCTAGTGAAGAGAAGGACTGGGGGTGACACAATAGCAGTCTTCCAATATTTGAGGGGCTGTCACACGACCATTGTTGAAAGAAGACCCCCTGAGAGACTGACATATTTACTCCATTGGGTCTTCTTAGGAGATGACATCGGATCCATTCAGCAAGAAATCACCACCCTCAGGGATTGTCGGCATCACAACGTTGTGACGTATTTTGGAAGCTACCTCAGGTAGAAAACTCCTCCTTCTGGAATAACACAACGGGAGCTTGGAAACTTAACTTGAGCATCCGTTCTCAGCTTTGTCAAAACTAGCGGGTAGCAAGTTGGGCACAGTAATCGTCGCCTAATTTCTACAGTAAAAGTTAGGAAGGCCATAATCCAACTCTTCATTTTCTAACCCAAAAAAGGCCTCTTGTTCCCTTCCCGAATCTTCGATGCGGTGAAATGTAGCTCCTTTCCCCACATGCTCAGAGGCACCCTTTCTTCTCGGGACCGTCCTGTTTCCAAATCTCTGGAACAGCCAATGGGTCATAGAAAGTGCGACACAATCCGTGCAGTGGGTGCGCCCATGCCAAGCTTTGCCCTGCCAAAGTGCAAGGGGTAGGGATGGGGGATGTTGTGGGCGCTTTCCCAAAATGGATGCCACTTGCAAAGCCTCCATTCACCGGGGCTAATGGATGAGGTTGAGCTGAGGTCACCTCTTAGTGACCCACTCTCTGATTCCGTCTTTTTAATACCGTGTTTCCCCGAAAACAAGAACCAACCGGAAAATAAGCCCTAACTTGAATTTTTTCAGGATGCTCGTCATATAAGCCTCACTTGAAAAATAAGCCCCCGTTAAGATCGTCAGCCAGACGGACGCATTTAGTACCCTATTTCCCTGAAAATAAGACCTAATTGGAAAATAAGCCCTAATGCGTCTTTTGGAGCAAAAATTAATAATAAGACCCGGTCTTATTTTGGGGGAAAGAGGGGTATTTGCTTCTGATCCCGTTGCTACAGAAGTCCACACCCTCATTTTATTTTCTGACGACAGCTGCAAGGTTTGTGAAGATCTTTATTGGAAATAAAATGGACACCAGAAATTGGTGCTTTCCATCAAAGTCAGACATTATCCCACTAGGCATTTTTGTTTTGAGTTAAAACATTTTGGACCGGGAGCAAGGAAAATTAAACGGGCATGGCTGCTTTAAAAGACCACCAATTATTGTGGCATGCAGAAAATATGGCTTATGGCTTCCCGCAATCTGTAAATCTGTAAATCTGGGGCACTGTTTGTCAGTCTCAGCAAGCTTAAGAGTTCTGTTGAAAACTTCAGTTCCCAGAATTCCCCAGCTGGCATGCTTTAAGATGGGTGGACTTCAACTCCCAGAATTCCCCAGCCAGCATGCTTTGGGTGGCTTTCAACTCCCAGAATTCCCCCGTCAACTTGCTTTAAGATGAGTGCACTCCATGGGGTTTGTGTGCATTCAGGCATGTGTGTGTGGGAAGCTGGGAGAAGCTGAACCGATTGGTTTAGAACAGCGGTCTCCTAATTTGGCAACTTTTAGACTTGTCAACTTCAGCTCCCAGAATTCCCCAGCCAGCATGCTTTGAGAGGGGTGGCCTTCAACTCCCAGAATTCCTCCGTCAACATGCTTTAAGATGAGTGGACTCCAACCCCCAGAATTCCTCTGCCCGCATGCTTTAAGATTAGTTGACTTCCAGAATACCCCCGTCAGCATGGGAATTCTGGGAGTTGAAGTCCACACATCTTCAATGCTGCTGAGATTGAGAAGCACTGATTTGGGGATTGCATCTCACTCAACCCGCAAAGCTATTGCTTTGCCCAAATTATGATGTGTATACATCCTGTGCTCCATTACATATTTCCTGTTGTTTCTGGATTTTAGGAATGATCGGCTGTGGATCTGCATGGAATACTGTGGAGGGGGGTCCCTGCAGGAGATCTACCACAGTGAGTTTCTGCCTGTTGGAGGAGGGAAGGGAAGGGTGCTACTTAGTGTTCTTTTGGGATCCACTCCTCAATGGATTATAATTTAAAAAATGTAATAGAAATGGTGGAGAAGCCGTTAGTAGCTTACATTTCTGGAATCGGCCTAGATTCCAGCATAATCTGCAGAAGGGAACCTGTTACGTTAATGCCAAGGTGGCTGGCTTTTTCTGAAATTGTAACACAGGTAGTCCTCGACTTACGACCACAATTGACCCCAACATTCCTGTCGCTAAGTGAAATATTTGTTAAGTGAATTTTGCCCCATTTTTTTTGACCTTTCTTTGCCACAGTTGTTAAGGAAATCACTCCAGTTGTTTGTTTAGCAACACGGATGTTAAGTGAATCCGGGTTCCCCCATTGACTTTGCTTGTCAGAAGATTGCCAAAGGGGATCACGTGACCTCGGGACACGGCGACCGTCATAAATAGGAGTCAGTTGCTGAGCGGCTGAATTTTGATTTGAAAAACAGTCCTAGGTCGCTTTTTTCAATGCCGTGGTAACTTTGAACAGCCACTAAATGAACTGCTACAAGTTGAGCTACCTGCATTAAGTTTACGCTCAGCCCGTCTCCCCGCTGGTATCCAGAAAAGCTGGAGGCTGTGGATGATGGGTAGCCCCACCTCTTCAGAGAACAGCTGGTTAAGGAAAGGAATAGAGTGACATGAAGCCCAAACGGTTCCCCGGTCAACAAATGCTTGCCCTAAATTACAGAACATCAGTGACACTAAGCAAGATTCTAGTCCTCGTGGCTCTGAATCTGTTGTATGAGGGACGCCGAGGTGCTTTCAGCTGCTTTGACAGTCGATCCGTGTCTGGGTTCAAGAATGATTTTCCCCCTTGGAGTCAAATCTAGAGACTTTTTTTTTATCACAAAATAGATATATTCAGATACTATTCCAGGATGGTTTTGCTGTAAAAGCAGAGGACACCTCTCCTCGTCTCCAGTTTGAAATCTTACTTTTTAATTATTATTTTTTTAGGAGAAGAATTCTAGCTTGTGGGTAGAGCAGCGTTTGCATACAGGTGTTCCTAAGTTTATTCCGGGTAAATCCCCAGCTTGCCTTGGGCGAGATCATTTTTCCTTAGCCAGCTGTTCTCCGGAAAGGCAGGACTGAGGCTCCCATCATCCACAGCCTCCAGGCGGGCTGGAGCTCAACATGTCTGAAGTTCAGTGTGGTAGGGAGGATCGTGCCAATAACGAAGTTGCATCCAGAACTCCCCTTTAATGGAAGGCCAAGAATTCATTGCGGGAAAACTGTGTGTTTATTTTAGCGTATGAAGAGAACATGACGAAGAGTAGTAAACATATACACACACAACCCACGTAATTATATACAAAGTTCTGCAGAGGTAGGGCAAGAGCCTCACAACTGGATGCCCAGTTCAGCTACTCAGGGGACGGCCTCTTGGGCTGGATGGTGCAGAATTTTTAAAAACTAGAGCGATGGCAATTAAAAGTTGAACAAGAGATAGATGCTTGTAAGTCATGGAGATTCTCAGTCTCATCTTTGTTTTCCCCTGAAGATGTGTCACTTCTCATCCAAGAAACTTCTTCAGCTCCGACTGGATGGTGGGGAATGGAAAGGATTTATACTCCTTGCAGACAGCTGGTCATTTGCATTCTTTTAGAGAGTCGTTGAGGCCACTTGGAGGTTTACCTGTATCTTCAGGGTCATTTGAGTGGTGCAAAAATGGGAGTGGAACACAGTTCTTTCAGCAATTCCAAGAAGGCTCCCCATCCATTTGCACCACTCAGGTGATCCTGAGGACACAGATAAACCTCCAAGTGGCCTCAACGGCTCTCTAAAAGAAGGCAAATGACCAGTTGTTTGTTTTTCTTTGAAGATGTTTCGCTTCTCCTCCAAGAAGCTTCTTCAGCTCTGACTGGATGGTGGGGAATGGAAGGATTTATACTCCTTGCAGACAGCTGGTCATTTGCATCCTTTTAGAGAGTCGTTGAGGCCACTTGGAGGCTTATCTGTATCCTCAGGGTCATTTGAGTGGTGCAAATGTGTGTGGGACCTTTTTGCAAGTGCTGAAAGGACCGTGTTGTAAACACAATGAACACACCGAAACTCCTTTCAGCAGTTCCAAGAAGGCTCCACACCCATTTGCACTATTCAGGTGACCCTGAGGGCACAGATAAACCTCCAAGTGGCCTCAATGACTCTCAGAGGGAGTACTAACGACTGGATGATTGCAAGGAAGATAAATCCTTCCATCCTTCACCGGTCAGTCGGAACTGAAGAAGCTTCTGGGATGAAAAGCAAAATGTCTTCAAGGAAAACCATAGTCCACTTGCCTTTTGAAAAAACACCTTTGGGACCCTGGGAAGGAAAGCCAGCTGAGTGCCTTTGGGCCAGTCACTCTCTCTCAGCCCCAGGAAGGAGGCAATGGCAACCCACTTCTGAAAAAAGCTTGCCAAGAAACTTTAGGGAGAATTGGACCCAACTGGAAGAAAAGAAAAATGCAGCTGGGAGATTAAAGCATTTGGCTTTGCCATCTATTTCCCTTCCCCCTCAGCTCACAGAAACAAACTTTTCAAGGATCTAGCCTTGCCTAGATGTCTTTTGGAAAATATTACTTCCCTTTTTTTGCTCTCGGTGCCTTGTGTGCCCGGAGGGGGTGCAAATTTGCAATGGTGGAAAAGTTACAAAAGGAAGTGATGGTTGCATGACGGAGAGAAGAAAAAATAAAATAAAAAATAGTGCGTCTTTGCCCCGTGCAGAATTTAAACAAAAGTGGAAATGTGGTTGCTCTGAATGAAAGGGATTAAAGTGGATTACAGTTTATTAACACGAGGCCTCCCTCCGTGAATTAATGGCCCCTTTGTTTCTAGGGGGGCAAGTCTGGGGAAGCGCTCCAGAAAAGCGCAGGATTCTGTCATGTGAAATTTAATCCCAAAATAATGGAAAGGCGCAAGTTTGCTTTTGGTGGCTTCCACTTGGCAGGATTTGGGGTGGTGAGTAGCCAGGAGACACCGAAGCACAAGATTAATAGTTATTAGCAGAGGGATAGAATCAAGATCACGTGACGTTCTAGTGCCGCTTTACAAAGCCTTAGTAAGACCACACTTGGAATAACTGCATCATTTTGATCACCACAATCTAAAAAAGTTGTTGAGACTCTAGAAAGAGTACAGAGAAGAGCAACGGGCCTGGAGGCTAAAACATATGAAGAACGGTTGCAGGAATTGAGTGTGTCTAGTTTAATGAAAAGAAGGACCAGGGGTGGCATGATAGCAGAGTTCCAATATCTCAGGGGCTGCCCCAAAGAAGAGGGAGTCAAGCTATTCTCCAAAGCGCCTGAAGGCAGGACAAGAAGCGATAGATGGAAACTAACCAAGGAATAGAAGCAGCCTAGAACTAAGGCAAAATTTCCTAAGGGTGAGGGCAATTAAATAGAATAACTTGCCTCCAGAAGTTCTTGATCACTGGATGCTTTCAAACAGAGACTGGACAGCCGTTTGTCTGAAATGGAACAGGCTCTCCTGCTTGAGCAGGGGGTTGGACTAGAAGATCTCCAAGGTCCCTTCCAACTCTGTTATTCTATATTTTCCAAGACGCCTGGAGGCAGGACAAGAAGCAACGGGTGGAAACAAAGCAAGGAGAGAAGCAACCTAGAACTAAGGAGAAACTTCCTGACAGTTAGAACAATTAACAACCTGCCTCCAGAAGTGGTGAATGTTCCAACACTGGAGGCTTTTAAGAAGAAACTGGACAGCCATTTGTCCAAAATGGTATAGGGTTTCCTGCCTGAGCAGGGGGTTGGACTAGATGACCTCCAAGGTCCCTTCCAACTTTACTACTACTATTATTATTATTATTATATCCTAGGATAATTCAGTTTTCTCTTTTTCAGGTACTGGGCCTTTGTCCGAAAAACAGATTGCCTACGTCTGCAGGGAAACCCTCCAGGTGAGTGTATAGATGTGGTCATTCTCACTGCCGGGAAAAGCAAACAACATGGAATTCCAGGACTGATAAACAGTACTGATAGTCCTTGATTTACGGCCATTTGTTTAGTGATTGAAGTTAGAACGGCACTGTAAAAAAATAACTTGTGATTGTTTTTCACACTGACGACTGTTGCAGCCTCCCCATGGACACGTGATCAAGCTGATTCATATTTATGTCCCGGAGTCACGTGATCCCCTTTTGCGACCTTCTGACAAGCACAGCCATTGAGGAAGCCGTATCTGATTAGCGACCGTGTTACTAATTTAACAAGCGCAGTGATTCACTTAACAACTGTGGCAAGGCAGGTCGTAAAGCGGGCAAGGCTCACTTAGCCATTGTCTTGCTTAGCAATGTTCTGCTCCATTGTGGTTATAAGGCGAGGATTATCTGTAATTATAACTCGCTTGGCCACCGTTGGGAAATGTTTTTCCACACCTTCTTCCCAGGGTGTTTTCCTGGTCTGACAGTTGAGGCTGCAATTTCCTGGTGGTCTCCCATCCTCTTTCTACCCAGTCCAACTTTGGTCGGCTTCTTGAGGTCAGATGTGTTAAGTTGAGTTTTAATAGGAGATTTTCACGGCTCGACTCAAAGGAGCGACAGACGTTGAGCTTCTATACTAGCAATTGGATCTCAGCGGTACACACCTTTGAGAGGAAACGGTGTTGTTCAATTGTGCATCCTGTTCCCTTCCTGCCTTCCTGTAGCAGAGATAGCTACAAGGCCAGGGCTAGAGTGTGGGTTGTTGGCTGTGTGGGGTTTGTGTGCATCCAGGCATGTGTGTGTGTGGGAAGCTGGGAGAAGCTGAACTGATTGGTTTAGAACAGCGGTCTCCTAATTTGGCAACTTTTAGACTTGTCAACTTCAGCTCCCAGAATTCCCCAACCAGCATGCTTTGAGAGGGGTGGACTTCAACTCCCAGAATTCCCAGCCAGCATGCTTTAAGATGAGTTGACTTCAAGTCCCATGCTGGCTGGGGAATTCTGGGAATTGAAGTCCACCCCCTCTTAAAGTGGGAAAGGTTGAGAAACAGTGCCCTTAACCAATCAGGGTTTCTTCAACAAACCACGGGTTAATCCATCATGCAAACCTGGTTGAGTCTCAGTGCCTCTCTGACAAGCTGTCCCAATTGTCGACTTTTATCCCTGTTTCCCTTTTAGGGACTTCACCACTTGCACACCACAGGGAAAATGCACCGAGACATTAAGGTGAGACAGATTCGGTTTTGTCACTTTTACATCGCTTTTTAAAGCTGTTTGGGGGCTCCGAGCGGGAGAAGGCCAGAGCGTCCCCCCCAAAACGGCCGTCCCACCTTCGGCCTCTGAACCCTTTTCTCTCTCTTTCAGGGGGCCAACATCCTGCTGACGACCAACGGCGAGGTCAAATTGGGTCAGTTCATTTCCGGGTTTCCCTTCCTGTTCAGCCTCTCGGTTCAACCTGTTGGTTTTTTTCTGCAGGGCAGGTCAAAAAAGTCAAGATGGTGGCTGTGGTCAGGCAGCTGAAGCCCCACCTTCTTTGAATAGACAAGGCATGCTAAAAGGGGGCGTGGCTTCAGCTGCAGGACCACAGCCGCCATCTTGAATTTTTCCACACTTAACCCTCTCCCCCCCCCAATGTAGACTTCTGAGTTTGAGGTATTCTGGCTGGGATTGTCCTCTACTTACAAGTTTGTTTAGTGACCGTTCAAAGTTATAATGACTGGACAGCCATTTGTCCGAAATGGTATAGGGTTACCTGCCTGAGCAGGGGGTTGGACTAGATGACCTCCAAGGTCCCTTCCAACATTATTATTATTATTGTTGTTGTTTTGTTGTTGTTGTTGTTGTTGTTGTTGTTGTTGTTATTATTATTATTATTATTATTATTATTATTATTATTATTATTATTATTATTACAACGCATGTGCTTTTCCAAACAAGCATGGAATATCACACTTGGTTTTGTAGTCGTTTTTGGAAACCCGGGATTTGTTTCTCCAGGTCTTCTGAAATTATTCCTCCTTCTCTCTCCTCCACAGCGGATTTTGGTGTCTCGGCAGAACTGACAGCTTCGGTGGCCAAGCGAAAATCGTTCATCGGAACGCCCTATTGGTAAAACACCTGTGTTGCTCTGCTACAGGAATTGGGAATGGCCAGTCTAGAGAAAAGAAGGACGGGGGGGGCATGATAGCAACTGTTCCAGTATTTGAGGGGCTGCCCCAAAGAAGAGGGGGGTCAATTTATTTACCACTGCAGGTAGGACAAGAAACAATGGATGTAAACTAATCCAGAAGAGAATCAACCTAGAATTAAAATTGGCTACCGGTTCTGCCGAAGTGGTGCGAACCGGCTGAATCCCACCACTGCTAGTAACCCAATCAAAGAGACGGGGGCTGAAAGATTGCAGCCCTTTTCCACTCACCCCCCTTCTCTCAAAGGGTCCTTATCCTCTCTTCTGACTTCCAATCAACCTTCCCAGATAGTCCAGTCAGGAAACGCAATCCCGTGAGCTAATTCTAGTTTATTTTAAAGTTACATTAACAGAATCTTGCAGGTCTGGACGTACAAATCTCCCACTCTCCTCTTTTACAGTCTGATTAAGTTAAGGAGACTCTTCTCTGTGTTTCTTTCCCCCACCCTTTAGGCAGCTGAGGGCCATCCCCGCTCTTATCTAAATGTACCACCTTGTCTGAGATGGTATAGGTTCTCCTACTTGAGCAGTGGGCTGGACTAGAAGACCTCCAAGGTCCCTTCCAGTCCTATTCTATTCTATTCTATTCTATTCTATTCTATTCTATTCTATTCTATTCTATTCTATTCTATTCTATTTTCTATTCTATTCTAAAGAGGAACGTGAGTGTGGTTGTGAGTGTGGCCTTCCTCATCTTGCACTCTGTCTGATTCTCCAGGATGGCACCCGAGGTGGCCGCGGTGGAGAAGAAAGGCGGCTACAACCAGCTGTGCGACATCTGGGCCCTGGGCATCACTGCCATTGAACTGGCCGAGCTGCAGCCCCCACTTTTTGACCTCCACCCCATGAGGTAAGGGAGAGGCTGGCAGAGAGCGAGAGAGTCAATGGGGAGACCAGATTCCTTTAACAACCGTGTTACTAACTTAACAACTGCCGTGATTCTCTTAACAACTGTGGCAAGAAAGGTCGTAAAACAGGGCAAAACCTGAGGGTCTCACTTAAGTGGAGGACTAAATGCAATAGAAGGTTTGAACAAGACAAAATAAAACAAAGCAACTGAGCATTTGTGTGAATTGTCCTTTCATTTTGGTGGAATCTTTGAGCATTCCGTGATATCACCACAAATCACCCAATGCGAGAGAAGAAATGTTGTAGACAAGGGATCAGGGTTCCCTTTTCTTTAAAACAGGGGTCTCCAAACTTGGCAACTGGTTTAAGACTTGTGGATTTCAACTCCCAGAATTCCTCAGCCAGTCAAACTTGGAACTTTAAGACTTATGGACTTCAACTCCCAGAATTCCTCAGCCAGTCAAACTTGAAACTTTTAAGAGTTGTGGATTTCAACTCTCAGAATTCCTCAGCCAGCCAAACTTGGCAACTTTAAGACTTATGGACTTCAACTCCCAGAATTCCTCAGCCAGCCAAACTTGGGACTTTAAGACTTGTGGATTTCAACTCTCAGTATTCCTCAGCCAGCCATGCTGGCTGAGGAATTCTGGGAGTTGAAGTCCAGAAGTCTTAAAGTTGCCAAGTTCGGAGACCCCTGCTTTAAAAGAAAGGAGAAAAAGAAAATGGTCCTAACTCTGTTTTGTCTTCTCACTCAGGGCTCTGATGTTGATGGCGAAGAGCAACTTCCAGCCTCCAAAGCTAAAAGACAAGGCGTGTTGGTGAGTATGTGCCTGTGTAAGAGACACAATTCTTCTCCCGTGGTACTAGGAATTTTTCTGTTCATCTGCACTTCCTGTTTTCTCCCGCCAGGTCTCCCGATTTTCACCAGTTCCTCAAACTCTCTTTGACCAAAAATCCTAGGAAACGGCCGGTGGCAGAAAAACTCCTGCAGGTAATGCCAGGCTGGGAGATGGGTAAAAATTAACCCACCAAAACCCCCCATTCCAAAATCAAAATTGTCTAGGAAACAACTCAGGAACGGAGAAGAACACCCCACCGTCTCCACTGGGACGGTGGAGCGATCCGTCAGCTGTCATTTTATTTTCCCAGAATACAGGTAGTCCTTGACTTACGACCACAATTAAGCCCAAAATTTCTGTCACTGTGCGAGATGTTTATTAAGTGAGTTTTGCCACATTTTACGACCTTTCTGGACATGGTGGTTAAGGGAATCACTGGAGTTGTTAAATTAGTGACACGGTTGTGAAGTGAATCCGGCTTCCCCATTGACTTTGCTTGTCAGGAGGTCACAAAAGGGGATCACATGACCCCAGGACACTGCGACCGTCATAAATAGGAACTGGTTGCCAAGGGTTTGAATTCCGGTCCCATGACCATGAGATGTACTGCAGTGGCCATAAGTGTAAATCACTTTTTTTCAGTGCCATTGTAACTTGGAACGGTCACTAAATGAATTGTCGTAAGTTAAGGACTATCTGTATTCTGAGGTAGTGTCACTTCAGGGGATTATGGGATATTTAACTGGACTTCCTGTTTCCCCATTCAATGGGGCCGTCCGTCTTGGCTAGGTTCATGCCTAAGGCAACTTCAAGGTATTATGGGAGGTTTTGGGACTGGGGTGCTCGCAGGTGGAGCAAATCTTAGAGTTCCCTTTGGGGAAACGAGCTCCCGATGAAAGTCGGGAGCGTTTTTGATCCCGTCGGCTGATGGGTGTCTCTTCTCTCCCAGCACCCTTTCGTCTGCCAGCCCTTAGCCCGCGTTTTAGTCATTGAATTACTGGATAAAGCCACAAACCCTGAACTGACCGCTTCCGCCTTGGACGACGGGGATTTTGAGGTACAGTTGTCCAGTTGTGTTGGGTGCTTTGGGACGGAGGGGGGGGGGCAAGGATGGGGATTAATCGCTTTCACTTCAAACCTGGGAAAGTCCATTCCTTGCTACAGAAAAGATGTTGAGACTCTGGAAAGAGTGCAGAGAAGAGCGACAAAGATGATCAGGGGACTGGAGGCTAAGACATACAGGGAACGGTTGCTGGAATTGGGGATGTCTAGTTTAATGAAGAAAAGGACGAGGGGGGACATGATAGCAGCCTTCCAATATCTTAGGGGCTGCCCCAAAGAAGAGGGAGTCAAGTTGTTCTCCAAAGCGCCTGAAGGCAGGACAAGAACCAACAGATGGAAACTAATCAAGGAGAGAAGCAGCCTAGAACTAAGGAGAAACTTCCTGACAGTTAGAACAATTAACAACCTGCCTCCAGAAGCGGTGAATGCTCTAACACTGGAAGTTTTTAAGAAGAGACTGGACAGCCATTTGTCCGAAATGGTATAGTGTTTCCTGCCTTAGCAGGGGGTTGGACTAGATGACCTCCAAGGTCCCTTCCAGTTTTATTATTATTATTGTTATTACTTTGGAAAGAGTGTAGAGAAGAGCAACAAAGATGATTAGGGCCCTGGAATCTAAAACACACGAAGAGCGGTTTCAGGAATCGGGTATGTCTAATTCAGGGGTCTCCAACCTTGGCAACTTTAAGACTTCTGGACTTCAACTCCCAGAATTCCACAATGGTTGGGAACTGATCAAGGAGAGAAGCAACCTGGAATTAAGGAGAAACTTCCTAACAGTGAGGACAATCAACCAGTGGAACAGCTTGCCATCAGAAATCGTGGGTGCTCCATCACTGGAGATTTTTAAGACGAGACTAGACAATCACCTGTCTGAGACGGTATAGGTTCTCCTGCTTGAGCAGGGGGCTGGACTAGAAGACCTCCAAGATCCCTTCCTATTCTATTCTGTTCTATTTTCTATTTTCTGTTCTATTCTATTCTATTCTATTCTATTCTATTCTATTCTATTCTATTCTATTCTATTCTGTAGTTAAGGTTGAGAAGCAACTATTCTATGCTATTCTATGTCAATATTGCCTCTGATGATTGAATGAATGTAAGTTGGGGTGTTTTTATTTAGGGGCAAAACAGACTGCCCCCTCGAAGGACGCCGTTCTGCTTTGAACAGGATATTTTTGTTATATTGGAAACAAAACAAACAAAAAAAATGTCTTTCCCTCCCAATTCAGGCTTATGACGTTTTTCCCGATAAAATCTGCTCCAGTAAGCCACGTGGGCCGGCAGAAGGCACCCTGTCGGAAATCCAGCGTAAGTCATTCAGTTTAACCCATATGTCAGAATTCCCTTCCGGTGCATATAGCACGTTTGCATGCAAGGCCTGGCTGTGCTGACCCATTTTTCTAAGACGTGGGAGGCCTGCTAGAGAGAGAAGATTATGTGGGGAAGAAATGACACCCTGGAGAAGGATGGAATTAAGGTCCTGCACTTGGTCACATGTGGTGGACTTGTAAGGTTATTAAAGCCTTCTGGATAAAATTATGGTGGAATTTACAACAAGTTTTTAAAAGAAGAATTTTTTTTTTGCCTCAGTTGTTTCTCCTAGGTATTACACATAATTTGGATGTAAAAGAAACGAATTTGATGTTGTATTGTTTAACTGCTGCCCGTTTGCTGATAGCTCAAAATTGGNGAGAGTGAAGGTTTCGCATCTTGCTGAAATGGCAAAGATTTCGGCTTATTTGAAGGATCATTCAAATGAACAATTTTTATCAATATGGAGAAGATGGATTGTTTATATTCAAAATAAGCATAGAATGGTGGAATATAGGTTAGGTTTTTAGATAAAAAAATTTTCTTCTTTTTATATATATACATATATTTCACCTACTCATGTAGAATTATATTTTGTGGAGCTAGGGATATTAGTATAAGGTTACTTTTAGATGAATAGTATCCTGGGATTAGGTTTGGGAAGTCCGGGTGGGGGGTGGGGGGGGGTTTTCAATTGTGATGTACTTGTGATTGCTCTTTTTCCTATATTGAAAATAATAAAAAAAAATGTGAAAAAAAAAAAAAAAAAAGGTCCTGCACTTGGGCAAGGAAAACCAGATGGACAGGTACAGGCGAGGCGGTACCTGGCTCAACAGCAGTGGCCGTGGGAGGGATCTAGGTGGTCCTAGTGGACAACGTCTTTTGTTTTTTCTACTTGGAAATGTCTTCTGGTTTCAGAATTTTTATTTAGTTTATCAAGATACGAAACGCAGAAATACAACGAAAAGTGGCAATAAGGGTAAAAGAAGGGAGGAGAAAGGGAAGAGTCAAAAGTGTAGGGGAGAGGGGAGAAAAGGGGGGGGGAAGCATTGACTTACGATAACATGAAACCGCAACGTTTTAGTTTTATATAATAACACGTACTAGCCATTTCTATAACCACAAACCTAAGTCATCGGCAAAACCCAAAATTAAGAGTTTGGGGTTTTTTGGGGACACCTCAAGCACAAAGCCCAGAAACGGTTTCCAAATGGAAACCAAGTTAATTGTGTTCTTTTCTTTAATCAAAGCAGTTGATCTAGTAAACCGTCACTTCTGTATGAGCCAGCCATGTGCTGCAGCTGCTAAAAAGGCCAACGCAGTCCTAGGCTGCATCAACAGAGGGATAGAATCAAGATCAGGTGAAGTGTTAATACCACTTTATAATGCCGTGGTAAGACCACACTTGGAATACTGCATCCAGTTCTGGTCGCCCCGATATAAAAAAAGATGTTGAGACTCTGGAAAGAGTGCAGAGAAGAGCAACAAAGATGATTAGGGGGCTGGAGGCTAAAACATATAAAGAACGGTTGCTGGAATTGGGTATGTCTAGTAGTTTAATGAAGAGAAGGACGAGGGGGGACAGGATAGCAGGGTTCCAATATCTCAGGGGCTGCCCCAAAGAAGAGGGAGTCAAGCTCTTCTCCAAAGCGCCTAAAAGCAAGATAAGAAGCAACGGATGAAAACTAATCAAGGAGAAAAGCAACCTAGAACTAAGGAGAAACTTCCTGACAGTGAGAACAATTAACCAATGGAACAACCTGCCTCCAGAAGCAGTGAATGCTCCAACACTGGAAGTTTTAAAGAAGAGACTGGACATCCATTTGTCTGAAATGGTATAGGGTTTCCTGACTGAGCAGGGGGTTGGACTAGATGACCTCCAAGGTGTCTTCCAACTTTATTATTATTATTATTATTAATAGGCAGGAAAAGAAACAACAGGTAGAAGATCATTAGACAAGCAACCTAGAATTAAGAAGAAATTTCCTGACAGTGAGAACAATTAACCGGTGGAACGGCTTCCCTCCAGAAGTTGTGGGTGCTGCTATACTGGAGCTTTTTAAGAAGACATTGGACAGCCATTTGTCTAAAATGGGATAGGGGTCTCCTGCTTGAGCAGGGGGTTGGACTAGAAGACCTCCAAGGTCCCTCCCAGCGCTATAGTTCTATAATGTAGGACAAGAAATGTAAAACAATTTTTTTTTCTAAAGAACTCAGCTCCGTTGAGGGATCTCCGTGTAACCTGGCTTGTTGTTACTAATCTTCGCAGATTGTGATCCAAAGTCAGGGCAAAATGGCCCATTTTTCCCATTTCTTGTTGCATTCCTTGCAAAGAACCTTTAACATCTGGGGTTTGAGTTTTCTAAAGCTGTGAGTGGACTCTCATCTCTGCCTATCTGGCTGATCTTTAAATTATTCCTGTTTTTCAGTTAACCAGGTTAAATTCGGCCCCCCACTAAGGAAAGAAACAGAGCCGTGGAGCAACCCAGTAAGTGGCATTCACAAGTGTGTGTCTGTGTTGACCTATTGCACAAAGGCAAATTGTTTGGCTTGGCCACGGTCAATTTGTAAACCGTGGTTTGTAGCTGAGAGTATCAATCCTTTAACGGGTGACGAAACAAACTGGGGTTTAGAATTCTTCGTGCATAACGTAAGTTGGTGGTTTTCCTTTGGAGAAATGCTTTGGGAAGATAGTCAAAAACCTCTTCTTCCAGTTTGCCGGATATGGAATACAGGCTGTCCTCGACTTATAACAGTTCATTTAGTGACTGTTCAAAGTCACAACGGCTCTGGAAAAAGTGACTTATGACCGTTTTTCACGCTTACAACTGTTGCAGCATCCCCAGGGTCATATGATCAAAATTCAGATGGTTGACAACTGTTTCATACTTATGACGGTCGCAGTGTCTCATGGAGTCACATGATCCCTTTTTACGACCTTCCGACAAGCAAAGTCAATGGGGGAAAGCCAGATTCGTTTAACAACCATGTCACTAGCTTAACAACTGCAATGATTCACTTAACAACCGGGGCAAAAAAAGTTCGTAAAATGGGGCAAAACTCCCCTAACAACGGCCTTGCTTAGCAACAGGAATTTTGTGTTGCTAAATTGCGGCCGTAATTTGAGGATTACGCGTATGCTCCCATCAATCCTGCTTTTTTTGAAGGCCAGGGTGGGAAATGAAGCAGTCAGCCTTTATTTTGGCCTGTTTAATATGATTATTTTGTCTCTTTTGCAGACGGAAGAAGAGGAAGAGAATTGGATGGTGCTTGGAGACGGAGAGTAAGCAATTTAGGGGAGCAAAGGTGGGGTGGGGCTGCTTTTCCTCCCCCCCTCCCATCCCCGCCTCGCCTGGGCCATTGACTTGCCTCGTGACGGAGCGTGAAAACACGGGCAGCTAATTTCTGCCACTTTGAAACTCTTAAGCTGAATTCACTTGTCTAGTCTAAAACTGGGCTGGCTGCAGAATGCCAATCTGGATCAAGCTATATTGTCTTAAGCATGCTGTGCAAACAGAGACATGAAGTTTTGTTAACTCAGGGTTTGCACAAAGCCTGTGTTGTGTAGTGGGGTTTGATTTCACGCTGGTGGGTGGCCCAAACCCAGCCAATCGTGGTTTGGCCAATAAATCCTGATGGATGCCTATGGAGATTCTCCATCATCCATGTCATGGTTATCCCAAAAGTGTTGTTTTTTTTTCCAAAAGGCAACTGGACTTTGTTCTTGAAGATGTTTTGCTTGTCGCTCAAGAAGCTTCTTCAGTTCTGTCTGGAGGGTGGGGAATGGAAGGATTTATATTCCTTGCAGTCATCTGGTTGTTAGTATTCTCTCTGAGAGTCGTTGAGGCCACGTGGAGGTTTATCTGTGCCCTCAGGGTCACCTGAATAGTGCAAATGGGTGTGGAGCCTTCTTGGAAGTGCTGAAAGGAGTTTCAGTGTGTTTCAGTGTGTTTACAACACGGTCCTTTCAGCAATTCCAAGAAGGCTCCACACCCATTTGAACTATTCAGGTGTCCCTGAGGGCACAGATCAACCTCCAAGTGGCCTCAACGACTCTCAGAGAGAATACCAACAACCAGATGACTGCGAGGAATATGAATCCTTCCGTCCTCCACCGTTCAGTCAGAGCTGAAGAAGCTTCTTGGATGAGAAGTGAAACGTCTTCAAGGAAAAAACAAGGAAGTCCAGTTGTCTTTTGAAAAAGCAACTTTGGGTAAACCCTGATGGGGCACACTGTGGCTTGGCGTGATACACAGACCGAACGACTGATGGGTAACTTAGCACCATGTTTCCCCCATTCCTTAGGAGCCTGCTTCAGTCTGTCGAAGAGGCCCTGGAAGAGAGGTAAGAGGCGACGGAGAGGAATTTAGAAACTCTGGGGAACTAACAGAGTTCTTCCTTAGACAGGCCAACATTAAACCTGGTGGGTTGTTTTCTATCCCCAATAAAACTTTTAAACGATCGTCTTGCCCAGCTCAGCATCTTTTGGGGACCATCTTGATGGTGGCCTCAATATGACTGCCATCCAAACCAGGTGAGATTCGGGTTATGATCACAATTGAGAACAGAATTCTGTTGCTAATCAAGGCGGCCGTTAAGGGGGTTGTGCTGTTCTGTTCTATATTCTAATTGTATTCTATTTTTTATTCTGTTCTGTTCTGTTCTATTCTAATCTATTCCTATCACATTATTCTTCTCTTCTCTTCTCTTCTCTTCTCTTCTCTTCTCTTCTCTTCTCTTCTATTCTCTTCTCTTCTATTCTATTCTATTCTATTCTATTCTATTCTATTCTATTCTATTCTATTCTATTCTATTCTATTCTATTCCCATAATGGCGCAGTGGTTAGAATGCAGTATTGCAGGCTACACTCTGACCACTGCCAGTAGTTTGATCTTGACCAGCTCAAGGTTGACTCAGCCTTCCATCCTTCCCAGATTGGTAAAATGAGGACCCGGATTGTTGGGGGCAAGAGGCTGACTCTGTAAACCGCTTAGAGAGGGCTCTAAAGCAATGTGAAGCGGTATATAGGTCTAAGTGCTATTGCTACTTCCCGTGCAAAAACTTCAAAACTGGCTTTGCTTCTTCTGCGCCTATGTGGAATTATCAGTAAAGTTATACTCTTGGTAAAATAATGTCCCAAGAATTTCTTTGGCTGCATATGCCAACGGGACGTTGGCTGCATATGCCAACGGGACGTTGGCTGCATATGCCAACGGGACGGTTGACATCTTTCAACTTTTCTCCATTCTTTTATTCTGCTTCTATTTTATTTTATTTTTTTAAAAAAATGCCTTTTCTTCCATAGGAGTCTAACGATCCGCCCGGCACGTCCTACGGATCAGGTATGGTTCCGGGTTCTCCAAACGGCACCAGTTCCTTGAAACAGCCACTTCCTTTTCATTCTGCAAACATTTCTGTGGTTTTTTTTCCCCCTGCAGACTCAGGAAGAACAGCAGACCGACGGACTTGGGGAAGATGTTTCCAGCACTATCAAAAGAGGCCCCTTCTGGGATTTCCTCAACCTGGAGCTCTCCTATAAGGCTCCTTGGGAACAGGATGGGGAGCGCTCGGATCTGGAGGGACCGAGGGGCCACACCGTCCCAGGTAAAGAGGAACGACGAGATTCAGCATCTTTCTCTTTGTATTCCGAGACTAAGTGATCATCAGATGCTCTCACGCTGCTGATACACACGACCGAACGTTTATTTGATAAAGAGGCGTATTTACGTCTAGTGCAGAGGTGTCCAAAACTTGGCCCCTTTAAGACTTGTGGACTTCAACTCCCAGAATCCCTCAGGCAGCATGTTGAAGTTGCTTTTGTTATTTATCTTTTGACAATAGGCAATGGGGCCTTCGGTGGGATGCCAGACCCTCCGGGGGTGGATTCTTCCAAACCTGCAGACTGCCTGCTCTCCACTGAGTGGGCCACGATGAAGAAGAAGGAGGAAGCCACCGTAAGTGTGATTAATAATAATAACAATAATAACAATAAAGTTGGAAGGGACCTTGGAGGTCATCGAGTCCAACCCCCCCCTCAGGCAGGAAACCCCATACTATTTCAGACAAATGGCTGTCCAGTCTCTTCTTAAAAACTTCCAGTGTTGGAGCATTCACCACTTCTGGAGGCAGGTTGTTCCACTGGCTAATTGTTCTCACTGTCAGGAAGTTTCTCCTTAGTTCTAAGTTGCTTCTCTCCTTGATTAGTTTCCATCCGTTGCTTCTTGTCCTGCCTTCAGGCGCCTTGGAGAATAGCTTGACTCCCTCTTTTTTGTGGCAGCCCCTGAGATATTGGAAGGCTGCTATCATGTTCCCCCTCGTCCTTCTCTTCATTAAACTAGACATACCCAATTCCAGCAACCATTCCTGATATGTTTTAGCCTCAGGATTTTTCAAACTGAGTTCAGCAGGACAGTCAGATTCCTCCAAGAATGGGTGGCTTTTATTTTACGTATTTATCGAATTTCAATACGCCCTGGGCCATTTACTAATAAAGCACAGTATAGTGGTGCAAAAGCTACAAATAAGAGCAAGTTAAAAGCCAGACGAAAACCAAGTTAAAAGGGGCAATTACGAAAGACTGAGGAAAAAAAATATCCGTGCAGATAAACAGCCAGCTTTTTATCCGTACAGCACAGGGGGCCAACCTCGGCAACTTTAAGACCTGTGGACTTCAACTCCCAGAATTCCCCAGCTAGGCTAGGCACGCTGGCTGAGGAATTCTGGGAGTTGAAGTCCACAAGTCATAATAGGGCCAAGTTTGAAGACCGCTATTGTAAGCCGAGGACCATCTGTACAGAAGAGAACGTGGGCTTCTCTTGGGTGGCTCCGGAGGGCGGGGCCAGAATTATCAGGATAAAATTGCAAGCAAGGAGATTCAAGTTAGACTTTGAAAGGAAGTCGCTGAATTGTAGGAGCTGTCAGCCCGCGGAACAACCTGCCACAAGTAGTTGTGAGCTCTCCTTGGTAGGAGTTTTCCAACAGAGGCTGTATCTGTCTGGAATGCTGTAGAGAATCCTGAACTGAGCGGGCGGTTGGACTAGAGGACCTCTTAAGTTCCCATCCGACCCTGGGATTTTTTGATTTTGTGAAATGAGTCCGGTCAAATTCCTGGTCTTCTCCCACCAAAGCAGGAAGATTAAGTCTGCGGTTGTGCGAGGAATGGGATTAGAGACAGCCTTGTTTCTTATTATTATTAAAAAAAAAATAAGGGGAACTTTTAAAAAAATGTTCCTTTAATGCTTCTCTCTCTGTCCATCACCTTTTTAGAGGTTGCTGTGCCACGGATTGCCTCCTACACCCAAAGTTCATGTAAGTTGAGTTTGCTTCTTCCCTACCAACAGGAATCTCTGGATTGATTTATCTGTTTAGCGCAGGGGTCTTCAGACAGGATGCCTGGCTGAGGAATTCTGGGAGTTGAAGTCCACAAGTCATAAAAGGGCCAAGTTTGAAGACCCCTGATTTAGCATATATGGCATATCATACAGGGACTAGCAATCCCTATTAACCATTCACGTGGATTAGTAAAACGTAACAAAATACAAATATTTAAAAAGGTCTGCGTTCAGATGCTCCTCTATCTTCGAATAAAACGTTCAAATACATGCTCAGAATTGTTTTTTTCTTTTCTTTTATTTGTTGTCTGTTTTTGTTTTATGTATTTATTTTGTTTGAACCCATGTTTGAATAAAGCCCAGGAATCCCTGGAACTTAACATTTTAACATAAGCCAGTTTTGGTTGTTACTTTCCAACTGAACTGAATTGGAAAGCAACCAGCTTTTTTTCCCACCCACGGAATCTGGCAAGGAAAAAGCCAGGACCCCAAATCAGTGTGTTGATAAGGGAGAAATGGATATCATTTTTTAAAAAAAGAAAAATATGGTTTCAGGGAACAGCTAGGGTGTGTGTTATTTAAGGCCAGTGGTGTATATTTCGGTGGCTGTGAGTTTGTGTGGTGCGTGACGAATACTGTAAAATGTGAAAATAAGCTGAAATGAACTTCTGCCTGGAGACAACGCAAGTGGGCGGCTTTGCAAAATGCTTGGGTGCAAACTGTGAAAATCTGGCAGTTTTGCTCACTTAGAGGGGTTAGAAAAGTCTAAAATCTGATTATGACTAAAATGGGGGCGTGGGGGGGGGGAAACGATGGCCTTTTTACGATCTGTGGACTTCAACTCCCAGAATTCCTGAGCCAGATTGGATCTAAAGTCTAAACATGAGATAAAAAGCAGTAAATCTCAGTCATTTCCTGCACACACACACACACAAACACAACCCAGTATCCAAATATTCCATTTCCTCCTTTCCCAGATGGGAGCCTGTTTTTCCAAAGTTTTCAACGGCTGCCCGCTGAAGATCAACTCAGCTACAACGTGGATCCACCCAGAAACACGAGGTAGAGGTTTTATTTCTTGTTCATTTCTGCAATTGACGTTCCATCAAAAGATGGTATACATAACGGTGTTTCTCAACCTTGATACATTAAAAGGTGTGGACTTCAACTCCCAGAATTCCCTATCCAGCATGCCTTAAGATGAGTGGACTTCAGCTCCCAGAATTCCCCAGCCAGAATAATTTAAAACGGGTGGACTTCAACTCCCAGAATTCCCCAGCCAGCATTCTTTATGAGGTGTGGACTTCAATTCCCAGAAATACCCTGCCAACATGCTGGCTAAGGACTTCTGGGAGTTGAAGTCCACACATCTTAAAAGATGGCAAGGTTGAGAAACACAGATGCAATTTTTCCCCACAATATCAGCCCTGCAGGGTAGGTTGGACCTGGTGGGAATTTATAGTCAAGAGAAACCTCTTCATTCCTAATCCACTATATTGTATTCTCTTTCAACGTTGCCAATCATGGTTTATAACACTTTCCTTGTCTGGTTTGCAGATCTGTATCTGGTCGTGGGAGCGGAGGAAGGCATTTACACCTTGAATCTTCACGAGCTCCACGAAGACACGATGGAGAAGGTGAGTCCCCTGCAGAGAAACACGAGGAAAGAAGCGGTGGGAGGGGTCCTTTGCTGCAAACCATGATTAAGCCACCCTGTGGCCGCGCAGTCCCTCTGCTCTCTGCTTAAGCTGCAATGGATGGGTTTGGATTTCTGGCTCTCTATAATTTAACAAGAACTTCGCTGCTTGACATTTTTCTTACTTTGTTTAATTTATAACGCACTGGTATGATTTTTATAAATAATTCAAGCTGGCAAGCGTACCTAATACTACATTCTCCTCCTATTTTCCCCATAACGACAACCCTGTGAGGTGGATTGGACTGAGAGAGAGGGACCAGCCCAAAGTCACCCAGCTGGCTTTCATGCCTAAGGCGGGACTAGAACTCACCGTCTCCTGGTGATTGACCCAAAGTCACCCAGCCACCTCTTATGCCTAAGGGAAGACTAGAACTCACGGTCTCCTGGTGATTGGTCCAAAGTCACCGTTACCTTTAGTGCCTGAGGCAAGACTAGAACTCACCGTCTCCTGGTGATTGGTCCAAAGTCACTCAACCACCTTGCATGGCTAAGGCAAGATTAGAACTCACCGTATCCTGGTGATTGGTCCATAGTCACCCAGCCACGTTTAGTGCCTGAGGCAAGACTAGAACTCACCGTCTCCTGGTGATTGGTCCCAAGTCACCCAGTGGGCTTTCATGTCTTAAGGAGGAACAAAAATTCACCGTTCAGCATCCTCACCTTGTTGAGGACCCAGATTGTTGGGGACAACATGCTGACTCGGTAAACCGCTTAGACAGCCCAGCGAGGCGATATATAAGTCCAAGCGCTATTGCTATTGCTATCTCCTGGTGATTGGTCCAAAGTCAGCCAGCCAACTGAGACAGAACTAGAACTCATCAGCGCCTAGATTCTATCCTGATGCCTTAACCACTAGACCAGCGGTAGGCAACCTTGGCTCTTTTATGACTGGTGGACTTCAACTCCCAGAATTCCTGAGCCAGCATGGCTCAGCTTGGAAACCTCTCCCTTTCCCCTCAGCGTGGCTGGCTCAGGAATTCTGGGAGTTGAAGTCCACCAGTCATAAAAGGGCCAAGGTTGCCTACCCCTGGACTAGACCAATCTGCCTGTCGTGTTTCGTGCCTTGCGGCAGGGCCCTGACTGTGCTTTTCCCTAATCTGAAATAACCCAGACTGACGGACTTTTTCTTCTCTTCCCCTCCCTCCTTTCTCCCACCAGCTCCTTCCCCACCGGTGCTCCTGGCTCTACTGCATCAACAACACGCTCCTGACTTTGGCAGGCGAGTCTCCAAAGGGCTGGGAAATAACTTTTGTTTTCTCCGTTTGGGAACAACTTTCCATCCCGGATGATCCGCTTTGGGACGGACAGAAGGTTTGGCATCCGCGGGCTTCCTCCCTTAGGCCACCGGAAGGTTGCAGTGACGGCCATGGGTGGATGTTGGAGCCAGCTAAATTGGGGGTGGGGGCTCCTTGTTTAAAAGACTTGCAAAGGCAAGTACAGTCCTGGGGTGCCGTTTCTGCTTTTTTTTGTGCAAAGGGGCTTCTGGAGGTTTCTGGAGTGACCCCCCCAAAACCAAGCAAATTTGTTAAGACAAATTTGCATCTTTCTGGCCGTGCTGGAAAACCTTTGACGAGGGAGATGAGAGTTTAGTCCCAGATCAGTTGTCAGTCCCAAAAACCGGGCGTAGTTCGTAAACGGTTGGATCCAATTACAGATTGCCCTTGAATTAACAACTATTCATTTAGTGACTGTTTGCAGTTACGACGGCACTGACAAAAGTGATTTATGACCATTTTTCATACTTACAACCGTTGCGGCATCCCTGTGGTCATGTGATCAAAATTCGGCTGCTTGGCAACTGATTCGTATTTATATAATAATAATAATAATAATAATAATAATAATAATAATAATAATAATAATAATAATAATAATAATAATAATAATAATAATAATAATAATAATAATAATAATAATAATAATAATAATAATAATAATAAAGTTGGAAGGGACCTTGGAGGTCATCTAGTCCAACCTCCTGCTCAGGCAGGAAACCCTATATTACCATTCCAGACAAATGGCTGTCCAGTCTCTTCTTAAAACCTTCCAGGGTTGGAGCATTCACCGCTTCTGGAGGCAGGTAGTTCCACTGATTAATTGTTCTAACTGTCAGGAAGTTTCTCCTTAGTTCTAGGTTGCTTCTCTCCTTGATGAGTTTCCATCCGTTGCTTCTTGTCCTGCCTTCTTCAGGTGCTTTGGAGAATAGCTTGACTCCCTCTTCTTTGGGGCAGCCCCTGAGATATTGGAAGACTGCTATCCTGTCCCCCCTCGTCCTTCTCTCCGTTAAACTAGACATCCCCAATTCCAGCAACCGTTCTTTATATGTTTTAGCCTCCAGCCCTCTAATCATCTTTGTTGCTCTTCTCTGCACTCTTTCTAGAGTCTCAACATCTTTTTTACATCGCGGTGACCAAAACTGGATGCAGTATTCCAAGTGTGGCCTTACCAAGGCCTTGTAAAGTGGTATTAACACTTCACGTGATCTTGATTCTATCCCTCTGTTAATGCAGCCTAGCACTGCATTGGCTTTTCTGGCAGCTGCAGCACACGGCTGGCTCATAGTTAAGGGATTGTCCATATTTAAGTGATTTATGACGGTTGCCGTGTCCCGGGGTCAGCGGATTCCCCTTTTGCGGCCTTCGGAGAAGTCTATGGGGAAGCCAGATAAATTTAACAGATGTGTTACCAACTTAACAACCGCCGTGATTCACTTAGCAATGGCGACAAGAAAGGTTGTAAAATGGGGCAAAGCTCGGTTAAACAGACGTATCGCTCAGCAACTGAAACTTTGGGCTCAGTTACGGTCGTAAGTCAACACCTGTGACATTTTCCGAAGTTGGAGGCAAGCCAAGTTTGGAAAAGTGTTTTTTTTTTTAAAAAAAAAAGGAAGTGAGTTTAGGAGGTAGTTTCCACAGACATCTAGCTAGGAGAAAGACTAAGAAGCAGAGTGATTCAGCCTTTCCCACCTAGACTCATCCCTTCTGCTCGTTCCAGGAAAGTCCCCCCAGGTCTCTTCACACAACCTCTTGGGTCTCTTCGAGCAACGTCGTCAGCTTCAAAAGCGTCCGGTTCCTCTTTCCATCGCCACCAACCGACTGACGGAGAGGATCATCCCCAGGTGGGCAGAGGTGAGGGGGAGGAGGGGCCAGAGGTCCCCAAGGAAGTCTAATGGAAGGTGGGAATGGCCTTGGGAGAGGAGGGGGGAAGCGGTGCTGCCTAGGGTAAATTGGAATGGAGTGGAGTGGAATAGAATATAGAATAGAATAGAATTAGAATTAGAATTAGAATTAGAATTAGAATTAGAATAGAATAGAACAGAATAGAATATAGAATAGAATAGAATAGAATAGAATAGAATAGAATAGAATAGAATAGAATAGAATAGAATAGAATATAAAAAATAGAATAGAATAGAATGGAATAGAATAGAATAGAATAGAATAGAATAGAAAATGGGAATAGAAAATGGGAATAGAAAATGGGAATAGAAAATGGGAATGGAATGGAATGGAATGGAATAGAATAGAATAGAATAGAAAATGGGAATAGAAAATGGGAATGGAATGGAATGGAATGGAATAGAATAGAATAGAATAGAATAGAATAGAATAGAATAGAATAGAATAGAATAGAATAGAATAGAATAGAAAATGGGAATAGAAAATGGGAATGGAATGGAATGGAATGGAATAGAATGGAATAGAATAGAAATAAAAAATGGGAATAGAAAATGGAATGGGAATAGAATAGAATAGAATAGATAATGAAATGGGATACAATACAATATACACACACAAACGTACGTACACACACACCTATCACTCCTGTTTTAAACCCTATTCCTTTTGCAGGAAGTTTGCCCTCTCGGCCAAGATAGCAGACACCAAAGGCTGCCTTAAGTGTCAAATCGGTGAGTGGCGACTTCTCAGTTGATTTGTCACCTCTCTTGAATTTGCCTCTGGACTCTGACTGTGCCTTTCCCCAACTTTCAGAGCTGGGCTGTGCAACTCCCAGAATCCCCCAGCCAGCAGGGCCCTTGCTGAGAATTCTGGGATGGTGATCTTTTAGAAGTATGAATTACAACTCCCAGAATTCCCCAGCCAGCATGGCCCCTGGGAGGGAGGGAGGAGAGATTGGAGGGAAGGCTGGAGGGGAAAAAAAAGACGGAGGGAGGAAGAGAGGGAGGGAGGAAAGGAAGGAAGGGAGGAAGGGAGGAAAGAGATCAGAGGGAAGGCAGGAGGGTAAAAGAAAGAGGGAGGGAGAGAGGAAGAGGGAGGGAGGAAGAGAGGGAGGGAGGAAGGGAGGGAAGAGAGATAGGAGGGAAGGCAGGAGGGAAAAAGAAAGGGAGGGAGGAAAGGAAGGAAGGAAGATAGGAAGGAAGGAAGGGAGGGAGGGAGGGGAGATCGGAGGGAAGGCAGGAGGAAAAAAAGACAGGGAGGAAGGAAGATAGGAAGAAGGAAGGGAAGGAGGAAGGGAGGGAGGGAGGGAGGGAAAGAGGGAGGGAAAAAGGAGCCCCACAAAGGAATAACGAGTGTTCAGTTTGGGACTCCTAACCTCTGCATTAGGTTCCCCTTGAAAAAGGCTTCTGGAACTGGGCCGATGCCAACCAGGGTTTGTTTTTTGGAAGCTCCTGCTGGCTGTAGCAGCAACAGGCGAGACCAGCAGTCGGTGGCTAATCCCATCCTCTGTTTGTTTGCTTGTTTGTTTGCTTCAGTCCGAAATCCTTACTCAGGAAACACCTTTCTGTGTGCCGCCCTGCCCTCCAGCCTGGCCCTCCTCCAGTGGTACGAACCTTTGCAGAAATTTATGCTACTGAAGGTACGTGGCTGGCTGCAAGCCATCGGGAGCCCCTGGGTTTTTTTCCCCCAGGGCCACCCAGGTTCTGCTTGGCTGCTCACCGGTATCTTCTCTGTTTTATTTTTTTATTCCTTGGCCAGCATGTCCCTGTGCTGCTCCCCAATCCCCTCTCCCTGTTCGAGCTGCTGGTCGTGGAGACGGAGGAGTATCCGCAAGTGTGCTTTGGCGTCACCGGCAGCGACCAGCCGGGGGCCGAGCTGCATTTCAGCGTCCTCTCGCTCAGCACTGGCCACACCAGCTCCAGCCCTTCCAGTAAGAAAGGATATTTGGCGGGGTGGAAGGAAAGGAAAGGAAAGGAAATAGAATGGGAAGAAGGAAGGAAGGACTAAGAGAGAGGAAAGGAAAGGAAAGGAAAGGAAAGGAAGAAGGAAGGACTAAGGGGGGAAGGCAGAAGGAAGAACTAAGAGAGGAAAGGAAAGGGAAGGTAGAATGGGAAGGAAGAAGGAAGGACTAAGAGAAAGGAAAGGAAAGATAGAAAGGGAGGGAGGGAGGAAGGACTAACAGGAAAGGAAAGAAGGAAAGGAGGAAAGAAGGACTAAGAGAGGAAAGGGAAGGAAAGGAAAGGAAAGATAGAATGGGAGGGAGGAATGAAGGACTAACAGAGAGAATAGGAAAGGAAAGGAAAGGAAAGGAAAGGAAAGGAAAGAGGGAGGGAAAGAGGGAGGGAAAGAAGGTGGGTGGGAGAACCAGATTGTAGAATCTCTTAAAGATGGACTGCTGGATCTTGTCCTGATGGCTTTGTTCTCCTCTAAGTTGTGTCATGCATTTATGGAGGGGTTGTTTTGTTTCCCCAATGTACAAAAGTATCTCCATAGACCAGGGATAGGCAACCTTGGCTCTTTTAGGACTCGTGGACTTCAACTCCCAGAATTCCTGAGCCAGCATGAGGGAAACTTTGGCCCCCTTATGACTTGTGGACTTCAACTCCCAGAATTCCTGAGCCAGCATGAGGGAAACTTTGGCTCCCTCATGACTTGTGGACTTCAACTCCCAGAATTCCTGAGCCAGCATGAGGGAAACTTTGGCCCCCTCATGACTCGTGGACTTCAACTCCCAGAATTCCTGAGCCAGCATGGCTCAGCTTGGAAACCTCTCCCTTTCCCCTCAGCACGGCTGGCTCAGGAATTCTGGGAGTTGAAGTCCACCAGTCCTAAAAGAGCCAAGGTTGCCTACCCCTGCCATAGACATTGACCTTCTTAAGGGGCTTCCGACAAGCAAAGTCAACGAGGGAAGGCAGATTCGCTTAACGACTGCCCGATTCGCTTAACAAACCCAGCAAAAAAAGTCATCATGTCGGACGTGATTCACTTAACCACCGCATCGCTTAGTGACGGACGTTCCGGTCCCAATTGGAGCTGTAATTCAAGGACTACTTATACAGTGTGCCCTAAGCTGGACCGTTTCCAGATACGTAGCCTTAATTCACAACGTTCCGAATTTTGAGGCTTGATGATCCCCCCAATATGTGGACTTCAACTCCCAGAATTCCCCTTTTAATTCATCCGGAAAGCAATTTAAACACCAGTTTTTTGCTTACCAAGCTTTGTTGCGCGGCATTTGCTTCTCTCCTCTTGTAGGGCGTCCTCTCGTTCTGGCCAGCCACGTCACTCAGATGGACCGAGACACTGTCCTCGTTTGTTTTGAACGTAAGTTCTTCTAGAACATAGACTCCTTCGGCTGGAGGGGACCTCGGAGGTCTTCTAGTCCAATCCCCTGCTCAAGGCAGGAGACTATATATACCATCCTAGTCAAACGGTTGTCCAGTCTATTTTTGAAAACCTCCAGTGATGGAGCACCCACAACCTCTGGTGGCAAACCATTCCATGGGTTAATTGTTCTCACCGGCAGGAAATTCCTCCTTAATTCTAGGTTGGACCTCTCTTTAATTATCTTCCATCCATTTTTGTCCTGCCCTTGGTACTTGGCGGCAGACTCCCCGACCTTTTGGGCACCGGGGACCGATTCTATGGAAAGAGGTTTTTCCGTGGACTGGAATTCCTCAGCCGGCCATTTTGATGAAACTGCGGGCTTGGATTCAGACCAGGGGTCTTCCAACTTGGCCCTTTTATGACTGGTGGACTTCAACTTCCAGAATTCCTCAGTCGGCCATTTTGATGAAACTGCGGGCTTGGATTCAGACCAGGGGTCTTCCAACTTGGCCCTTTTATGACTGGTGGACTCCCACTCCCAGAATTCCTCAGTCGGCCATTTTGATGAAACTGCGGGCTTGGATCCAGACCAGGGGTCTTCAAACTTGGCCCTTTTATGACTGGTGGACTTCAACTTCCAGAATTCCTCAGTCGGCCATTTTGATGAAAGTGTGGGCTTGGATCCAGACCAGGGGTCTTCAAACTTGGCCCTTTTATGACTGGTGCTTGGCTGAGGAATTCTGGGAGTTGAAGTCCACAGTCATAAAAGGACCAAGTTTGAAGACCCCTGGACTAGACATACCTAGGTCCACTCAATCGTTGGTCATATGAATGGTTTTCTTGGGGAGTTTTTCTTTTTTTGGCCTCCGTTTTTTCTCTTCCCATTCTTGCGATGCCTCTTCGTCCTTCCAAGCCCTTCTCTTCTCCTCCAGGCTGCGTCCGGGTCGTGAATCTTCGGGGGACGCCACAGGGGGTGTTTGCACCGGAGCTTGTTTTCAATTTCCCCATTGAAACCATTGGTACGTAAAGATATTTGTAACTCAGGGTTGAAATATAGGGGTCCTTGGTGCTCTCTGAGCTTGGTGGTTTTCTTGCAGACGTTTCATGACCCAACTAGGGAACATCATCAGTGCTAGTAAGGAGTGGGGTTTGTGGAGAGGAGGAGGAGGAGGAGGACTGTAGGGTCCTTGGTGCTCTCTGAGTTGGTTGTTTTCTTGCAGACATTTCATGACCCAACTAGGGAACATTATCAGTGCTAGAAGGGAGGAGGAGGAGGAGGTGGAAAAGGACTGGGATTCTTGATGCTCTCGGAGTTGGTTGTTTTCTTGCAGATATTTCATGTTATCTATTTGATAACATCAGTGCTAGAAGGGAAGCACAGATAACCTACCTATGGTAGTTGGATATGAAATGTCTGCAAGAGGACCAAAAAACAAATTTGATTCATTTAATTTTTTTAAAAAATGAAATGCAACAAACAAAATGCAGAAAAATCCCCACAGTGGGATCAGAGTCAACATGTGTTCCTAAGGTCTTAGAATAGAATAGAGCTGGAAGGGACCTTGGAGGTCTTCTAGTCCAGCCCCCCCCGCTCAGGCAGGAGAACCTATACCATCTCAGACAAGTGACTGTCCAGTCTCTTCTTAAAAACCTCCAGGGATGGAGTGCCCACGATTTCTGGTGGCAAGCTGTTCCACTGGTTGATTGTCCTCACTGTTAGGAAGTTTCTCCTTAATTCCAGGTTGCAATTGTCTCGCTCAAGTCATCTTTTTTTTCCTTTCGATTCCTTGATGACTTGGTTTCTTCTTGGCAATGACATGGCAGAAGTTCCCTCCTGCCTTTCTCTGGGGACAGGTTTTGACTTTCCAACTATGTGATTTCCTAGTGGTATCCTTTCCTAGCACTCACCAAATACTATCCTGCTTGGGATTTTTTCTAAGTCAACTTTCTCTGCCAACAGCTGAAAAGAACAGAAACAAATTCTCAAGTGAGAACAATCCCTGGTAGCTTCAGAGCAGTGTTTCTCAACCTTAGCAAGTTGAAGATGGGTGGATTTCCAGAATCTGGAAATCAGCTGGCTGGGGAATTCTGGGAGTTGAAATCCACCCATCTTTAAGTTGCTAGGGTTGAGAAACGCTGTCTATTAAATTTTCTTGGCAATTCTGTAGTATAGAAGCAGTTCTCCATTGAGATCATTTAAACTTTCCAGCTTAGTCTATACCTGGTGGTCTCCCATCCGAAGACTGCTTAGCTTCCTGGCACAAACAAGATGGCTTCTAATAACCTCTCTGCTTCCCCGCAGTGTGCCTTCAAGACAGTGTCTTGGCTTTCTGGAAACACGGCATGCAAGGCCGAAGCCTGGAATCCAGTGAGGTGAGTATAACAAGCCACACACAAAGGGTGTCTTTTGCCATAAAATAACAGCACAATAAAAAAAAAATGCCATGTCCATTTGAAACAACCTAAACGTGTTGTAGCTTCAAGCTCATAACCGGATTGTTACAAGGGTGTGTGAGTTCCCACAACAGACTGACTGACCCACAAACCATTCAGAATCAAGCCTCCTGTGTGATTAAGACCCCCCAGGGCACTGAAGGATCAAGAAGGACTATATAATTTAAACGTTCACCGAAGATCCCAACTCCATCCCTTTGTATGTTGGTCTTTAACATGTGTCCTACTTGAGGGTTGGACTAGAAGACCTCCAAGGTCCCTTCCAACTCTGCTATTCCGGTATTCTCTTTATTTTAATGTTTAACATGAATCACAATATTTTTAATTCATGATATCTGTACCGTACGTTGCTTTTATGATGTGAGGAGCGTCCCAGCGTCATTGGAAAATGAAATGGGCAGCGTATAAATTTAATAAATAAATGGGTTTGCACCTCAACAGGTGACGCAGGAGGTCACAGACGAATCCAGGATGTTCCGAGTCTTGGGTGCTCACAGGTGAGTCACCAATAAAGAGATCAGTAGTTTGCAAATCTTTGCCCCCCCACCACGCACCCCCATTTCCACGACAGATCCCAGTTTGCAGGTTTCAAGGAAGGAAACCCATTTCTTCTTTGAGTTAGAAATAGGCCAGCCATTGCAGGAAGACTCTGTTGTACTTCTGGCTCTTCCGGAAGCATTCCAAGATCAAACAAAGGGATATAGAATCAAGATCACGTGAAGTGTTAATACCACTTTACAAGGCCTTGGTAAGGCCACACTTGGAATACTGTGTCCGGTTTTGGTCACCATGATGTAAAAAAGATGTTGAGACTCTAGAAAGAGTACAGAGAAGAGCAACAAAGAGGATTAGGGGACTGGAGGCTAAAACATACGATGAACGGTTGCTGGAATTGGGGATGTCTAGTTTAATGAAGAGAAGGACGAGGGGGGACAGGATAGCAGCGTTCCAATATCTCAGGGGCTGCCCCAAAGAAGAGGGAGTCAAGCTCTTCTCCAAAGCCCCTGAAGGCAGGACAAGAAGCAACCGATGGAAACTAATCAAGGAGAGAAGCAACCTAGAACTAAGGAGAAACTTCCTGACACTGAGAACAATTAGCCAGTGGAACAACCTGCCTCCAGAAGCGGTGAATGCTTCAACTCTGGAAGTTTTTAAGAAGAGACTGGACAGCCATTTGTCCGAAATGGTATAGGGTTTCCTGCCTGAGCAGGGGGTTGGATTAGATGACCACCAAGATCCCTTCCAACTTTATTATTGTTATTGTTATAAAATCCTTGTTCCCACTTGAGACGGGCACTAGAGAATTCAGAATGCTTCTGGTATGGGGAGGGACAATACATCTGAAGTGGAATACTGCCATCTGAATGTCCCACTTTCTAAACATTTTGCACACTATGCATAATTCTCTGATGGCCGGGAACTCTGCTTGTTGACCCATTCGGAGTCATGAGTTAAGTGTCGGCCTTTTTGCTAATTCCCTGATGGCCTTTTGCAACCTCAGGATGACAGAGTAGATCGATGGATGGCTCCTGGACCGGTGTTTCTCTAACTCAGCAACTTTAAGATACGTGGCCTTCAACTCCCAGAATTCCCCAGCAATATGCTTTTAAGGTATCTGGACTTCGACTCTTAGAATTTCCCAACCAACATGCTTTAGTGTGTGGGCTTCAACTCCCAGAATTATTGGCTGGGGAATGCTGGGAATTGAAGCTCACCCATCTTCAAGCATGCTAGCTGGGGGATTCTGGGAATTGAAGCCCACCTATCTTCAAGCATGCTAGCTGGGGGATTCTGGGAATTGAAGCCCACCTATCTTCAAGCATGCTAGCTGAGGAATTCTGGGAATTGAAGTCCACCCGCCTTCAAGCATGCTAGCTGGGGGATTCTGGGAGTTGTAGTTCAGACAGCTTACAACAGGCTGGCTAGGGAATTCTGGGAGTTGACGCCCAGCCATTTTAAAGCTGACAAGCTTGAGAAGATTTGAAGGTCACACATTTTAAAGCATGCTGGCCAGGAAATTCTGGGAGTTAAAAGTCCACCTATATTCAAGCATTCTGCCCAGGGAATTGCGGGATTCAGACATCTTAAAGCATGCTGGCTGGGGGATTCTGGGAGTTGAAGTCCACACTTCTTAAAATTGCGTCCCTCCCACTTCTTCCCTTCCCTACAGGGACATCATCCTGGAGAGCACCCCTACCAACAATCCCATGGCGCACAGCAACCTCTACATCCTGACCGGTCACGAAAGCAGCTACTAGCTTCCTCCTGGCTGCCACTCGGAGGCCCTGTGCGTGGAGCAGATCCTCCCTGGAGCTAGTGGCCGATGGCGGCCACTACGCTGGCATAGGAGATGCTCTGTGAGGACGTTGACAGAGGAGATTGTGGTCCTCCTGTTCCTGGACCAAAACGCTGGTTGGGCTCCAGAGATTGTCTTGGTGCCTGGTTCGAGTCTTCCTGAGATTTGCTTGGGGCCCAGTGGGGAAGAACGGCTCCCCCTAATCGGGGCCAGCGTCTCCTGAGATGATTCTGCAATAATTCAACCTGCCTGGCCGTCGGGAGAACTCGCACCCAGTCCCGGCTGACACCTTGTGCCTGCTTGAATGCTTGTTCGATTTTTTCCCCCTAGCTCCTCTTCCTCCTCCTCCTCCTCCTCCTCCTCCTCTTCCTCCTCCTCCTCCTCCTCTTTTAAAATGCTTAGAAGTCGCCCACGGTGGCGGCATGTGGGCGCCGCGTCTTGGCATGGCTGACCGAGTGAAGACAATCGTTTGCCACGGGTATCAGAAGGGGCATCTCCCTTCCTAAGCTTCGGCTTTTTTTCAGGGCACTTTGCAGCTGTGGCCTGTTATTCTGGAATAAGGGATGGGAGAGAAATGTTTATTTGAGAGCCAGTCGGCTGGAGAAATTAAGGTCATGCCCAGGAGGGGCAAAACTGGTTGACTGTTACTGGAACGATTACGACGTAGTTTGGTTCTGCGTGTATGTTTGTGTGTGGGAAGGGAAGGACAGCTGTGGTTTTCTGGGGTTTTTTTCCTCTTTTGAATGGCTAAAGGAGATGCTAGCTCAGGGATAGGCAACCTCGGCTCTTTTATGACTTGTGGACTTCAACTCCCAGAATTCCTGAGCCAGCACGGCTCAGCTTGGAAACCTATCCGTTTCCCCTCAGCATGGCTGGCTGGGGGATTCTGGGAGTTGAAGTCCAGAAGTCTTAAAGCTGCCGAGTTTGCTGGGCTAGGGAATTCTGGGAGTTGAAGTCCACAAGATTGAAAAGTGGCCAGGTGAGGAGACCTCTGTATCTAAGGAAAACGAGGGAGGGTCCCTTCTGAGATGCTTCCCACGCCCCCTTTCCTTCTGTGGGCTGAGATACCTTTTATCCTTTACATAGTAAAAAGGTATCTTGGCCCACAAAAGGAAAAGGAAGCAGGCAGGATGTTCCATTCCTTGGATCTCCTTCCGGTCTCCCTAGTCCGGGGGGTAGGCAACCTTGGCTCTTTTATGACTCGTGGACTTCAACTCCCAGAATTCCTGACCCAGCATGGGCTCACTTTGGAAACCTCTCCGTTTCCCCCTCAGCATGGCTGGCTCAGGAATTCTGGGAGTTGAAGTCCACGAGTCATAAAAGAGCCAAGGTGGCCTACCCCTGTGCTAGGTGAGCGGTTCAAATCTGTAAACCAGATCTGTGTTTCTACGGATGCCAGCTCCCAGAATTCCCAGGGAATGATAGGCCATTGCTAAAAAGGAATTGATCCACATACCTCGAGTTACGGATGGCTGCTGTGGAACAATTCAATTTTAAGAACCCAGATATAGGGTGGGTGCGCCATTCCCAGAGAGGTGGACTTTGATTCCCAGAATTCCCTAGCCCTCATGGCTGTTGCTGAGAATTCTGGGAGGTGACGGTCACTATTCAGGCATTGGGATTTCAACCCCCAGAATTCCCCAGCCGCTATATTCAGAATTCTGGAGGGGGAACTCCAGACACCTGGACCATTGGATGTATGCTGAGTTACTTCCCCTCGTGTTCTTGATAGACAGGTGCCTTTTAGTCCCACCCATCTGCAGAATCTCAGGAGAGAAAGCTGATTATTATGGGGGGGGGTGTCTAAGTACAGAATTAACACGTAATTGAAAAGGTGGCCTTCTGGGTACAGTAGTCCTTGACTTACAACTATAATTGAGACCGGAATTACAGTCACAAGTCATTGCGATTGTAAGTCAAGACACCCACATGACCAGAAGTAATTTTCTGGTCTGTTTCGCTGCAAATATTAAGCAAACTCAGTCATTTGAAGAGATATTTTTTGACCGAAATTAGCCAAAAATGCCAGAAACTGGCAAAAAAAAAAAAAAACCACTTGCAAATCATGGTCACATAACCATGAAACACTGTGATAAAGCTGACATGCAGTCACATGACTAGGTAAGAACACCATGACCCTTTCCAATGGCTGGGGATGTTTTATGTAAAATTGACTTTTCCGTGACCGTTATAACTTCATTTACGTGGCTGTCTAACTTCAAATGGTTCTATGAGTCGTTCTGTGGCTGTTGTAACTTCAAATGGTTATAAAATGACCGGTTGTTACCTGTATTGGAAAACTAAAAATTCCAGCATTCTACCCTGTCCCCATTTGGCTAGGTTGCTGGACCTTGTAGTTTAGAATTACTTAGTTGAGAGGTTTTCCATTCCTGCGTTAGGAAACTTCAAACCGAGTTACGACCAACTCTTCCACAAGACTGTGGTTCCCGAAGCTCTAGAGCAGGGGTCTTCAAACTTAGCCCTTTTATGACTTGTGGACTTCAACTCCCAGAATTCCTCAGCCAGGCATGCGTGCCTGGCTGAGGAATTCTGGGAGTTGAAGTCCACAAGTCATAAAAGGGCCACGTTTGAAGACCCCTGCTCTAGAGAATTGAATGCAACTATCAACAATGCAGTTGTTCCGATCTGGGACCAAAGCACTAAATGCATGCATCTGCTAAGTGATGCTTGGTTTGTAAAGAGAGAAACAAAACCCCCAAAATATTAGATACAGCCCACACTGAATGTGTACATCCCACCTCTTTAAAAATAGCAATAGTGGGAAGGATCCCTTGGGGGGGGGGAATGTGGCACATGGGGAAAATATTTTTTTCCTGGAAAACCTTTTCCATTGGTGCCAAGTACTACATAAATCATTTGCCCACTGCTTTCCGAAACCGTTTCTTCCAGGACACGGGTGTCAAACTCGCCACGTCACGTGGGTACGGCTTTTGGTATGATGAAACCGGCGGGCCGGCAGTTTGACACCCCTGTCCCAGGAGAACCAGGCGGCGGTGGAGAAGATGGTATTCAGGGTAAATTAGGAGAAGAAACAAGTCCTTCCTCCCCCTTAAGATATTGGTGATGCCTCCCACTCCTCGTCCTCCAACTACTATGTTTAAAGGCGAAAAGCAGCATTTAAATTTGATTACCCCCAAGAAGCAGCTAGAAATGCAGATGTTGGGCCTGTCTTGCAGATAGATGTGCAAGTTGCAAAGCATTAAAGGGGTCTTGCTGTTTGAATAACCACGGGGCCTCGTGAGCAGGTGAGGCTGGTCCAGGGAAAGACAAGATTTCAAGGCCCCTGGGGAGCAATTTGGAGATGAGGGTGCGGAGAAATTAATTGCCCAGATTAAGAGAGAGGTACTTTTAGGCAGCCCCTATGGAGATCAAAAGGGCTACTTCAAAAGGTTGACATTTCTATGACAAAACATCTTTCAATGTTTCTCAACTTTGGTGGCTTTAAGATGTGTGGACTTCTGGCCAGGGAATTCTGGGAGTTGAAGTCCACACATCTTAACAGCTGCTAAGGTTGAGCAACAGGGATCAAAACTGAGGTCACTCGGAAGTGGCAGTTATTCTTTGCAAACTCCAAAGCCCAGAACAAACTCTTTGAATGTCAGAATCTCAATCTTGGCTTGTTAGACAGTAACCACAATCCTCTTGAACTCCGATGCTATGGCTTTTCCTTCCCAGGGAACGCTGCTCTTTCCCCCTTTCCCCCTTTCTCCCTGTGTTTTTTTTTTTAACTGCTAAAGTTGGAATGTTGTTGTCCTGAGAAAATACAAACTTGAAAAGAAAAAAAAGAGAGAGAGAAGAAAATATAGCTATTTAACATAGAGAAGGATATAAAAATTGTGATATTTTACTCCCCGGTGGAATGGCTTTGATTTTTGTTAAAAAAATTAAAAATAAAAGTAGAGGATTCTTGCAGATGGAGATTTTGGGGTAATTACTTGTTGAAATGCAAGGTTCTGTTTTGATTATAATTTCCTCAAATTATGACGACAGTTGAGCCCAAACTTTCTGTTGCTAAGCGAGACAGTTACTAAGTGCATTTTGCCTCATTTTATGACCTTTCTTGCCACAGTTGCTAAGCGAATCTGACTTTGCTCTTGAAGCCCTCCTTTTTACAAGATGGGCATTGACGTCTTTGCACAGTGGGGCTAAAGCACAACAGAATCCAAATCATTTTTGTATACAACATCAGCAACTTTATCCAATGGATGCAAAGATGTAACATAAAATTTTCTAATATATGATTTAGATACAATTTTTATATTTCACCTCTTCCAAATAGCTGCAGTTACACCCCCATTTATCTTTTATATGTTATAGTTTTGGTCACCACAATCTAAAAAAAGATGTTGAGACTCTAGAAAGAGTGCAGAGAAGAGCAACAAAGGTGATTAGGGGACTGGAGGCTAAAACATACAAAGAACGGTTGCTGGAATTGGGTCTGTCTAGTTTAACGAAGAGAAGGGTGAGGGGGGGGGACAGGATAACAGTGTTCCAATATCTCATGGGCTGCCCCAAAAAAGAGGGAGTCAATCTATTCTCCAAAGCGCCTGAAGTCAGGACAAGAAGCAACGGATGGAAACTGACCAAAGAGAGAAGCAACCTAGAACTAAGGAGAAACTTCCTGACAGTTAGAACAATCAACCAGTGGAACCACCTGCCTCCAGAAGCGTTGAATGCTCCAACACTGGAAGTTTTTAAGAAGAGACTGGACAGCCATTTGTCTGAAATGGTATAGGTTTTCCTGCCTGAGCAGGGGATTGGACTAGATGACCTGCAAAGACCCTTCCATCATCATCATCATCATTATTATTTGCTGAGTGCTGTTGGGGAATTATTTCTAATTCCTAAACATTCCTAATTCTGATTTTTAAAAAATGTTTTAAACCAGTCTTTCTCAGCAGGACTAACTGGTTAAAAAGGGAAATAAAAAAAAAATCTTGGAAAAAGGCAAAAACAATCTACTTGCCAGGAAAAATATACAGAGAGCTGCAGGGGTTTATTTGGAGCAAAATTCTACTTGAAAGAGAATGTATGTACATATTACATTATATGCAGAACTCAAGTTGAAAAGCTTGAGAAACATTGTTCTTTATTAATTTAATAGCTTCACTGGTAGAATAAAGTGGTATTCAAAGAAGAGATTGGGCTATAAACTAGCCAGCCAATGTTTAATTTGATATCTGCTTTCACACCCAGTGGGTTAGTTCACTTTTTAAATAAGACAAAAGCTGCTCGGGACATTTGACATCATCTCCCAGAATCCTTTGTTGCTCAGACTGGCCTCCCTACCGTAAGTCCCATCACCCTCATCCGAGCCAATCAAAGGTCTTCTTGCACTTGCCACACCCCGCTCTCCTTTCTAATCCTCCGGCCAATAGGAGTAAACCTAATTACGTCATATTTCTCGCAGGCCGTGTGCAGCAAGCGTCCTCCAGGAGTAAGCAAAGGTCCTCGAGGGCGCAGGCTCTGGCGTTTGACAAATCAGATTCCCTTGTTCAGGTCCTGGAGCCCGCCCACCTCCTTGCCTCCCTCATCCCGCCCTCCGAGATCCGGAGCCAATGTGCGACGGCGAAGCCGCGCTTTCCTTCTAGGTGACAAAGATTCCATCCAATGAGCTTCCACCCCGCCTCTATCTCTCCTCCGCGCCAATCTCTCCCCGGCGCTCGAATCTCCTCCAATCGACGTACGACGCCGAGGGCGCGACGTGACTTCCACCCAACGGGACGCCGAGCAGGGGCGTGAGGGATTAGCGGGGCGACCAATCGGCGCCGGCCGCCTTTGTGAGGGAAAGCGGTGGCGTGGAAGGTTCGCGAAGCCGCCGACGCCATCGCGCCCCTCCGTCTCGGCTCTCCGCCTATGGCGACCGGGGCCAACGCGACGCCGCTGGGGAAACTTCATCCGCCCCCACCGCCGGGCAAGGCCGGCTATCCGCTTCCTCCTCCCGGATTAGTGATGCAAGGCCCGCCGCCTCCGCCACCACCGCCGGGCCCTGCGCAGGCCCAGCCGCAGCCGGCCATCCCGAGCCTCATGGCCGCCGGATTTCCCTTCGCCGCGCTGCCGCCGCCGCCTCCCCCGCCGCCGCCTCCCCCGCCGCCCCAGCAGCCTCCGCCGCCCCCGCAGCAGCCTCAGCCGCCGCCGCCGCCGCCCCCGCAGGCCCAGCAGCCTCAGCCGGCCCAGTACGGCCAGTACCGCTTCCCTTCGCCCCCGCCGCCCCAGCAGCAGCCGCCCATGGGCCTCGAGCAGCAGGCGCAGCACCTCCACCTGCTCCAGCAGGACGAGGGCGGCCAGGCCGGGGCCGGCAACTCAGGCAAGTGGGCGAGGAGGGGGGGGTCCCGGGGAGGAGGGGGGGTCCCGGGGGGGGCGCTGATCGCATCCCTGTATTTTATTTTAAGTGGTTCTGCAATGCCGCCTTCCGGGCATTTCCCCCTTTCTCATTCTAGTCTAGGACGGTCGGGTGGCCTAGTGGTCTCCCATGCATTGATCCACACTGGCATATATACCTATTTGGGGCAAGAAATGTCAAATATGAAAAGTGTATGTAAGCAGAGCCAAAGTTAGCTATGTTTCCGGACCGCAGCGCACTGCCCTGGGATACCTGGTCCTATAAATAACATTTTTGTTTGCAGATTACCCTAATAAAAAGAGGAAGAGGAGCCGATGGAATCAAGACACCATGGAGCAGAAGACTATCATCCCTGGCATGCCCACCGTCATCCCTCCGGGGCTCACCCGTGAGCAAGAAAGAGCTTATATAGGTAAATGCTTGTTCTAGTTTTTGTTCTTCATATCAGTACCGATCCAGGAGCGATTTCCAGTTTACTGTGTTTGTCTGAGGCGTTTTCAAATGTGTGTTTTTGAGAACTCGGGTTATGGCAGCCTTGTCTTCCTTATTTAAGGAAATAAACATGTCTCCGCTTAGAGTGACTTGTGCTCCATCCCAGCTCCCTGTCCTGTTTAATTGAACCAGTGTCCTCCACAGGCATGGTAGAAGTGGCACAGTCGGTCCAGACGATGGGAATTAAAACTTGCTGACTTTCACTTGGTTGGCAAAACTGAATGGCAGGGTCTCTTGTTATCTTCACAGACTCCTTGCTAGCGGAGAACACTTTTTAAAAAGTCCCTTTTCAAGCTGTTTTGTTTGAAAGCAAGTACCTCTTTCGCAGTGAAATATAGCCAACTAACCTTGATTCCCTTTCATTTTCTCTTGTGTGGTGACGATAATTTTTCAAATCTAAAATTGAGTATCCAGAGTGGTGAAGACCAAATGAGAGGAAAGTCTTCTAACTTCTGTTGTTTTTTTTTTGACATCCTCAAATACTTGAGAGCGGGCTCTATTAGGTTAGCTTGGAGCTCTGAAGTCAAATGTACACAGTTGCTGGGAAAGGGATACTGCTTGGTTCAATGAAAATTATGATGTTGGATCTGTTAATTGTGGAACTGGGAGTGGTAACTGTCATTGTATTGTACAAAGGAGTGAAAATTATTTTGTGTTAGGAAACGTGATATGTTTATATGTCAGTGTTGATCAATGCCGGGACTGAAATCAATCAGGGTTTTCTAATGTTGGTTATACTATATGCAATCCTTGACTTTATATAAAACAGGTTTTTCATAACTTACAGCTGTTTAAACTCTCTTCATTGCATTTGGGTTGCACAGCAATTTTAAACTCCTTTCTTTTGCATAACTTACTGAGAATTTTGAAATAAAATAACCAGCTATCCATAGCACTACTGAAGGCTGCTCAGAAATCTGTTATCAGACTGTCATCACGATCACCGGGACTCTGCATCGAGAAAATTAAAAATGTGTCCTTTATTGCTGGTTTGAAAAATTACTATTTCTGCACTGCAAGGGGCCTTTTTCTTTACATTTCTGAAGTTGACTTTTGGTTTATTTCAATGGGCTCAACACTCTTCAGTTTAATGAAGATGCACCGTGTAAACCACTTCTCCTGCAGAAAATAAATGAAACTTGATTCAGTAGACTTACTTTATCCAAATGAATAGTCAAGCATTCTCTGGTGTTTTGAGTCATTGGATTTAGAAATGTAAAATTTTTGTAAAATTCAGCTCAGTGTGTGAATGGATAGAACTGGATCAGAATTCTCAGTCTGTGCGGAGATAGGAGTGCTTACCCTTCTTTGTTTACTGGAGTGTTCAAGATGGGCCTTGCAGTCCACAGTTCACTCAGTAAAGATTATTAATGGGAGGGTGGGGGTGTGGCTGTCACTAGCCCTACCAAGCAAAGGTCCATGCACAGCCACAAGAATTCAGGGCCATATCTGTAAGAGGCTCCTGATACACGAAACCGCGTACAACTGGATAATTTATCATTTGGCACTATTAATAGCAGATATGAAATATCACCTCAATTTAATAGTGCAAATTCCTCGAAAGAGAGAACAGTTTTGAAAAATCCGAGACTCTTCTGAAGGAAAGAGTTTAAAATGTTTGAGATTAAACATTTGGAAATAGTACACAATACAAACTTTTTGGAGTTGTCTGTGTCCTTGAAATATAATGGATTAAAGGAAACAAAACCACCTGTATCTTGGAACAGTATCTGAAACAGAGCCAGGTTCTGAAACAGGAGAGTTTGGCCTCTGAATTGTAGGCTCTAATTCGATTCTTGGAAATTAATTCTGTTTTCACTTCAGCGCATTCTGAGCTTCTTCACCTGGAGACAAATTGCCTATAATATCTTTTCCGCCTGCCAATAAATTAAATGTTTGATCTTACCCCTTCTCTCTGTAATATAGCTGCACTTATTCTTACATTTAACAATAAACGAAAGGGGTTTTTTTTGACTTGATAAAATGTGCACCTGCCTAAAAAATTAACACGTAATTCTAGATCCACGTCCTTTACTGCCAGTATTTCTATTTGAGCACGAAAATAAAAGTTGATTTGGAATGACAGGATCAGTTCCAAATTATTTGCTGTGTGATTTTTATAGACACTTAACTTTCTGATTAGTAAAAAAAAAAAGATACCTTTTGTATAGGTTTTGTTTTATGAAAATCAGAAACTAATGAATTTTCTTGGTATTGCATCTTTCTGTTTTGAAAGGTACTCTGCTAGCTTTGAAAATACGTGAAAGATAATGAAAGGCAAACAAAATTAACCAGTAAAGGAAAAGAATGAAAAATGTTGATAGACCATGGTTGCTTTTGTTAATATATTCCTAAAAGGTTACAAGTTGTTCTACTCTTGTATTCCTGGATCTCTAGCCTAGGTTTGGAAATGGATCCCTTGATGCCTACTAGGCTTTCTCTCCTGCCTGATTTAACTTAAAAAAAATTAAAAAGTGTGTGCAGGAAAGATTTACATACTGCAGAACACTTGCCTCAAGCATGATTTTTTTTTACTTGGCACAATGTCCTTGGGTCCCACATAGCCCGGTTCTTCATTTAAGTGTGCTCATCTGCCCAGAAAGAAGCAAAGGGAGTTTAAAACGGCAGTCCCCAACCTTTCCAGCTCCATTGGGGGGGGGGGGGGATGGCTTCACATGTGTGTCCACTGCTTATGCAAATGTATCTTTGCATATTAGCCCATTGCTTTTGCGGCCTGATTCAGCCCAGACCCTTGTTTTAAAGTATCCTGGGATACTGGAAGAATAGTGGGACTTACCTTGCTAGCTTCCTGCCTGGTAAATGGGTACTTTCTGATTGGCTGTATCCCCCATGGCACCCATTTTATGAAAACATAAAACCCATTTCAAATGTGCCCACCAGCCCAGTGACATACTGAAGAACTCTTTGGCCTTCTAAGAGCCAGTGATGTTTTCCCAGTTTTTATCCCTCTAGAAAAAAAAGATCTTAGTATGAGTGAGCATGAAATGGAAAATGTTTTCTTTTGAACTTAAAACCATCCATCCTTTGCCACAAACTATTGGTAGTCCTTGACTTACAACTCTAATGGAGCCTGCCCATTACAGTCGTAAGTTGTGACTGTCGTAAAACAGGTCACCATGTGACCCGATCCATTTTTATGACCTTTCTTGCAGCAGCTGTAAAGTGACTGCCACAGCCGTAAAGCAAACTGATGATTTACCGTGGGCCATTTTTGCCAAAAGCGGATTTGAGTGGATTTTTCAAGACACGGTTATCTCCCTCTTCCATATTCTTCCGCATGTGTGACAATGGGTGTACCTTTGCTTTGTGGTGCTTTAGCTTGTGGCCTCCAAATTAAATCCATGGGTAAATGCCAGTGGGGCTGACCAAAAGCCACTTTACACCAAGGAATTTAAGGGCTGTGGCTCTGTCTTGATGCCCTTCATTAGCTGAGGTCATCTTAGTTGCCTTGCACTCTGATCAAAATGTTATATTACCGATCTAAAAAAACAGTAACTAAATATCTGACATTTTATTAGTCCTGCCTTTAGGTATTCGATGTCTCTGTGCAGAATTGGATAACCAGCAAATGAAAGCATGTTAAGATTTGGCATAACCGTGTATTTCAGTGTTTAGTTGATAACAGGCATAAGATTAACCAATCATAAGCTCTCAGTGTTTAGCATTTATGAGTTAGGACAGGGGTCCCCAATCCCTGGTCCGTGGACTGGCCCTGGGGGCATGCCAGCAACTGGGCTGTGCAAAGAAACGAAGCCCCATCTGTGGGATGCAGGCAGCATTCAAAACCACGCCCCCTCTGATCCACGGAAAAACCTTTCTCCATGGAACCGGTCCCTGGTGCCCAAAGGTTTGGGGGCCACTCAGTTAGGAGAAACAAGACCTGTAATCCATAACCCCCAAAATATGACTCTGGTATGAATTGTAACTGTAATACGCATAAGACACTGAGGCTGATCTGATAGTAAAAAAAGTAAGAATTAATGATATTCTAATTCCTATGGAAATCTGTCAGCAATTAACAGCAAGTTAAGATGGTTATTTTTCAGTGGCTTAGATGTCAGACTCAATCAAAAACTTCCTTTTTTTAATCTTGAGTGAATGTCTTGCTTTCTGATGAATAATTGTTTTTTTAAGACATGCTTAGAAAAAAAAAAGGGCCGTTTCTGGATTCCTGATAAAACTTATTTGGCTGACATAACATTGTAAGGTCTCCTCATTCTTATGTGATGTTATCAGTCATCCCTTGCAAAATCTCCAGTTCTTCATGCTTTGATGTTGAGATTTCAGATGTTTTTTGGTAACATTGTCTTTTTTTCCATCCTTTTTTCTTTCCTAACCTGGTTTCTTCCAGTGCAACTGCAGATAGAAGACCTGACTCGTAAACTGCGCACAGGAGACCTGGGCATCCCCCCTAACCCTGAGGACAGGTTGGGAAACAGTTTTAACCAGCTGACAGTAACGCTTTTTACCTTTTTCAATAAATTTTTGGTGGCATCATAATGTCAATTCAATGAAATTTCTTCCTAATGAAATGCCTTCAGTGATCTGACTTGACAGATGGTAGCCAAGATCTGACTGATAGGGACTGTGTGAAACCAGATCAGAAAGAGATCGGGTTTCCTCTTTGATGCGGGGGTTTATAAATGCTTAACCTGGCCTGAGGGGGAGAAACGCATGGTGGCCAACTCATTTTATAACATGTGCGGGGCTGGTCCTGGTCTTTCTCACAGGTTCACGCTGAGGAATTCTCAGCCCAGTTGCTGACTGAGAGCAGTCTGGGAACTTTCTGACCGCTGATTTTGCAGTATTTTGCAGTGGTGGCTGAAGGGTGTGTGCACTAACCAGTTTCTTTGGTAACAGCTACTACATAGCAGTGGCCAGTATCTTGCGACCTGGGGCCCAAGCACTATGTACCTACAAGTGCACAGAATTGGACACCTGTGGTCTTGTTGGGATCAAGGGTCATCCCTAAGTAAATAAATAACACGCACATGGTTTGAAATTGGCTTATAAAAATTAATTTATCGGAAGGTGTAAGCTGGGAGTTATAATTTAGCACATTACACAACTTGCAAGCCAGTTCTTGCTGTTAAAAATGGGGATATGGAAGAAAGCCTTTCCTTAAATTTAGCCCATCTGAAATGGCAATTTGGAGGTATAAATAAAAGTGAGGCTGCTAAAAGTTTTGGACGCCTTGCACGAGAGTTTTAAATGCTAGCTCTTGAGATACTATATTGCCTGTTACAAAGAGCTGAGGAATGCCTTTTTGGCTTGGTTTTTAAATCACAAAATGGGATTTAGATTAAACATAATAGATAAACTTCATGGTGGGGATAGATTGATGTTCTTTTAATGTTTATAAGAATGAAATGGGGTGGTTGGTTTTAATTTAACAGGTGAATGGGAAAGTTAATACAAAACAAGGGGTTATTGTTACTCTTTTACGTATATATAAGTTTCTTGTCGAATAATATTTCTTTGGATGAGACCCTGCTGGTTAAAACACTTGATACCTTTTTCATTTATTAAAAATGATTTTTTATGTACTTGCAAAAGGGCAGCTGTTATTATTGGAAATGTGAAAATATTAGGTATATAATAAGCTTGAAACTCATAAGGTTTAATCAATTTATTCATGTCTGCATGTGTCTTTTAAAATTATCTATTAAATTAGCGAATGGGTTTTTTTTTAAACGGGCTAGCAACTGCGGATGAGGGAAAATGTTCGCCTTTTGGTTTGGTTAGGCCAATTTGGGTCCTAATAATGGAGGTGTAATTTAGACATGATCACTCCTTACCAAATCTGACATTTTTATTTCATATTCTTGTGTTGATGATTCACTTCAGGCTGAGAAGACATGGGGATCAACTGGCTGTAATCAATCATTTAACCAGCTAGAAAGAGAGATTGTCTTAACTAAAATCACAGGGTTTAGATTCTCATTATTTGAAGGATGTATTTTTTTTTTAACATAACATGACCAACATCTCTTCCCTTCTTGCAGCTGATTCTAAATTTTTATTGCAATATGTTTTGGGGGGGGAGGGGGAAAGATCCACAATCTTAACCCGAATTCTAGAGGTGTGGTTTTAAAAATATAAACCATAAGCCCAACTGTGGCAAAACTTAAGTTAATTTGATTTTTAACTGCAACTTTTTCCTTTGTTAAAATCTCTGCTCTCTGGGTACTTGAACCCTATGGAGAAAGCAGGTCTGTCTCTAGTGGTTTTAAAGGCCCAGAATATGGCATGAGAAGGGTACAATTTCCTCAATTTGTACCTTAACCAGTTTCTGACTCTTAAACACAATAAACAGCTTCATTTGGTCTTGACGCAGCAGCAGAGTGAAGGTAAAGCCAAGACAGAAACCTTAACCCTTTCACATGGTGCCAGTTGAATAGGCTTAATCTATATTGCCAGCAAGAATTCGATAGAAGCCTAACCTGTCTTGTTACTTCCTGATGTTTAAAAAAAAAAAAGTCCAAAGTTAACCTGAATAATTCTTCGTTGATTTATCTCCTGCGGCAGGGTCTTTTCTAATGTATGGCTCCGTGGAATAATGAAGTTGGAAAGTTTGTTCTCTGTGTGAATCAACTTTCTCCATCTTCCCTGCCCCCTCCCCTTTTTTAATAGGCACGCTCATGGCAGAGCTGTTGTCATGGCTATGTCTGACCCTGTTTTCCTTCCTTCTCCCCAGTAAACTCCCCACCCCACCCAGATTTTTTTCCCTCCCGGCAGTGGTTTGCCACAACTGCCTTGTCCATGTCACCTTCATGGATTTGAAAATTTACACCTTCCTTTCCTTGTGGTCTCTTAATTTTATTTTTTTTTCTGAGTTGCACTAGAGTTGAGGTGAGCCAGTACTTAATAAGTGGCCTTGGATATTTTAAGTCCCGTGAGAAATGACTGGGTATTGTTCCCCTGCAGGTCTCCTTCCCCTGAACCAATTTACAATAGTGAGGGGAAGCGCTTGAACACACGCGAGTTCCGGACGCGCAAGAAGCTTGAAGAAGAGAGGCACAATCTGATAACGGAGATGGTGGCTCTCAATCCAGATTTCAAGCCACCGGCTGATTACAAGTATGTCAGAGGACGGACTCCTTGATTCGCAGGGGGGCAGTCAGATAGAGTCTAAAGGGCTGTTTGGGTGGGCACAATTGAGCTCAAAATTTGTGTTGCTAAGTGAGACAATTAAGTGAGTTTGCTCCCATGTTACGACTTCTTGTCACATTTGTCAAGCGAATAGCTGCAGTTGTTAAATTAGTTGTTAAGTGAATCTGGCTTCCCCATTGACTTTGCTTGTCAGAAGGTTGCGAAGAGGGGTCACATGACCCCGGGGCATTGCAACTGGCATAAGTACATGCCAGTGGCTAAGCATCCTAATTTTATTCAAGTGACTGTGGGGATGCTGCAACAGTCGCAAGTGTGAATGTTGGTCATAAGTTTCTTTTTTCAGTGCTGTTGTAACTGAACGGCCACTAAACTAACTTGTAAGTCGAGGACTGCCTGTATTGTTTTTATTATTTTTGAGGAGGATATGGTCAAAACTTTAAAAGTTCACTATTTCTAGATCTCAGCCGTTTCCTGAAAAGTTGTAGCTGGCAACCTAGTTGGCTAATTTTGCCCAGTGTTTGTTAAGTCAAGTTCTCTCAGCTTGTCTGTCACAAGAGACTCTTGAAGTCAGTGCAGTCTCATTTTATGGGGGAGGCCAACAGTGTTGTAAAAATGCTTGTTCTCCTTTCTTTCCAGACCTCCAGCAACTCGAGTGAGTGATAAGGTGATGATTCCACAGGATGAATATCCTGAGATTAACTTTGTTGGGCTTCTGATTGGACCGAGGTATGGAAATGCTTCAGTGATGATTGGGGCGATGGCAAAGGCAGAATAGGCAGATGCATCAGAATGGTGGTGGCAGTGCTTTACCTGTGTAATGGGACAGACGTGCTCTTTGATTCTAGATGAAATACGGAAACTATATTTTCCTGATAGAGCATGTGTGTTCTTTAATCTAAGGAGAGGCTCATCTAGAACCCATTGCATCATTCCGTGCTGGAGCAGTGGTTAGAATGCAGTATTGCAGGCTAATTCTGCTTGCTGCCGACTGCCAGCATTTCGGCAGTTCAGTTCTCCCCGGTTCAAGATTGACTCAGCCTTCTGTCCTTCCGAGATCGGTCACATAAGGACCCAGATTGTTGGGGGAAATAGACTGACTCTGTAAACTACTTAGAGAGGGCTGTAAAGCACCGTGAAGCGGTATATAAGTCTTGTTGCCATTCCTTTGTATAGTGAAGTCCTTCAGGTTTACAATTCTTGTGACAGCCTCTACCTCATTTCCCAGATTTGAGGCTGTTGCAGATGGAAACACTTTCTCTGTGAAGCAGATTGTCCAGCATTGGCCGCCTGATGTAATCTCTCAATCCCTTCATCTTCAGGGGCAACACACTGAAAAACATTGAGAAAGAGTGTAACGCCAAGATCATGATCCGGGGGAAAGGATCCGTGAAAGAAGGAAAGGTCGGACGGAAAGATGGCCAGATGTTGCCCGGGGAAGACGAGCCACTGCATGCTTTGGTCACCGCCAACACGATGGAGAATGTGAAGAAAGCTGTGGAGCAGGTAGGCTGTGTGGGCTCCTGGCCTTGGGCTGAAAAGATACGTAGCCCTACATTTGGGAGCAAGGCAAAACTATCACCATGTGGCGTCCAAACTACCAAAACAAAATATTGTAAGCAGAAGATAAATTGCAGCTTTGGTGGTGCGTTATTTAAAGAATGAATTGGGCCATGTACCAAATGAGGGAAAGCATACATGGAAGAACTGGGAGAAAGGATTGTTTACCAAGTCCCAACATTTTTTTCATGTGAGGGCGGCGGCGCTGAAGTGGCTGTAACTCCAGGCAGCGGTCCTAAATCCCTTCATTCAGCACCATCGTAATTTTGCACAGTTGCTGAACGAACCGTCGTTAAGTCGAGGACTACCGTGTTTATTTCTAAAATGATGTTGTTACCTTGTGGCTAGAAATTTTAAGTAACGGCTTGGCATTGTGGAACTGAAGATCTCCCTGCAGTTGTATGGGATTGTACACTTCTCAGGAGTTGCAGGCCCAAAGCCTGAGGCACACTAGATTGGGAGAGAGTCCTTCAGCTAAGTACCAGGAAGTCTTGTTCATCCTGCAAGATAGTTATACAGTTAGACTGTAGGCTTTCCGTGCCAGGATGCTGATGTTCCCAGGCAAAGTCCATCAAAAGGAAGAATCCAAGGTTTGCCCCACTCCCAATGAAACGTGGTTTTCTTCCTAAGCCTGATCCAATGTCGGTCCCTCCTATGAACTTCCAGAAGGGAAAGTTGTTCTGCGGGGGGTCTCTGGTTCGGCAGGAAAGGGGCAAAAATTCGGGCTTTGCCTGGAATGCCCCTCAAATTATTTGGCTGCTTTGCTGAACAGAGGCAAGAAACAATTGGCTTCTTCTTAAGATGGGTTCTTGAGCCGTCCCCTTTCAAGTTGAGAGGGGAGCAGCAAGAGGTTGGGTGGCATAACTCCTGGGATGAGCAAAGTCCCTGGCTGGGAATGCACGGCTAGCCACATGACTCCAAAGGAAGACTCTTGATGGCTGCTGGGTCCTCTTCCGGAAACGTTTCCCAGCCCTGCCTGTCCCTGAGGCTGTGGAGCGGACCGGGGAGGCAGCTGGTGCTCAGGGAAGGCCTCTTGTCTCTTCCAGATCCGGAATATTCTGAAGCAGGGCATCGAGACCCCCGAGGATCAGAACGACCTGCGCAAGATGCAGCTCCGGGAGCTGGCCCGTCTGAACGGGACCTTGCGTGAAGATGACAACCGGTAGGGATTGGGACGGCCTGAGCGGGATTCCGCAGGGAAGAGCCTTTTCTCCTTCATCCCTGAGCTCTGATTTCTCTCTTCTCTCCCCTCTCCCCTCTCCCCAAAGGATTCTACGCCCATGGCAGAACACGGAGACTCGCAGCATCACAAACAACACAGTGTGCACCAAATGCGGAGGAGCCGGCCACATAGCATCCGACTGCAAATTTGCTCGGTAAGCCTCCGAAGTACCTTCGCTGAAGTTCTCTTGGCTTCTGCTTGTGCCGAATTGCAGTGCTCATTCTCCCTCGTCATGGCCGCTAGCAATGATAGAAGGGTCTGCCCACCGTCCCCTGGGGGCTGCTCTCTTGGAGGAATCCATTCAAGACCTCTGAGATTTGGGTGTGCGGATTATATCCCCTCCTAGTGTCATGGTTCCAACAGATGGAACTCTTCAAAGAACTTTGAGGCATTGTTTACCTTAAATAATTTTTATTCGAATAGCATAGCATCTGCACGTACATTTCTTCTTCTTGTGCCATATCCGTAATCGAACGTTGGCAATCACGTTGGTGATCCTGTTTTTATCAGCAGCCGCACGAAAAAGTGCTGCTGAGTTTTGTCCAAACCAGTCCCTTAGATTTTGAAGCCACGATGTTCTTCTGCCTGGACCTCGTTTGCCTTCCATCTTTCCCTGGAGGATTAAATGGAGTATGCCGTATTTTTCTGGGTGTTGCATCACGTGTCCGAAATATTCTAATTTTTGTTTTTTTAATTGTTTTGATTATTTTCCTTGGCTTTCCCAGGCGGCTTATCACCTCCTCATTTCTGATCTTATCAACTCAGCTTCTATGTAACAGCCGTCTGTCAATCCACATTTCAAATGCTTCTAGTCTCTTCAGGTGGCCTTCTGTCAGAGACCAGCTCTCTACTCCGCAGAGCAGGATGGAAAAAATATGTACATAGGCAAAGCCAAAATCTGAATTCCCCTCCCCTGAGCACACAGTATCAAAGCACAATTCCCTCCTCCAATGAACAGTCATAAATCACCTCCAATTAGTTTGAAATGCAGGCTTCCCCTCCAGTTCTTCAACCCGCCATTCCTTATCATCTCTTATTTCAAAAAAACCTTGGTTCTCACCCTAGTTACAATATTGTTAGTCTAACTAAACTCCCATGCACATTCCTCCCCCCCCCCAGTATCATCTAATTCTAACTCTGAATTCTAAGAGCGAAACATAAGAAGGAAAATGGCTGCATCTCCATACGTTGTCAAAGCACGAACATCCGATGTTAGCAGTGTTGACATCTAGGGTGTTGGGGGTCTGTCAGCCTTCCGAGGCAAACCACACAGGAAAGAAGCCTAGATGAGCACTTTATTGTAAGGCTGGAGTGCCCGTTGCTATTTTTAACTGCCTGATCCATTAGGGACCGTCCCGTCAACCGTCCCATTGGCTAAACCAGTAAAATCCTTTTACCAAGAGTGTAACTTTACTTCCACATGGGTACAGAAGTAGAAAAGCCCATTTTCTAACCGTTTTGCGTGCAAACTGGCAAAGGAAAGCTTTTTGCCTTTTTCCCCTGCTTACCCTCGCTTTGTTTTGGGAATGGTCTCTCCGCCTTGGACTTTCCCAGCCAATGACCTTGGGGGGCTGGCTTTGTCTCTCTGCACTTCCCATACCTCCCCCTGCATTCCAGTGCCTTCCCTTCCCCCCTCCCGTTGTGAGCGGGGTTTTGGTAGCAAGCCAACCATGCCAGGTCCTTGCTGAGTTTCTTCCTCTGACTCTTAAGCCACTCTTCTCTCGTTGTAGGCAGCCTCTCTTTCCCCGGGGTCATCCCCACACTTTAGTACCGTGTATGTGATGTAGTAAAGCGTCCTTTTCTCTGAACAGGCCCGGGGATCGTAGTAAAGCGTCCTTTTCTCTGGACAGGCCCGGGGATCCCCAGTCGGCCCAAGACAAAGCCCGCATGGACAAGGAGTATTTGTCTCTGATGGCTGAACTGGGAGAAGCTCCGGTACCAGCTTCTGTGGGAGCCTCTTCCGTACCGTCGAACCCTCCCCTGTCCAGCGGCCCAAGACCGTCGGGGCCAGGAAACAGCCAGCCGCCTCCGGTGAGTATCTGGAATCTTCCATCGTTGGAAAAATGGTGCACGTTTCCGGGGGCGGTGTGTCGGGGCTTTTCCATAGTGTGTGTCCCTAAAGATGGCGCCTCTTCCCACGATGGGAGAAATTTCACCTTTGTACGGCTGCGGCCGCTGCTTGGGCAGGACGTCCAGTTGCGTGATGGTCTCCTCGCTCTCCGACGGTCGGTCTGAGCCGTTGGTCTGCCCCTTTCCCCTCTTAGAACCGTCTGCCATGGATGAATTCCGGCCCTTCCGAAAGCAGGCCCTTCCATAACATGCACGGGGGGAGCGGCGGCAGCGGTGGTGGACCCACGGGCCCCAGCGGCCCCCACAATTTCCCTCACCCCATGTCGAGCATGGGAGGACACGGGGGCCACCCGATGCAGCACAACCCCGGTGGCCCTCCGCCTTGGATGCAGCCTCACAACCCCCCCATGAACCAGGGACCACATCCCCACGGCCCCCACGGCCCCCACCACATGGGTGAGTACAAGCCTGAAATGCCCGAGGGAGGGGGGACTGGCCTCCTCGGCCTTCTGAGCAGGGCAGGGCCATTTTCTTGGTTTCTTTGAGGGGGGGGTCCCTCGGTTCAAAGCGCCCGATGTTGGTTGGTCTCTGGGTCTGGGAGGCGGGGGGTGCTTCCTTCCCGCTGTGGCTAAGGCTGCGGTCTTTCCTTCCCTTAAGATCAGTACCTGGGCAATGCGCCAGTGGGCTCTGGGGCCTATCGCCTCCAAGGAAAAGGTGAGTTGCGGCTGGGCGGGGTGGGGCAAGGGAAGGGTCCTGCAAGGGGGGGTGCCGCTGAGGTGAGCATGGGGGGGAGGGTTTCCCGGATTCTGCTCAACGGGCTTTCTGGCCCTGCAGGTATGATGCTGCCTCCGATGGGTATGATGCCCCCTCCGCCCCCTCCGCCCAGTGGTCAGCCTCCCCCGCCTCCCTCTGGTCCTCTCCCCCCATGGCAGCAGCAGCAGCAACCGCAGCAGCCGCCACCCCCGCCTCCCAGCAGCAGTACTCCCTTGCCATGGCAGCAAAGTGAGTAAGAGCACTTCTTTTAATTTTGCTCCTCCTCGGTCTCCCTCTGTGGGGCGAGATGACGGCAAGCTGGCATCCCGGCCTGCCGGGAGGGGGGAGGAGGGGAGCCCTTCTTGGGAGGACCCTCCTTGCCCCACCCCCTTAATAGGATCTCCGGGGTGCCCTTCCCAGAGCCAAGTAGCCTCTCCCCTCAGGCAGGGCGAGTCTGGCACCCAGGCTATGCGCCCGGGGGTGGGTGGGTGGGATTAGGCACCCTGTCATATCTGGCTCTCAAAGCTCCACAGTCCTTGGGAGGGTTGGGAAAAACCTTTCCAGACTTGGTCCGTCGAAAGGCCTCTCCTTCCGCTGCAGGAAGGGGTCAGCCATTTCTCCCCCTAGCGGGACGTGGGACCCCCCTGGACCCGAGCTCCGGGCTGACCTCGGGCTGTTTTCGATTCTAGATACGACGACCACCACCACCACGAGCGCTGGCACCGGGGGCATCCCTCCATGGCAGCAGCAGCAGCAGGGGGCGGGGGCAGCAACTTCTACGGGGGGCCCTCCGATGCAAGGCAGCCCCTCCATGGTGCCTTTGCCTCCCGGGGTCCAGCCTCCGCTGCCCCCCGGGGCCCCGCCTCCTCCCCCGCCCCCCCCGCCTGGCTCCGCGGGCATGATGTACGCGCCTCCCCCTCCTCCGCCTCCCATGGACCCTTCTAATTTTGTCACCATGATGGGGGTGGGGGTACCGGCCTTGCCGCCCTTCGGCATGCCCCCCGCACCCCCACCACCCCCTCCCCAGAACTGAAGAATCATTTTTCTATTGCCGTTATTTTCTCTCTCTCTCTCTCTCTCTCTCTCTCTCTCTCTCTCTCTCTCTGTCTCTCTCTTCTCAACCATACGGAGCCAGGAATTGGACTTTTTTGGGGGGGCGGCAGGGATCTGGCGTGAAACTCAAACCAGGAAAGCTGTACTCTTGTAACCTTGTTTTGGGAGAGGTGTGTGACTCCGATCTCCCCGTTGGCTCTTTCAGTAGCCCGCTTTTCTGAACCGGACACTCCTGCTCTCCTCCTTTCCCCTCCAGGGAGACCAAGAAACTCGGAGAAAAACTCCTGGCTGAATGGGTCAGGCCCCCCAGGCAGGGAGGCAGCAAGGGCTGGAAGGCGGTGGCTTGCCAAATAGATTGATTATTATTATTATTTTTTAGCCACCTCTTTGAAGTTCTCTGCAATCATTTCATCCACCGCTTTTAAACCCCCTCCTCTGCCGAGAAGTTGAAGCAGTCCACGGATCTCTGGGGAGGCCACAGGCACCAAATTGAGCTGGGCTGCCCAGGGGTGCTTCTCCCCACGCTGCGTCTGCCTCCCCCAGGGGAGCCTTTCAAGGCCTCCCCCTCCCTCCAGGCCGATTGAAGAGCCAGGCCTCTCCCAGAGTCCCATCAGCCTGGAAACTTTTGCTTTCCTCCTTTTTTTTTTTTCCTTTTTTTTTTTTTACACAGCAGGGTTTTGTGGCTGGGCTGACCCCCCCTCCCTCGATTGAATGGCTTCTGTTGACGTGTGTATGTGGACGTTCCTGTCTCCTGTAACCATTTTCTTAAATTGCTTTTTTTTTTTTCTCCCTCCCCTCCCCCCTTTGGTGTAAGAATGAAAACCGACGTAGAAAAGAGGAGGTTCCAATTAAATGCCGCTTTTAAAATAGCCCCGTTGCCTTCTCCCTTTCATTTAGAAGGGGAACGGCTTTAGCTGCTGCCGGTCCCCTGACGCCCGCTGGCAGATGGAGGCCGTGGTCCTCGGCGCCCAGCCACATGGGTCCGCGAGGTGGGGCAGGGGAAGAGGGTTTTTCTCCCGTTGCTCGGGCGATTTGGAAGCAATGTGTCAGTCACGGGGAGGACAGTTCTGGTGCAAAGTCACAGGAATTGCCCCGCTATAACACCAGTCTCTCCAACTTGTTTTTTTTTCCTGGCAGCTGCCATGAGGTTTTAAGCCAGTTTCCTTTTAAAAATTAAATTGATCTTCTCCGGTGTTAGGGCCGTTTAAGAATAGGGTTTCCTCAGCTCTGAAACAATCCCCTTGAAGCTTTCTCCTTGGCGAGACGCTTGCCAGGAACCGGAGCGGATCAATCTATGCTGTGAGAGAGCCGGCAATAAGGGCCGAGTCTCCATCCAGGTCAGAAAAAGTTAAGAGCATCGGTCAGCAGGAACGGTTGCAGTGGTTGGCTTGGCGTGCCATAAGCCGTAGTTTATAAGCCCCCGTCCGCTCATTCGATAACAGTTAAGCGAACCTTGGCCATGACGGGCTTTAGTGTGCCGTGCAAACAGCCATCGCCCCCCTGCGGCTGCTGTTTTAGAGAGAGCAGAGCACGGCTTCCACGATGGAATAAATCCACTTCTGTGTTCTGGTAACCTTTTCAGGAAAGCCCCTTTGTGGGTGACTTTATCCGCCACCTGAATACAAAAACGCCCTTGGCGAAGAACAGGCTGTTCTTGAGCCTCGGGGAGTTTGCGGTTGTCTCTGCCCAGAAGTGGCATTCAAAGCCCAATAGGTTTATTTGGGGGGGGGGGACTCTAATTCAAAGTGGCTGAAGTCTTAAGTGTTCTGCGCCTGGGTTTCAGGTCCACGGATGGGAGACGATGGGCTCTTACTGCCTCCTATCCCAGGCACTTGGCGGTCCCTTCTCCACCCCTGCCAAAAACATGGAGCGTGAAGCGAGATTTGAGACTTTCAACCGGGCAGCAAAAGGAAGGAAAGTTTTGGGGTGTTTCTCCCATAACAAACCAGCCTGGGGGATGTTTGAACAGCCTCCAGAGATAAGCAGTAGCAACCAACCAACCAAGAGACGGGTTTAAAATAATGGGCTTTGGGGGGGGGGGAATAGGGGTCCTTCCTCCAGTGCCGTCTTCAAGGGGCCTCAGTTATTTTTGAGCTCTGCTTCCATCAAGCAAAAGATGATGGAGTTGTACTTCAGAATCCCTCTTTGGTCCGTGCCAACTTTGTCTCAGCCTCTCTGGCTTTAAAACGCGAGGACTTCAATTCCCAGAATTCCCCAAGCCAGCATTCAATTCTGGGAACTGAAGTCCACACATTTAAAAAAAAAAAAAAAAAAGTTGCCAGGCTTGAGAAACGCTAGGTAGAGAGGGAAATAACCATAACAGAACTTGCTGGCTGTGTTCTATTTTGCACCAGAACGCAATGAATTTTAATTAGGGAACAAGTCACAATAGGCGGGTTGACCTTGAACACATTTAGTGAAATGGATGGAGCCCCATTTTTAAAAAAAATCTTTATTGAAAGGAACTTAAAAGGAGCATCTCCAAAACAGTTGCCTGCCAGGAGAAAATAAACCGGTGAATTCATCTTCCGTTTGCAGGCAGAACGAGCCCAAGTTCGTTCCAAGCCAGCTAACCGTAGAAACGTTCATTCTGTGCTTGTACTTTAAAACAGTTTGCTGAAATTTTGGTCCCACCCTCCAGCCCAGCAGGAGTGGCTCTGCCATCCTTGGAGAATCCTGCATAGCTTTCCAGCCGATCGGATTTCAACTCCAGTTTCATATTTGACCTTTCGCTAGCAGGCTGGAGAAGGTGCCTTGTCTCGTTCTTAACAGCTTTGGGTGTCTGAAAAAGGGTTCAAGTTCCCATCTGCCATTCCCGGGCAGGGTGGGCGTCTGAGCCGCCCCAAGAAATCCACCCTGCATCTTCTCCGCCACCAGATCCTTCATCTCAAGTTCCAATAGGTGGTCTATTTATCATTTGGGAACCTCAGGCTATTGAAATTCATGGCTACTCAAGCCTGGTGACTTTTCAGGCCTATGGACTGCAACTCCCAGAATTCCCCAGCCAGGTGCTCAGAGGAGAAACAGCTATGACATCAAAGCAATCGGCTTGATTCTGGATATCAAAGCAGCCTTTCTAACAGGCTGTTTTAAGTTGACCATCTGTTCGAAACCATGAGGACCGGAAGCTTTTACGAGAAAGTCTTTTAAGTCGAGGACTGAAACCTGGTGAACTTGACAGGTTGTAAAAAAGACAAGATGCCCACATATCAAAAGCTAACCATGGGTGTCCTTGACTTGATACCTTCCAGGTCCCACGATTCCTACTCAAAACAGTAGCCAGGCCAGCTAGTAGGAATAGTAGCCTAACTACCTGGTGGGGGGGAGGACATGGTTCCAACCATCATAAATACATGCCAGTTTTCAAGCACCCACATGTTTATTATATGACTACAGGGATGCTGTGATGGCTATAAGTTTGTAACTTTTGAGTGATTGTAAGTCAAGGACTATGCAGCGTGAAATATTTGGGGGATAAGTTAAAATCTGGTGACTCTGGATATGTCCACCTCAGATACCTTTACGTGGATATGAAGAACAACATTCAACTGTAAAGAAAATGTCCGAGGAATGGAAACTTTTATCACAAAAGATCGTAGCTATCCAAAAGTTGCCAAGTTCTGTCAATTGTTTTCCATTATTGGTGCAAAAAGGAACAGAATTTAGCTTGTAAAGACATTGGGCTCTTTGTCCTTCTCACTTGGAAATTTTCCTCGGTTGCCTTGGGATCGGAGCTGGATTGAGCCTAAATTGTTTTGCACTCGGTCCCTTCAAAGCCATCGGCCAACTTGGTTGGAAGCTCAGCCTTTTCCCTGTGGACGTTCAGCGGCGGGTGTGGAAGTTTTAAAGCAGGGATTTGATCTGCCAAGAATTGCTCTTACCTTCAGAGCTAGGGGGGCGGGCGGGCGGGGCATTTGCCAAATGAAAAATGCATTCTCCAGAAAACTTTTGTGCAACACACCCCACAAGAATGGAAAACCCAGGGGTGCACACCTTTGGAAGAGAAGGTGATGGTCTACAATGAGGACTGTCATGCCTTCCAGTGGAAAGGAGTTGCAAAGCTGGCTTGGTCATTGCCTCCACTTGCATGTTCCGTTGCATGTTCACAGATATCTCTGCTTCGGACATGTGATATCCTGAACACTCGAAACCCCCTTGCAGTCACATTCCTGGCCGGGAAACTCTCAGAGGTTTTGTTTTATGTTATATTTTATTTTATTATTTTTTATTATTTTATATTTATTATATTTATCATATTTTATTTATTTGTATCTCGCCTTTAGTATTTTCGCAAACAGCTCAAGGCTGCAAAAATATCCAAGACCTCTTCCTTTTATTTTCCCAACAACAACCCTGTGGGGTGGGTTGGACCAAGAGAGAGGGACTGGCTCAAAGTCACCCAGCCAGCTTTCCTAGCAGAATCTGAACTCATGGCCTCTTGCTTTCTAGCTTGCTGCCTTAACCACTAGATCAAACTGGCGCTTCTTCAAGAGGTCTTTGGGCAGCTCAACATCTGTTGCTCAGTTGGAAGCCTGTTTGGGGGGGGGGGCTCCTTGACCTAAAGGCCAGGTATGTGAGGACTACATCTCCCACCCTGCCTTGGGGCAGCTTTAACCGATAACTGGGCTAAATGGTCCAGGCTGCAGCCAACTGAGCCCTGTGACCTTTCTCTGAAAGTCACTATATTTATAGGAGTGCCGGTGAGTGACAGGCACAGTGTGTGTGTTGTGTGTCTGTGTGTGTCCTGGTTCTATTGCCAGGAGTTTAGGCTGGAGGAATCCTGGCAGCTGCCCCTTTCCAAGATGACCCAATGCCAAAAAGCCACTTCTCCATCACCAAGGAGCTCCAGGCCGCTGCCTTTCGATGCCCCTCCCCACCCATAACAAGATGTACAGTTGCCAGCAGAGGCCTCCACCTGAAAGGGCTTTTACAGTAGATGGGATGACCAAGGCACGATCATGCCGACGGGGGTGATGGGAGTTGTAGTTCTGCAGCATCCAGAAGAGCTGCAAATTGCCCCACTTTGACTAAAAGGAGATATGCAGAAAAGGAGATAAAGCCACGGATTGCGTCCCCATTTGATGCCGCGCCTTTACTCGGAGCCATGAGGACTGGATGCATGTTCTCTTTGAGGGCTAGAAGCTGTGTGCCCCTTGGTGGCAGCCCTTCAAACATAGCAGGGTTCCAGTATTTGAGGGGCTGCCCCAAAGAAGAGGGGGTCCACCTATTCTCCAAAGCACCCAAAGGCAGCACAAGAAGCAACGGATGCAAGCTAACCAAGGAGAGAAGCAACCTGGAACTAAGGAGGAACTTCCTAACAGTGAGGACAATTAACCAGTGGAACAGCTTGCCACCAGAAGTTGTGGGTGCTCCATCCCTGGAGGCTTTTAAGAAGAGACTAGACAACCATTTGTCTGAAATGGTATAGAGTTTCCTGCTTGAGCAGGGGGTGGACTAGAAGACCTCGAAAGGCCCCTTCCAATCCTTTGATTCTGTGTTCTAAGCACTGTTTCTCCACTTTGTAGGTGCTCCATCATGGAAGCTTTGAAGAAGAGACCGGACAGCCATTTGTCCGGAATGGTGTGGGGTCTCCTGCTTGAGCAGGGGGTTGGACTAGATGACCTCCAAGGTCCCTTCCAACTCGGTGATTCTGTTCCGTTTCTCCCGGGGGGCGGCGGCGATAGAGGACTCTTATGGGCGGATAGAAAGAAACTTGCTCGCCGGACGGCTTTCTAACGGTCCTTTTTTTTTTTTCTTTTTCCCCCAAGCCCAACGGGGGCCACCCCGAATCAGCCCCGCCGCTTTTGAATGCGCTGGACCCCTTAGAGCCCGGGCGGGCGGGCGGGCGGGCGGGGCTTTCGGGACCCGGCCCCGCCCCTTCATGAATAATGCATCGCCCGGGGGGGGTTAAAAGGCCGGAGGGGCGGGGCTTGGGGCGCATTTGCCGGCGCCCAGGCGAAGCGCGCTGCTCCTCCGTCCGTCCGTCCCGTCCCGTCCCGTCCAGCCCGGCCCCGCCGCCCTCCGGCCCCGCCGCGATGTCGCTGCCCCTGTCGGACTACGAGAAGAGGAAGCAGATCAGCGTGCGCGGCTTGGCCGGCGTGGAGAACGTGACCGACCTGAAGAAGAGCTTCAACCGGCACCTCCACTTCACGCTGGTCAAGGATCGCAACGTGTCCACGCCGCGCGACTACTACTTCGCCCTCGCCCACACCGTCCGCGACCACCTGGTCGGACGCTGGATCCGCACCCAGCAGCACTACTACGAGAAGGACCCCAAGGTCGGCCTCCCCCTCCCCTCTCCCCTCTTCCCCCTCCGCCGGCCCTCCTGCCTACCTCGCGGGGCGGTTGTGCGCGCCGGCTGTGCCACTGCGGGGATCGCTCGCTCGGGGACTCGGACTACAGCGCCTGTGGTGCCCAGCCGGCTCGGGAAAGGGAAAGGGGCGTGAGGATACGAGCTTGCTTGCTTGCTTGCTTGCCCGCCTGGTGTCCCGCTTCCCCAGGACCATCATCCCCTTCTGGTGCAGACTGAGCTAGGACTTAGGACCCTCCTTGAGTTGGGGTTCAACCCCCCCCCCGCCCTTCCTTGCTGGCTTCCTAAAACAGCCCTTCTGCACCCCACGGCTTGAACCCCCAGCTCCTATCATCCCTAGGCGTCCAGTTGAGATGATGGGCTCTGTAGTCCTTCACATCCAGAGGAGAACAGCAAGGACCCTCAGTCTGCATCTGATTCCCCCCCCCTCCCCAGCCAGTTATGGGCAGGCAGGACTCCAAGGGGCTGAGGGGGGGGGGAGGCAGGCAATGTGTGTGTGGGGGGGAGAGATCAAAGCTGCAGAGGGGCCTATTAATAGCTCTATAGCATCGCACAGGATGATGGGAAACCACAGCCCCCGTTTGGGATGGGGGACTGACAGGGGGAGAGCCACCCATGTCTCTGCCCCCTCCCTCCCTCCCACCAGCAAAGAACTCTGTGCACACTCGGTGTGCAAAGCAGGACCACCTCGGGCAAAGCACGGCCACCTTGCACGCAAAGCAAAAAGCCGCCTCCCGAAGCTGGCTGGAGCCCTTCCTGCTTTTCTCTCCCCCGTCCTGCCACCCCAAAAAGGTCCTCGCAAGAGGGGCGCTCGCCCTGCGAGGGAGGTCCTTCCCCCCCCCGTGCAACAGCGCCTTGACTCTTTAAATTTAGCCGGCCTGACATTTGGCGTGAACTTTTGCTATTTGGATCCAGCAATGCTTGTGTCAGCAGGAGCCTTGCAAGAGATATTGGATACCGCTTGCAAACTTACGGAGGGCTGAGTTAGCTCAGCCGGCCGGGAAAAGGTCAGGAAAGGAGCTGCAGGCTGGGGGGGGGGCTCCCCTGGCACAGCTTGGGTGGGGGTGTGTGTCTTGCAGCAGACAAATCTCTCTTTCTGGGGGGGTGGGCATTATGGCTGTATTTGCCCAGTTCCTAGGGTCGAGTGTGTATTGCACGGTGCATTCAGTCCTCAACACAAATGGGTTGCCTTCACACAACCTATAAACTCAGGTTCTGCAGATGCAACCACTGAACTTTTGCACGACTGAGTTAAATACAGGTAGCCCTCGACTTGCCACAGTTTGTTTAGTGACCGTTCAAAATGACAACGGCATTGAAAAAAGGACTGTTTTTCACACGATCATTGAAGCATCGCCAATTGATCAAAATTCGGACGCTTGGCAACTGACTCATATTTATGACGGTCGCAGGGTCTGAGGGGGGGGGGACTCACGTGATCCCTTTTTGCGACCATCTGACAAGCAAAGTCAACGGGGAAGCCAGGTTCGCTTAGTAACTTAACTGCAGTGATTCACTTTAACAACTCTGGCAAGAAAAATCATAAAATGGGGCAAAAACATACTTAGCAACAGAAATGTTGGGCTCAATTGTGGTCGTAAGTCAAGGACTACCTGTATGCTGGGTGAACAGGGCCAAGTAACTTGTTCTTTGCAAAAATACCCAAAGCTACACGTCCAATACATTCATCTGAAACCTGGATACACGTAGTCCTCGCCTTGCAACCAGAACTGGAACCAGAACTTCCGTTGCTAAGCGAGGCAGTCATTGAGTGGCACACAATTTTACCTTTTTTTTCCACAGGCGTTAAGCAAATCACTATGGTTGTTAAGTCAATCCATTCCTGCAGCCGGTGAAATAAAAACCAGTGGGATGGCTGGGGAATTCTGGGAGCTGAACTCCACAAGTCTTAAAAGTTGCCAAGTTCGAAGAGTCCTGGAATAAACCATCATCACAATGAGTGAGACTGTAATAAAATCTTGCGGTACAGAAATCTCTTAGGATTTTCTATCCTGCTAAATTACTGAGGGAGTTAGCTCTGTTCTCCTTCGTTGTTTTCTGGGACTTTCTCTCCAGATGAGGGTTTTTTTTTCCTTCTCCAAAAGTTTTTTTTAGGCTTTTGCAAAATTCAGAGTTTTCTCATCCAGGTCAATGCATTCCCCCTTGATATAAACCACGATAGTGTGAGTCCACGGATTGCGTGCAAAGAGAGGTGCAGTTTACTTAACCGGCGTGATGGAAAATGTAGCATCCGTTGGCCTTGTGAAATGAGGCCTTTTGGAGACCTTGGAAGCTGGAGGGCAGGCTGGATGGACGGACGGACGGGCCTTCTGCTAAAATTTTAAGCCAGACGGTGCCAAGTTTTCAGCTCTGGACAACTTCTCAGGCTTTGCCACTTGGTGGTGAGAACAGCGCTGGAAATGCAGCCCTTTAAGAATGGCCCACTTGGCGTGCAAAGATCAGCTTCAGATAAAAGGACTGAGGACTCAAACTCAGTTCTGAGTGGCTGGGTTTGCAGTTTCACATTAGTCCAGACGTAAATGGGATCATGTGTGTTCATATGTGTTTGGAAAATACAGCTTGCTTTCTTAGTATGTCTGTGGAGAGTCTCAATTATCCAGTCACGCTTGTCCGAAAGGTGCTTTTTTCCCAAAAGGCAACTGGACTTCCATGGGTTTCTTTCTTTGAAAACGTTTCATTCCTCATCTAAGAAGCTTCTTCAGCTCTAACTGGTGGAAGATTTTATCCTCCCATTTCCCACCAGTCAGTTAGAACTGGAGAAGCTTCTTGGGTGAGAAGCGAAACATTTTCAAAGAAAAAACACCCAGTTGCTTTTTGGAAAGAAGCACCTGGGTGATTTTCTTAATAGGTTGTGAGAATTTTTCTACTGTGTTGAAGCCAAATAGGGCTTCTGATTTGGGCACCATTTGATGTAGGAATGCACCAGTGCGTCCTCTTGTAACTCCCCTAACCCACAAAAGCTGCATGCACATAATATAGGTACTGTCCTTGACTTATGGCCATCCGTTTAATGCCGGTCCTTGCCCTTATGACTGTTGCAGAGTCCCTACCGTCAAAATTTGGGCAGTTGGCAACCAGCATGTATTTACAACTGCCATATTCATTTGTTGTCTTCCCAGACACTTCCGACAAGCAAAGTCAAAAAGGGGGAGGAAGCCAGATCCACTTAATGACCATGTTGGTTCATTTAACAACCAGGGCGATTTGCTTAACACCCGCAGAAAAAAAAAGATAAAATTAATGGCCGCCTTGCTTAGCAACGGAAGTTTTGGTTCCAATTACGGCTGTAAGGCGAGGACTACACGTACCCAGGTTTCAGACGAATGTGTTGGATGTGTAGTTTGGGGTATTTTTTTTCAAATTGCAAACTTCCACTTCTTCTTTTTTTTAAAAAAATAAATCTCAAATTTGCAAACTCATCTCCAGTGAAATTCAAACGGCTTTCTTCTTCGGGGAGAGGGGGGAAGAAGGCTTTTTACTGACCCCCCTTTCCCCCCCCCCTTTCTTCTAGCGCATCTATTATCTTTCCTTGGAGTTTTACATGGGACGGACACTGCAAAACACCATGGTCAACCTGGGCTTGCAAAATGCCTGCGACGAAGCCATTTACCAGGTTTGGCAGCTGCTCTTGAACGGATTGGAGGGGGGGGGAGGAAACTGGGGAGGGGGCAGCTTTAGGGAAAGAAGGGATCGCAGAGGAGGGCGAAAAGGTTTGCACCGTTGGCTTCTCCCCCCCCCCCCCCCATATTTTGCATGAAGGGGAATGGTATGGTTTGGTCTAGTGCACAGGTCGGCAACCCGCGGCTCCGGAGCTGCATGTGGCTCTTTGAGCCTTCCCCTGTGGCTCCCAGCCTCCTCTGCCATTTGCAGAGAGAGGCAGAGACAGAGAGAGGCACTTGCCTTCCCTTCTCTCTGTGTGTGTGTGTGTGTATTTGTGTGTAAAGAGTGGACTCACGGTGTTCTCCCACGAGCTGAGAGAGAGAGAGAGAGAGAGAGACCCTTTTGACATCTAAAATGAAGATAATACTGCATATATCCTTTTTTACCTTTATGATATAGTGGTTAAAGCACCAGGATAGAAAGTGGGAGAGGGTGAGTTCTAGTCCAGCCTTAAGCATGAAAGCCAGCTGGGTGACTTTAGACCAATCACCAGGAGATGGTGAGTTCTAGTCCAGCCTTAGCCATGAAAGCTAACTGGGTGACTTTAGGCCAATCACCAGGAGACTGTGAGTTCTCGTCCCGCCTGAGGCATGAAAGCCGTCTGGGTGACTCTGGGCCAATCACCAGGAGATGGTGAGTTCTAGTCCCACCTTAGCCGTGAAAGTCTGCTGGGTGACCTTGGGCCAATCACCAGGAGAGGGTGAGTTCTAGTCCTGCCTTAGCCATGAAAGCTAACTGGGTGACTTTAGGCCAATCACCAGGAGACTGTGAGTTCTCGTCCCGCCTGAGGCATGAAAGCCGTCTGGGTGACTCTGGGCCAATCACCAGGAGATGGTGAGTTCTAGTCCCATCTTAGCCGTGAAAGTCTGCTGGGTGATTTTGGGCCAATCACCAGGAGACTGTGAGTTCTAGTCCCGCCTGAGGCATGAAAGCCGTCTGGGTGACTCTGGGCCAATCACCAGGAGACGGTGAGTTCTAGTCCCACCTTAGCCGTGAAAGTCTGCTGGGTGACCTTGGGCCAATCACCAGGAGAGGGTGAGTTCTAGTCCTGCCTTAGGCATGAACGCCAGTTGGGTGACTCTGGGCCAATCACCAGGAGAGGGTGAGTTCTAGTTCCACTTTACCTACGAAAGCCAGCTGGATAACTTTGAACCAATCACTCTCAGCCCTGGCCACCTCGCAAGGTTGTTATGGTGGGAAAAATAGGAGGAAAGAGTATTATTTATGTTGACCATTTTGAGTTATTTGTAAAAATAATAAAGGAGGAATACAAACAAAGTATCCAAAACAACCACCAAATAAATAAATATTTTTGGGTCCCCAAACTGAAATTATTCTCCCTCTGCAGCTGGGCTTGGATATGGAGGAGCTGCAGGAGATTGAAGAGGACGCCGGCCTGGGCAACGGAGGGCTCGGGCGACTGGCAGGTTGGCATCAGCGACGGGCAGATCGCGACCCAACAGCGCTCTCACTTGGCAGGCCAAAGTTCCTGCTGCAAAGATCTTGTATGATTTTGCCTTTGGCAGCAAAGAACTTTGCTAGCCCTGTTTGCAACTAGACCGTTTTATTCAGGGGCGACGTTTTCATTAGCTGATCAAGCGACGAGTTGCTGAAAACTTCGGCCTTTGAATAAAATTGAGTTATTTGTAAAAATGATAACGGCGGGATACAAATAAATAAAAACAGTTGGTTCATTGGAAAAAGATGTTCCCAGTTTCCCCTAATTTTAAAATCCTTCCTGTCGGGAGGGATTTTACAGACAAGGGCACCTCAGCTTGAAAAAAACCTTACAATAATTAGAGTGGGACCGCCAAAGGTCATCTAATCCACCCCCTGAATTGCATAGAGGTGACCATCTAGAGTGGCTGTTTCCCACATCCCACTTAGCCCACTTAGGGAGATTGACCTATAATGTATTCATCGTCCTGAGCTTTGTCAGGTTGTTTTTGTACACTAGACTATTGTGCAAATTCAGCCTGGGTGTGTTGCACAAACCCATCCTGACGAGAACTAACAAGAGAGAGTTCTTAAAAATAAAATGCCATCTCATTTGGGTTGAGTGCAGCGCCTGAGATGGTCTCACAGACCCTCCATGGTGTTTGCTTGCCATGAATATGGAAGAGATTAACCCTGTCTGCCTTCGAAGATTTCCTGTTGGTCTCCTTTCCAAGTTTAATCCAGCTCCGTATTTTAAGGCCATTTCAGAATAACCACTAGCTCATACAGATTGGGGGGGGACCCTCGTGTCTCCAATGTGCCACCCCAAAGGATCACTTAGCCAGCGATCTCTACAACTCCTTCGTTTCACGAGACAGACTGGGCCTGGTTCGCACAATCAGCGAAACCCCAACGTGGCTTGTTTCTTTCTATCGTTTGTGCTATTGAACAAACCATAGTTTTAGATGTTGAAACCAAACCACCATGTCTTACTTCAAACTCACTTTAAAGCAGGGGTGTCCAGTCTTGGCAACGTGTGGGCTTCAAATTCCAGAATTCCCCAGCCAGCCATGCTTTAAGCCAGGGGTCTTCAAACTTGGCCCTTTTATGACTTGTGGACTTCAACTTCAGCATGGCTGGCTGAGGAATTGTGGAACTTTGAAGTCCACAAGTCATAAAAAGGCCAAGTTTGAAGACTCCTGCTTTAAGCCAAGGATATCTAGCCTTGGCACCTTTAAGACTGGTGGACTTCAACTCCCAGCAAAGCTGGCTGCGGAATTCTGGGAGTTGAAGTCCACCGGTCTTAAACTTGTCAAAGTTTAAAATGTACCTTAGCTTGGATCCTGGTCTTCTTTCAATTCTGGTCTTGTGGTTTTCACCATCGCCCCCCCCAGCTTGCTTCCTGGACTCCATGGCGACTCTCGGCTTGGCGGCTTACGGCTACGGCATCCGCTACGAGTTCGGCATCTTCAACCAGAAGGTCTTGGGGGGCTGGCAGGTGGAAGAAGCCGACGACTGGCTGCGTTACGGGAATCCCTGGGAGAAGGCCCGTCCGGAGTACATGATCCCCGTCCACTTCTACGGACACGTGCAACACGGGGAGGGAGAAGTGAAGTGGGTCGACACGCAGGTAAGCGGCTTTTGGTCAAGGTGCGGGTGAGTGTCCGTGCACGTCCTTGCGTTTTCTCCACAAAAGCCACCGCTTCCCAGGGATACAACCCATCGTTTCTCTTATCCAGCATTCTGACTGCATTCACACAACACCTTTCACTTAATCTCCCATTGCTCCTGTTCTGAGCTCCTACGGGACAGGAGGTCCTTGACTTACAACAGCTCATTTAGTGACCGTGCAAAGTTAAAATGGCACCGAAAAAAAGTTACTTATGTTTTTCATGCTTAATGACTGTGGCAGCATCCCCAGGGTCCCGTGATCAAAATTCAGACGCTTGGCAACTGACTCATAGTTATGACGGTCGCAGAGTCCCCTTTTGCGACCTTCTGACAAGCAAAGTCAATGGGGGAAGCCAGATTCACTTAACCACCATGTGACTTACTTAACAACTGCAGTGATTGTCATAAAATGGGACAAAACTCACTTACCGACTGTCTTGCTGAGCCACAGAAATTTTGGGCTCCATTGTGGTCGTAAGTCAAGGACCCCAGTTGGGATGAGAATCTCCATTGCTGAGCCAGGCGGTTGTTAAAGGAGGAGTGGCTGACGTTACGTCTTTTTTCGTGGCAGTTGTTAAGCCAGCCTATTGTTTGCTAAGCAGCAGTTTAAACTGGAAACCAGAAATAAGGGATGGTTTCCTGTGGAAAAAAGTGCAAAATTGTGGTCACATGTGCTACTGTAAATGGCCATAAATGAAGGCTTATTGCCAAGTCCCCAAATGCATTCATGTGATTGTCGGAGGGGGGCTGTCACAACATAAAAACTGAATTATAAGTAGCTTTTGGGGGGGTGTCTGTTGTAACCTCAAACGGTCCCTAAGCGTCTGGTCGTCGGTTGAGACCGCCGACATTAATATTGTATTACTATTATGACTTGTATTAATATTGTTAATATTAAACTCCGTAAAATTGTCAAAGGCACCTTGGATTGATTTTTCCAGAGGGAATCACCTGTCTGGTTCGGATCAGTTCAAAGGTGCTGCTTCAGACGAGGCGGAATAATCCTCAGGTTCTTTTTCCCCCATCGTTTTAGTGAACTGAATTGATATTCCTGACAGACCAAACAAATTAAATTGGGGCCGACCGGCTTAAGCTGAGCTAATATTCCTAGACCTAAAATTGGGTTTTTGGTCACAATGAATATCTCAGAGCCTTGACTTTATTTCTTTGGCAATTATTCCTGCTCAGGCTTTTAATTCCAAAATTACTTCACCGGTGATGGAGGGAGGGGGAGGGGAGAAAAAGGTGGCTGCAAATTAATCGGAAAGGAAACGAGAGAACCCGGAGGAAAAGGCGGAAGCAGCTGGGTGGCTTCCTGTTACTGTCAGCCTCTGTCCTGTGGCCTTCAGAGCAGGGCCAGATGTTGCATTGAAGGCTTAGCAGACTTTTTTTGAATCTATCTATCATCTGTCTGTCTGTCTGTCTCTGTCTGTCTGTCTATTTGTCTGTCTGTCTATCTAATATATATCTATATCAACCATCTATCATTCTATCTATCGCTCTATATCTATCATCTATCATTCCATTTATTATTCTCATTCTATTTATCTATGTCTGCCTGTCTGTCTGTCTGTTATCTATCTATCTATCTATCTATCTATCTATCTATCTATCTATCTATCTATCTATCTATCTATCTATCTATCTATCTATCTATCTTAGTGTTCTATCATTCTATTTATATCATCTATTTATCTCATTATCTCATTCTATTTATCTATCTATATCTATCATCTCTGTTGTTCTATCTATCTATCTATCTATCTATCTATCTATCTATCTATCTATCTATCTATCTATCTATCTATCTATCATAGCTATTTATCATGTATCTACCATCTCTATTTCTCTCTCTCTCTTCTATCGTTCTATCATCAACCTGTCTATTGTTCTATTACTCTGGATCTCATTATCGTTCCATTTATTATTCTCTCATTCTATTTATATCTATCTATCTGTTGTTCTATCTATCTATCTATCTATCTATCTATCTATCTATCTATCTATCTATCTATCTATCTATCATTCTATCATTCTGTTGTTCTATCATTCTATTTATATCATCTATTTATCTCATTCTCTCTCTCTCTCTCTCTCTCTCTCTCTCTCTCTCTCTATCTATCTATCTATCTATCTCTCTATCTATCTATCTATCTATCTATCTATCTATCTATCTATCTATCTAATTAATATTGATAGACATAATATTAAACATGATTAGAAACAAAATCATGAGAGGGTGAAAGCCAGGATGTTATATGTGCTGCAGCCAACCACAGGATCTTTCGGATCAATGCAAACACCAGGTTTTGAGAGCTTTCTAGCAGGATTGAGGCCAACCTCACTTCACAATAAAACTCCGGAGGGCAGGGGCCACGGCAGAGAAGGCTCTTCTCCTGGGTCCTGTAGGATGAGGCCCTCCACACACACCTCTCCTCCCAGATCTGATGCAGCTGGTGGTCATCATCTGGTGACCATCTGGGTAGATGTGATCAGGGGGAGGGAGCTGGTCCCTCGCAGATCCTGGTTCCATGGGCCTGAAAGGTCAAAACCAGCACCTTGAATTGACTCAGAAGCAAACCAGCAACCAGTGCAGCTCACAGATCCAAGATGTAAGGTGTGCCATCCCAGTTTGTGCCAGTTGAAGCTTCTGGATACTTTTCAAGGGCAGCCCCAGGTAGAGCACGTTGCAGTAGTCCGTTCAAGAGGGGACCAGGACCTTCCAACGTTAGGATTTTAGATTCATTCTGCAATAGCTCAGGGAGCAGAGAGTCCCTCCTAGCGACTGATCGTGGTTACTTATTCCCCTCCCCCTCCCTCTTTCCATGCAGGTGGTGCTCGCCTTGCCCTACGACACACCCGTGCCTGGGTATCGCAACAACACAGTCAACACCATGCGGTTGTGGTCTGCCAGGGCCCCCAACGAGTTCAACCTGAAAGATTGTAAGTAGCACCGCCCCGAGATTCGAACTGATCTTGGGTGACCCACAAATCCCAGGAACCCTGGGGAGGTGGACCGGGTTCTTCATGGAATGAAGTTCCCTTCTACAGGTAGTCTTCGACTTACCACCACAATTGAACCCCAAAGTTCCGTTGCTAAGCGAAACACTTGTTAAGTGAATTTTGCCCCATTTTACGACTGTTCTTGCTCTTAAGTGAATCACTGCACTTGTTAGTAACACAGTTGTTAAGTGAATCTGGCTTTCCCATTGATTTTGCTTAGAAGTTGATCACATGACCTTAGGATACTGCAACCGTCATAAATGAGTCAGTTGCCAAGTGTCCAGGTTTTGATCACGTGACCACGGAGATGCTGAAATGGTCGTAAAACACGAAAAATGGTGATAAGTCTCTTTTTCCAGTGCCGTTGTAACTTTGACGGGTCACTAAATGAACTGTTGTAAGTTGAGGACCGCCTCTACGGGGTTGATGCTTGTTCCAGGTTTTATCCCACAAAGACCCAAGAGAACCAAAGTGTTTTAAATCGAGGTTTCCCAACCGTGACAAGTTTAAAATATGTGGACTTCAACTCCCAGAATTCTTTACTCGCTGGGGAATTCTGGGAGTTGAAGTCCATACATCTTAAAGTTGCCGAGGTTAGGAAACCCTGATTTAAATAGACGTGATAAACTCAGAAACACGATGCCTAAGCAGATTTTCTTCAGTTGAGGCACCAGCACCAAGAAGGCCCTGTTTCTAGTCCTAATGATCTTTTTGTTTTAATTTTGAAGTATCCTCTGGTTAATTAAATTATATTAACTTATCTTTTTCTCCCCATTTAAAAAAAAAAATCTTCCCTTCTTCAGTCAATGTGGGTGGCTACATTCAAGCGGTGCTGGACCGGAATTTGGCTGAGAACATTTCCCGTGTTCTGTATCCCAATGATAACGTAAGTATCTTTTTCTGGGCTTTTTTCCCCCAATGTGCCACTTTTAAATCAGTGTTTTTCAATGTCAGCAACTGTAAGACACGTGGACTTCAGCCCCCAGAATTCCCCAGCCAGTATTTGCTAAATTCTAACTCCCATGGTGCTAAGCCAAAAGGTGGGGAATGATGGGATATAAAGTCCAACACAAAGGAGGTCATCAGTTGTAGGAGGCTGACAAGGAAAGAGAATATTTGTTTCTTTAAAGGCAGTTTGAAGTTTGTATAGCTTCAGGAAAAGGGACTTGCAATCCGTCCTCGAAGTTACGACCACACGGGATCCTAATTCAGGCACTTAGCAACCCATTTATGCATTTATGATAGTTGAAGTCTCTTGCGGTCATGTGATCGGTTTGCCACCTTCCCAATCAGGAAGCCAGATTCACTTAACAAGGGTGTTATTCGCTTAACGACCATGTGATTTACTTAATGACTGTGGTAAAACGGTCGTAAAATCAGGTCCTCGGTCCCTTCTTCTCTGTGACAACTGCTCAAACATTGGAAGATCGCTGTCGTGTCACCCCAATCCTTCCCTTCCTTAGGCTAAACACCCCTAGTTCCCTTAACCATTCATGGTATGGTTTACCCTCCAGTCCCCTAACTGAATCACAGAGTTCGAAGGGACCTTGGAGGTCTTCTAGTCCAACCCTATACCATTCTAGACAAGTGCCTGTCCAGTCTCTTTGGAAAAACCTCCAGTGATGAAGTGCCCACAACTTCTAGTTGCAAGCTGTTCCACTGGTTAATTGTACTCATTGTTAGGACGTTTCTCCTTAGTTCCAGGTTGCTTCTCTCCTTGATCAGTTTCCATCCGTTGCTCCTTGTCCTGCCTTCTGGTGCTTTGAAGAATAGCTTGACCCCTTCCTCTTCTTTGTGGCAGCCCCTCCAAATATTGGAAGTCTGCTATCATGTCTCCCCTGGTCCTTCTCTTCCCTATGTCCCACAGAACATAGAATAATAGTGTTGGAAGGGACCTTGGAGGTCATCTAGTCCAACCCCCTGCTCAAGCAGGAGACACTATACCATTTCAGACAGGTGGCTGTCCAGTCTCTTCTTAAAAAGCTCCCATGATGAAGCACCCACAACCTCTGGTGGCAAGCTGTTCCACTAGTTAATTGTTCTCACTGTTAGGAAATTTCTCCTTCATTCCAGGTTGCTTCTCTCCTTGATTAGCCTCCATCCGTTGTTTCTTGTCCTGCCTTCAGGCACTTTGGAGAATAAGTTGACCCCCTCTTCTTTATGGCAGCCCCTGAAATACTGGAAGGCTGCTGTCATGTCTCCCCCAGTCCTTCTTTGCACGAGACTAGACTTTGGAAAACAAGGTGACTTCTCTTTCTCTCTCTGCAGTTCTTCGAAGGCAAAGAGCTGCGTCTCAAGCAGGAGTATTTCGCGGTGGCCGCAACGCTTCAAGACATCATCCGCCGGTTCAAATCCTCCAAGTTCGGCAGCCGGGATCCTGTCCGCACCTCCTTCGATGCCTTCCCAGACAAGGTACCGGCAAGAGCACCTCAGCTGAGCGGCAGCATTGGCCAATCTGCATCCCAGGAAGTTGGGTGGGTGGGAAGGCTCACCGGATGAACCTCGGGGGTTAGGGTCCCAAGGGACCAGCAGAGACCCCAGCTCAGCTTGGGGGGCGGCGGCTCTTGATTCAGCCCCCTTTCCTCTCCTGCCTTCTCTGTGAGCAAGAAGAATAATTTCCTTGCTTCCTCCGTTATATCTCCATCTTTGGTCTCTGGCCAGCCGTGGGGCTTGGACCTAGAGGGTGCAAGGGGGGGGTCATACCCAACTGGATGGAGAATTGGGGCTTTTTTTTGAGTTGCTTTGTTAAGGGAGAGGCTGGTGGAGAAGAAGCTGGAGGAATTATGTTAGATCTATTGGGGATCAGTCTTCTCAGCTGTAAAATGGGCCCAAGGACACACGCAGTGAGAATGCCGGTGGGTGCAAGCTGAGCTCAGAGTAGAACACAGAACGACAAAGTCATAAGGGGCCTTGGAGGTCTTCTAGTCCAACCGTTCCCTCCGTTGGGCTGTGTTTTGACAACTGCAGGTCGCCATTCAGCTCAATGACACACACCCTTCGCTGGCCATCCCGGAGCTGATGAGGGTTTTGATGGATATTGAGAAGCTGGACTGGGATAAGGTAAGAGTCCTTCATTGTGCAAAAAAAAACAACCCCAAAAGACTGTATGGCTCTTTGGCGTAGGAATTACAAGCCAAGCTGAGGAAGAATTAGAGTAGTTAAATGAAATGAGCATAAGAAATGACTGAGGAATAGCCAAGAGAGTATGAAGCAGTGCAAAAAAAAAAAAAAAAGAGGAAACAAAACAAATTGTCTCTTTCCTACTGCACCACAATTGCCACATTTGAGTTGTGTTTTTGGGGGGGTTTTGCTCAATTTCTTTTTAAAAATTTTAAATTTTTCCCCACAACAACGATCTGGTGAGGTAGGTTGGGCTGAGAGAGAGACTGGCCCAAAGTCATCAAGACACTTTTCATGCCTAAGGCGGGACTAGAACTCACCGTCTCCTGGTGATTGGCCCAAAGTCACCAAGCCGGCTTTCATGCCTAAGGCAAAACTAGAACTCATAGTCTCCTGGTGATTGGCCCAAAGTCACCCAGTTGGCTTTAATGCCTAAGGCGGGACTAGAACTCACCGTCTCCTGGTGATTGGCCCAAAGTCACCCAGTTGGCTTTAATGCCTAAGGCGGGACTAGAACTCACCGTCTCCTGGTGATTGGCCCAAAGTCACCCAGCTGCCTTTCATGCGTAAGGCAAAACTAGAACTCACCGTCTCCTGGCGATTGGCCCAAAGTCATCCAGCCGGCTTTCGTGCTGAAGGAGATTGGTTGAAAGTTCGCACCTGTATTGTGCGAACGATTTGTCCCTCAAGCAGACTTTGCTCTCTCCCCGCATTGCAGGCCTGGGACGTCACCGTGCGCACTTGTGCCTACACCAACCACACCGTGCTGCCAGAGGCGCTGGAGCGCTGGCCTGTCCACCTCTTTGAGACCCTCCTGCCGCGCCACTTGGAGATCATCTACGAAATCAACCAACGTTTCCTCGACGTGAGTGCAACCCCAGCGAAAAGCCAAACAACTCATAGTTTGGGCAGTAAGGTAGATCAATATAGACTGCTCCTGGACAGGGAGAGCATCAAGATCACGTGAAGTGTTAGTTCCACTTTACAACGCCTTGGTAAGGCCACACTTGGAATGCTGCATCTGGTTCTGGTCATCATGACGTAAAAAAGATGCGGAGACTCTAGAAAGAGTGCAGAGAAGAGCAACAAAGATGAGTAAGGGACTGGAGGCTAAAACATATACGGAACGGTTGCTGGAATTGGATATGTCTAGTTTAATGAAGAGAAGGACGAGGGGGGACATGATAGCAGTCTTTCAGTATCTCAGGGGCTGCCCCAAAGAAGAGGGAGTCAAGCTATTTTCCAAAGCCCCAGAAGGCAGGACAAGAAGCAACGGATGGAAACTCATCAAGGAGAGAAGCAACCTGGAACTAAGGAGAAATGTCTAATCAACCAACAGCTTGCCTCAAGAAGTTGTTGGTGCTCCATCACTGGAGGTTTTTAAGAAGAGATTGGATAGCAACATTTGTCTGAAATGTTAGAGGGTCTCCTGCTTGAACAGGGAGTTGAACTAGAAGACCTCCAAGGTCCCTTCCAACTCTATTATTCTATATTTTAAGGGCCCAGCCAGCCAATCAAACCCATTTCCCAGCTACTCCATTCCAGCTGGTTCTCTCGTCTCTTCCTCCTTCTGCATCTCGGTTGCTACTTGGGTCCCTCAGAGAGATCTGGTTGTTCTCCAACTGTTTCCAGGGATTACGGTGGCATTCCCACATCAGCCCCACCGCCGGGGAAAGCCTCACCAGGGCTGTGTGTGAATCCAGTCCTTTGTCATGAGTCCCTTAACAGCATCTTTGGGGGGGGGCGTTCCCTGTCTTCTGCAGAAAGTCTACGCCACCTTCCCGGGAGACCTGGACCGGATGCGCCGCATGTCCATGGTGGAAGAAGGAAGCGTCAAACGGATCAACATGGCGCATCTCTGCATCGTGGGTTCCCACGCTGTCAATGGAGTCGCCCGTATCCACTCCGATATCCTGAAGGCCACCGTGTAGGTATCTGGGGTCTCAGAGCTTGGGGTGGGGGTGGGGGGGGGTTTCCTCACACAGAGACAAAGAAGAGGAGAGCAGATCGGAGCCTTGTCAAAACCAGGAACAACAGACTCCCTTGTGCAAAAGAGGGGTTGTGTGCAGCCCACGAAAATACAACCGGAAGGAGGTGCGAAAGGGTTGAGCTGCTAGCTCTATTAGGGAGCCCTTCTCTCGAAACTGAGCAGGCACTGGAACACAGAAAGTCCTCAGATTATGACCACAGTTGAGCCCAAGCGTCCCATTGTTAAGCCAAACGTTTGTTGAGTGAGTTTTGCCCCATTTTACGACCTTTCTCAACACAGTTGTGAAGTGACTCACTGCAGTTGTTAAGTTAGTAACGTGGTCGTTAAGTGAATTTGGCTTCCCCGTTGACTTTGCTTGTCGGGAGGTCGCAAAAGGGGATCACCGCAACCGTCATAAATGCAGGGGGTCCTCGACTTACGACCACAGTTGAGCCTCAGATGTATGTTGCTAAGCGAGACGTTTGTTAAGTGAGTTTTGCCCCATTTTACGACCTTTCTTGCCGCAGTTATTATGTGAATCACTACAGTTGTTAAGTTAGTCACACAGATGAGGCTTCGGGTTAAGACTATAATGAAGCTGGCTAACACTGTAGTTGAAGACAAAAATTCCAATTAAGATTTTAGTTAAGACTAAGATCAGGATCTTGGCTAACTCTAAAATTGAAGACAAAAATTCCAATTAAGATTTTAGTTAAGACTAAGATCAGGATCTTGGCTAACTCTATAATTGAAGACAAAAATTCCAATTAAGATTTTAGTTAAGACTAAAATGAGGATCCTAGCTAACACTATAGTTAAGATGAAGATTCTGATTAAGACTTTATTTAAGAGTAGGGTGAGGATCCTGGACTGCAGATGAGACTAAAATTAAGTCAAGTTAGGGAAAAGTTGAATCCAAATGCAGCCCCACTCATGGATAATTCTTTGCCTTCTTCGGAAAGAAAATTTTGTTTTTTCTTCTTTTTCCATCTTTGCTCACCCCGTTGCCCTGCATTGTACGCTCTAATTATTGCCACTCTCTTCCCCAGGTTTAAAGATTTCTACGAATTTGAACCGCACAAGTTCCAGAACAAAACCAACGGAATCACACCCCGCCGGTGGCTGGTTTTATGCAACCCCGGGCTGGCCGAGGTCATCGCTGAGGTGAGCCTGTAATGAAACACCATCTCTCTGCTGCAATCCATTCTTAGCTCATCCCCAAAATATTCTTTGTTGCCAAATTTATGGAGGTTTTTTAGCCTGGAGGTTTTTAGCTGGATGGACCGGTCAATAGAAATTTGTTTACGACCTGTCTTAATAGCCATTTGCTGCTCTGGTTTTTAATAGATTTCCTTTTGGAAAAAAAACAATCCATGAAAACACCCATTTCCCTTTTGCCATTGGCAGTTTTCCCTAATATCGATCTGTTTATATATAGCCTACTTTTTCTTGAAGATGGTGAAATCCAGGAAGCTGGACTAAGAGAAAATGATTAGCCCAAAATTTACCCAGCACGTCCTGGGATCAAGCAAGGAGTGAGACATGAATATCTTAAATCAGTCCACTATTTACCTGCAAAAGATTTTGTCTGTACTTTCCCCCAAATATCTGTTTTGGTCATTAATTTCCCATCCTACTTTTTTTTACTTTTCTCTAAACGGCAGGCAGTTAACAACAATCAACTAAATTAGATTAATTTGATTTGGTTGAAATCAAAACGAACGACTAATTAAATGATCTGGTTGAAATCAAAACGAATTACATTAAATTTGCAAACTCTTGTTTAAGATGCTAAGCCGAGTTAGTGGCATTTTGAGTTAAGGTCTATTGGTCATGGTTTACAGTTTAGCCAGCCCACCGTGGTTTATTCGGTGAACGTTGGTTATAAAAGCATGGCTTGACAGACTGTCTGAAGTGGGGTTTTTTGTCCCTTCTGTTGAGTTTTGGGTGTTGAAATTTGCTTAGCGATTCCCAAATTTTGTAACAGAAGGGTAGTTAACAGAGTAACAGGGTTGGAAGGGACCTTGGAGGTCCTCTAGTCCAACCCCCTGCTCGAGCAGGAGACCCTATACCATTCCAGACAAGTTGGTGTCCAGTCCATTCATAAAAGCCTCCAGTGTTGGAGTACCCACAATGTCTGGAGGCAAGTTGTTCCACTGGTGGATTGTTCTCATTGAGTCTATGCAGGGGGACTCCTCTTTCCTTTAACCCCCCCCCCACACAGAAAAGGTCAGTCCTAGTCTTGTGTGGTGGGGGAAAAAACACTCTGCCCATGCTTAAAGACATTTTCAGTTGTTGGGTTTGATTTTTGACTGTGCTAGGTATCAAATAGTGTCTGCAGTGAAATGGACCTTATTCAGAGGCTGAAATACTTAGACGACCAAAACTGAGCCCCAAAATGGACGTTTGTTAAGTGAGTTTTGCCCTATTTCAGGACCGCTCTTGCCACATTTGTTAAATAAATCACCGCCGTTGTTAAGTTAGTCACAGGGTTGTTAAGTGAATCTGGCTCCCCCATTGACTGTGCTTGTCAGAAGGTCACAAAACGGGATCCCGGGATCCCTGCAGGACACTGCGACCGTCATAAGTATGAAGCAGTTGCCAAGCGTCTGAATTTTGATCATGTGACCCTGGGGATGCTGCCAAGGCCGTAAGTGTGAAAAACGGTCACAAGTCACCATTGTAACTTCGAACGGTCACTAAAGGAGCTACTGTAAGTCAAGGACTGCCTTTATTCCTGCAGGAGAGATGAGGGTTTTTTTCCCTGTTTGTTTAACTACTCATTTAAAAATAGATTTTTATTTTTTTTTAGGGAGAACGTGTCTAAAAACGGGGGGAATATGGATACGGGATCATGGAAAGACCTGGCTAAAATTCCTCGTCCGCAGCTCTGACTTTACTTCCTGTAATTTCCTCTCTAGCGCATCGGGGAAGATTATATTTCTGATCTGGATCAGCTGAGGAAGCTTCTGAATTTTGTGGATGACGAAGGTTTCATCCGGGATGTGGCCAAAGTCAAACAGGTGAGGAGGAAGAAGAGGAGGGGGGCTTTTGGCCAGGCTGACCCCAAACACAGCTAGCCCTAGACTTGCCGCCACGATTGAGGCCAACCTTTATATTGCTAAGTGAAAAATTTGTTAAGTGTGTTTTGCCCCACTTTACGACCTTTCTTGCCACTGCAGCTGTTAAGTTAGTCATGCGGTTGTTAAGTGAATCCGGCTTCCCCATGGGCTGTGCTTGTCCGAAGGTCGCAAAAGGGGATCACGTGACCCCAGGACGCTGCAGCCGTCGTAGATACGAGTCAGTTGCCAAGCGTCTGAATTTTGATCGCGTGACCCTGGGGAGGCTGCAATGGTCACAAGCGTGAAAAACGGTCCTAAGTCACTTTCTTCCATGCCGTTGTAACTTCGAACGGTCACTAAACAAACTGTTGCAAGTCCAGGACTACCTGTATACTGTTGGGGCTGTTTCCCTCCCCTGTCCTGGCTTCTTCTTGGCAAAGCAGGAATTTCAGTTCTGTTCGGGCAGCGGGGTCCAGCATGGGATGAATATAAAAAAAGGGGATCAGCCCCAACCAGAGCAGAGAATTGCACAGCAAATTTAAAACTCAGAAACTTGCAGGTCTAATTGTACTGTGCCCCCCCTTATACTCCAGTGAATTAGGGAGGTGTAGCTTCCAAATGTTATCGTCCTTCCCTGGACCTGGAAAATATTTCAGCCCCTCTTCCTTTCTTCAGAGCTTTGGGGGGGGGAGGGGTTGCTGCTTTGTCTGGGCTCCGCTCAATCCCCTTCCTTGTCTTGTCTCCCCCCCCCCCCCCCCCCCCCCCCCCCCCCCCCCCCCCCCCCCGCTTTTAGGAGAACAAGTTGAAGTTTTCTGCCTACCTGGAGAAGGAATACAAGGTCAAGATCAATCCCAACTCCCTCTTTGACCTGCAAGTAAAGCGGATCCATGAGTACAAGAGACAGCTGCTCAACTGCCTGCACGTCATCACCCTTTACAACCGTGAGTGCCGGTCTCCAGCTGCGGCTATGGGGAGAATCATGGGGAGAATCAGCCCCCTTTTCTTTCAGGATTCTCCCTCCCCCATCTTTGCTTTGACAGTGGTCGAGTTTGGCATTCTCCAGGTGAAATTCAGATACTTCCTTTTGTTTTTTTGCCTTCCTTCCTTCTCTTTCTCTCTCCTTCCTTCTTTCCTTCCTTCCTTCCTTCCTTCCTTCCTTCTCCTTCCTTCCTTCCTCATTTCCATCTCCTTCCTTCATTTCCATCTCCTTCCTTCCTTCCTTCCTTCCTTATTCCCATCTCCTTCCTTCACTTCTCTCTCTTTGTTTCTCTTTCAATTTTCTTTCTTTCCTTTCTCTCTCCTTCTTTCTCTCACCCTTCCATCCTTCCTTCCTTCCTTCCTTCCTTTTCCTTCCTTCCTTCCTTCCTTCCTTCCTTCCTTCCTTCCTTCCTTCCTTCCTTCCTTCCAATTCCTTAATTCCTTCCATCCACCCCCAAATAACCAAGGGCACATTTGAAGCTCAGCTCCTTCCAATCTTTCAAATTATTCTGTGGCTTAATATATTGGGCCAGCCCAGCCTAGCCTGGTTGATAAATTATTTCATGATTGTCAGATTTACATTCCCCCCCCCCTTGATTTTACTTTGTCCACTTTGAGCCCACCCCACTACCATCCCGCTCATTTTTTTCCCACCACAACGCTGTGATGAGAGAGACTGGCTTTCACGCCCGTGGGAAGACTAGAACTCACCCTCACCCAGTTTCTAGTCAGCACCTTCCCGCCTGCCTCAAACTGCTACTTCTCAGAAAGAGCAAAGGAATGAGTTTGCGGCGCTGTGTGTTGCGCGAAACCTGGATGTGGGTGAATGCAGGGCTTCTGGCTGAGTTGGTTGTGCGAATCCTGCCTTTGAAAGGACTTGCAGGGAGAGACTGGAAACGGAAAGAGGATCAAATTGGGGAAGGCTGAGCGTCCAGGAAGGGGCTGGTGAAAGAACCAGAGGGGAGAATTGAGGGGACCAAACTTTGCAGGGCATCGCTTGGGGACCGGCCTTTGTCTCTCATCTGACTGTGGACTGTTCTTCTCTCCCCCCCCACCCCCCAGGAATCAAGAGAGAACCTAACAAGCACTTTGTGCCCCGGACGGTCATGATTGGAGGCAAGGTGAGAATGGAAAGCAGAGTTGGGGAAGATGGGAGTTGAGATCTTCGAGGCAGGGGATACAGAGAGAACATCTGCCCGGTCTCTTGGCCTCTGTCAGTCTTCCCAGGCATGCCAAACAGAAAACACGACCAGTTGAACTAATTCTGCTTTGTTGTGAGGCTACGTTAATAGGGCTTGCAAGTCTGAAGGTACCATTTTTCCTCCGTCAATTTTAATCCAGTACAGCCGGTCCTTCCTACGTCTCTTCCACTGCCTGTTAGGCCACTGAGGGCTCCTGTCTCTTCTCTGATGACCTCTTAGCCAGCCTCTCCTCCCTTTGTCCCCCAAGGTTGTTCACACATGGCGCTATCACAGCATCTGCCCAAAGCTGAAAGGAGTTCCTTTTTCCTACCACAGTTCTCCAGATCTTTTTAGGAACGTCGATTAGGAAAAACACAAGATTAAATTACGGGTAATCCTCGACGTACAAGCGTAGTTGAGCTCCAGATTTCCATGGCTACTCAAAGACAGCTGCTTAGTGAGTTTTGCCCCATTTTACGACCTTTCTTGCCACAGTTGTTAAGTGAATCCCTGCAGTTGTTTAGTTAGCCACACGGTCGTTAAGTGAATCTGGCTTCCCCTTTTGACTTTGCTCGTCAGAAGTTTGCAAAATGAGCCCAGGACACTGCAACCGTCATAAATAGGAACCAGTTGCCAAGCATCAGAAATTTGATCACGTGACCATGGGGATGCTGCAAAGGTCATTAAGTGTGAAAAACAGTCGTAAGTCACTGTCTTTGGTACTGTTGTAACTGCGAACAGCCACTAAACCAGGGGTAGGCAACCTTGGCTCTTTTATGACTCATGGACTTCAACTCCCAGAATTACTGAGCCAGCATGGAAACCTCTCCCTTTCCCCTCAGCCACTGGCTCAGGAATTCTGGGAGTTGAAGTCCATGAGTCCTAAAAGAGCCAAGGTTGCCTATCCCTGCACTAAACAAATGGTTTTAAGTTGAGGACTAGCTGTATAAGAATTCCAGCCTCAAACTGGCGTTTCTCAACCTTGGCCCCTTTAAGATGCCTGGACTTCAGTTCCCAGAATGCCCCAGGCAGCATGCTTGAAGAGGGATGGGCTTCCACAATTGTCCATCCAGCATGTTTTAAGACGTCTGGACTTCATCTCCCAGAATTCCCCAGCCAGCATGGCCATTGGTAAGATTTCTGGGAGTTGAAGTCCACCCATCTTACACTTGCTGAGGTTGCCAAACGCTAAATTAACCCAACATTCTCTGCTCCAGAAGCAGAACAAAGAGATGTCCTGGCTTTTCCTTGTAAACTCTTAGTAGGCAGAAGAGGTGTTTCTCCTCCAAGTTGGATGGGGGGGGGGTCCCCAAAGGGAGGTTAAAGCCCCCTCTTATCCCCACAGGCGGCTCCCGGCTACCACATGGCCAAAATGGTCATCAAGCTTGTTACCTCCATCGGAGACATCGTGAACCACGATCCCATCATTGGTGACCGACTCAAGGTGATCTTCTTGGAAAACTACCGGGTCTCCCTGGCTGAAAAGGGTATGTCTTGCTTTCTGCTCCCGTCTTTGGCTGGGATCTCCTGGCGTGAATTGTCAAGGAATGCTTCTTTACACGGTAGAGTGTTAAAACCTTGGAACTCACTGCCACAAGATTAGATGAGTGGAATGTACAGACTCCGGTTTCCTTCCCTTGCACTGGGGATGGCTTCACAGACATGCAGAAGAAAATTCAAGGTGTCCTGGCTCGTTTTGAAGCCAGATCATCCCACCACCACCTCGAACTTCACACACAGGGTGTTGTAAAAGTCTTTAATTTAGGCGGCTTTGAAATGGAAACGGTGAGATTTGCAGTGCAATGAGATGAATTCTTGAAAAGTACACGAAGGTCTGATTCAAGTCAAGTTTGAGTCTTGGGGATTTCATTGACAACTTTTAGTTCTTGGCATTTCCTGGTGGTGTCCTTTCCTCCCATTCAAGTCCCGAGCAGTAAGCTGTGCAATCCTATAGCTTCGACGTGCAGCCATGGATGGCGGCTCATGAAAGCAGCTTCCTTGGTTGCTAGAGTTCTGCAACAGTTTTAATCATGGCTGGAATTTGATAGGGCGGCTTTCATGAGCTGTGGGCATGTGCACCGTCCGTTGCCAGCATGCGTGGTGAAGAATTGCAGAGTCTTAGAATCCAGCTGTAACTTTAGGCTAAGATTTCTGAGTTCGGCCAGCTTGGTTAAATGGTGCCTGTTTTCAGAGGTGGCACCTGTTCCTCTGAATCCTACCAAGGATGAGGGATGCCCAAAGAGGTCATCCACTCTTTCTATCCTGCCCACGCAGATTAAATGCTTCACTATCCACGTGAGACAAGCCGTAGTTACTCAAATGAACAGATCAAAGA